AACATATTTGTTTGTTTTTTCAGGTGAATGCTGCTTGTGCTAGCCAGGCCTTTGTGGTTCCAGGTTTGTTGGAGGGTCAGGACTACATGTTCAGGGTGCGAGCAGAGAACAGACTGGGATTTGGCCCATTTACTGAAACAGCTGAACCCGTTCGAGCCAGAGATCCCATCTGTAAGAAACATCAGCTGCTCTGGCCAAACACACAAAACATATACCTCCCTGGAAGTGTTTTAAGTATTTTCTCTTTACCTCCTCCTCAGACCCACCCGACCCCCCAACCAAGCTGAAGGTCAACCTGGTAACAAAGACCACGGTCACTTTGAGCTGGGAGCCCCCGAAAAATAATGGTGGCTCTCCTGTGAAGCATTACATCATCGAGCGTCTGAGCTGGGACACCAGCGGGAAGGAGAAGGAGACCTGGAAGCAGTGCAACAAGAGAGACGTGGAGGAGCTCACCTTTGTGGTGGAGGATCTGAAGGAGGTCGGTCCATCTTTCTCACTTTATCATTTCTTAACTTAAGTAGCTGAAACTTGTAATTCGCAACTTCAGATGTTTTATAAACACTTGATTATCTTGTGAGAAGTTAAGCATTAAAGTTGAACTCAAATTCAGCATTCACACTGTTGCTTGCCTGTTTTTTTTTTTTGTGATTTAATTACTTGTGCGTAATACGGTAGTTTATTCGTTCATATATCAAAATGTTCAGCTCATCCTGTACATGGGTGCTATGACTAGTTTTTCTGTAGCTTTTATAGTTTTCCAATCTTGAACTTTATTCAAAATAAAATTTCCCATATAAATATGTTGAGATCTCTTTAGTTCATTCAAAAACATGGATCTCTTTTAAATCTGCTTCAGCTACTGGCTTTTTTTTTCTGTCCAGCATTTCTTTTAGCTTTTATCTAGGCTTATGCTACTGTAATTGTTTAGCTAAGCTTGCGCTTCTTTTCGCTAGCATTTTGCTACTTTTAGCTTTTAATTACCCTTTATTTACATGTAGCTTTTAGCTAGCTATTTTTTAATTAAATAATTGGAGCTCACATCCATAAACACTTGCTCTTGTTTTTTTATTGTTGTTGTTACTTTTATGTCAGTGCAGCTTTTCTATTATTTTTTCACATGCTTGTATCATATGTATATTTTATACTCATGTATTTTCTTGGTTGTATTGATTTTATTGATTGTATGACAGGTCTGTATCACAAAAGAGACAACTGGGTTTCAACGAGACTAACCTGTAACAGTAATAACAATAATAATGTAACGTCTCAGTTTTATGTCTCAGCAAATTTCAATAAATTAACTTAGCTCTTAGCATCCACACTGTGTTTTAGCAGATAATTTAATTTCTCTAGGATGTAAATATTTTTGTCATGGATCTCATAAGGATTCATGTGGAACATCAAACGTAACTCACTGGGGAGTCTGAATTTTAATTGAACTGTTTTTTTGTTTTTGTTGGGTTTTTTTTGCAGAGAATCTAGGTAAAGCAGTAGATGGGTAGGGTGGGTTTCCAGTTGGATCAGTTGGACTTGATGTTGATTGTGTTGTTTCTCTGCAGGGAGGAGAATATGAATTCAGAGTTAAAGCCGTGAACGATGCTGGACCCAGCCGACCCTCTGCCACCGTAGGACCCCTAGTCATCAAGGACCAGACATGTGAGTGAACAAACCAGGCACAACCTTCGAGATTTTAGCTCTTAGTAGTCATTTAGTTTTAGACACCACTGAATCTGTTTTTCTTTACAGGTCCTCCAACCATTGAGCTGCGTGAGGCCATGGAGGGCGAGGAGGGATGTGATGTTAGCATCGTGGCAAAGATCAGCGGCTGCCCATTCCCATCGCTCACATGGAAAAAGGCCAGCCTGTCCAAACCTGAGGAGAAAGCTGCCGTCCAGTATGACCAGCACTTCAACAAACTGGTCACTCAAGACAAGTGCACGCTGCTGATCCAGCAGGCCAGCAGGCAGGACAGTGCACTCTACAGCCTAACAGCCAGCAACAGTCTGGGAACCATCACCAAGGATATCCAGTTATTAGTACTGGGTGAGAAACTATAGAACATAAGTTGTCACAGCAGTGAAATTTCCTTCATAGTGTACTATGGTATTCAATTCAGTTTACTTCTTTAGCTCCAAGTCTCAACAGAAGTCATCTCAGGGCTCTGTATAAAAACATTCACTTACATTGAAAAAGCCAATTAGTAAAAGTTTTTTATCTAAGGAAGCGGCAGATTGTGTTGAATCGTTACAAAGTCACAGTCTCCCATCCTGAGCAAGCACAAAGCCAACAGTGGAAAGGAAAAACTCCCTTTAACAGTAAGAAACCTCCAACAGAACCAGGCTCACGATAAGCGACCACCTGTTTTGACTGGCTGGGTTTGAGAGGACAGGAAGTAGAAACAGACGAACACAGAATGGCAGGCCCAGATGTACTTTCTATTGGAGGAAAGACAAAAAACATGTTAAATATAGCAGTAATTACAAACACAAACGGGTAGAGTAGAGCAAGTAAAGACAGCAGCAGAGTGAGTAAATGTGGTCAATTTGTTCTCCAGCAGTCAAAGCTTATAGCATCATAACAGGGATAGCTCAGGAAACCCAAGCCAACCCTAACTATAGGATTTATCAAAAAGGAAAGACTTAACCTTAATCTTTAAACTTGTCAATGTGTCAGCCTCACGGACAGAAACTGGAAGTTGTTTTCTCAAGAGAGGAGCCTGAGAACTGAAAGATCTGCCTCCCATTCTGCTTTTGGAAACTCTATGAGCCATAAGTAAACCTGCAGTCTGAGAACGAAGTGCTCTGTTAGGAAAGTATGGAACCATAAGATCTGTAATATAAGATGGAGCTAGGTTGTTGAGAGCTTTGTTTGTTAGAAGTAAGATTTTGAATTAAATTCTAAATTTGACAGGGAGCCAATGGAGAGAAGCTAAAACTGAAGAGATATGATCTACTATTGACTCTCATTAAAACTCTGGCTCTGGAATCAGAATATTTGCTTGTTGATGTTTGCCCCTTCCATTCATACTGACTTGTCCTCCTTCCCACTGTAGGACCTCCGGGTGTACCTGTTGGACCAATAAAGTTTACTGAGGTGTTTGCGGATAGAATTGGGCTGGCATGGAATCCTCCAGCAGACGACGGTGGATCCAAGATCACCAACTACGTCATTGAGAAACGTGAGGACAACAGAAAGTCCTGGGTCCATGTCTCAAATGACCCCAAAGAGTGTGCCTATGTTGTGATGAGGCTCACAGAGAACCACGAATATGAGTTCAGAGTCATGGCCCAGAACAAGTTTGGAGTTGGGCCACCGCTGGTCAGCGAGCCAGAGAAGGCCAGAAATCTTTTCAGTAAGTTCAGAGATGGCTTCTTAAAAATGTCTGTCTAGGTACAGTGTTGTCTGATCACTGATGATCAACTGGTTCTGTTGCAGCTGTCCCAGGTCAGTGTGAGAAACCAACAATAACTGAGGTCTGTCTTGAGTCCATGACCGTCAACTGGGATGAGCCAAAGTACGATGGTGGATCTCCCATCACCGGCTACTTCGTAGAGAAAAAGGAGACTACCTCCAAGCGCTGGTCCCGTGTCACCCGCGAACCAATTCGAGCACTCCCACTGGGCAATAGCTGGGATGTCACAGGACTGCTGGAGGGTGCCTTGTACCAGTTCAGAGTCATTGCTATTAATGCTGCTGGCTGCGGTCTGCCCAGCATGCCCTCGGACCCCATCCTCTGTAGAGACCCCATCAGTAAGTGACAGAATGGTGTCGTAGAACCTTTTTATACTCTGTCAGACTTTTAAATTATTTGTGAATGTCATCAAAACTGAACTATTTCTGTATTTGTAGAGCCTCCAGGCCCACCCTCCCCAAAGGTGACAGACTGGACAAAGTCCACGGTGGAGCTGGAGTGGATTCCTCCTCTGATCGATGGAGGATCCAAGGTGACAGGCTACATCGTTGAGTTTAAGGAGATAAATAAAGAGGAGGAAGATAAGAAAGCTCAGAGGAGGCTACTGCTGAGTGAGGCTGAGGAGAAGGAGCCTGAGGGCGACGACAACTGGCAAAAGGTATAAAAATGCACTGATCAATGAACCAAAGGCTTATCACAGTTGCATTCCTAATGATGTATTTGTCTCTTTGCAGGCAAAGGACACTGAGATCAGAGGAACCAAGTTTGTGGTGGCTGGTCTTAAAGAAGGGGGTCTGTACCAGTTTAGAGTCCGGGCTGTGAACGCTGCTGGGGTTGGAGACCCTGGACTTGTGTTGGAGCTGATTGAAGTCAAAGACAGAACAAGTAAGACTGAGATCACTGTCACATCTTACATGAAAGGAAGTGTGGACATGTTACTTTTAACAATCTGTCTTTGTCCCCAGTTCCTCCTGAGATGGACCTGGATGCCTCAGTAAAGGAGAAGATCGTGGTCCACGCCGGTGCTACTATCCGCATCATTGCCTATGTTTCTGGTAAACCCGCCCCGCAGATCACCTGGTGCCGGGACGATGGTGAAGTGCCCAAAGAGGCAGTGGTGGAAACAACTGGCATCTCAAACTCTCTGGTGATCAAGAACTGCAGACGCCAACACCAGGGCATCTACACGCTGAGCGCCAAGAACGAAGGAGGCGAGAGGAAGAAGGCTGTCATTGTCGAGGTGCTTGGTAAGTACTGCCTACAATGTTTTCAGACCCAAATAAACAAATAAAAACATTTTCTGACGGTCAGACATTGTTCCGTCAGATGTCCCTGGACCAGTTGGTCTTCCCTTCATTGGTGAGAACCTGACCATAGACTCCTGCAAGCTGACCTGGTATTCTCCTGAGGACAATGGTGGCTCAGCCATTACCAACTACATCATCGAAAAGCGGGAGTCCGATCGCATGGGCTGGACCTCTGTGTCCTACACAGTGACCAGAAACAATGCGGTAGTGCAGGGGCTCATTGAGGGCAAGGGCTACTTCTTCAGGATTGCTGCTGAGAACGTTATCGGAATGGGACCATTCACTGAGATCGATAAGATGGTTCTAATCAAAGACCCGATCTGTGAGTCTGACACATTAAACTAATAAAAACAGTCTAAACAACACAAGCCAGGAAATGGTGAACGTGTGGCACCTTCAGCTCTGACAAAGATAAAAAACACTGTAATATTGATTAAAAGATCCTTTAACTAATTTCATCTATGTTCATCTAGCTGTCCCAGAGCGTCCAGAAGACCTGATCATCACCGCTGTGACCAAAGACTCCATATCTGTCGCCTGGAGACCGCCAAAATATGATGGTGGCGCTGAGGTGACGGCATATGTTCTGGAGTCCCGAATGATTGGTCGTGACAATTTCACACGGATTGGTGGTGAGGACAAGCTGATGGACAAGAAGTTCACACTGAAGGAGCTGAAGGAAGGCTCAAGTCACGAGTTCAGGGTTTCTGCTGTCAACCAGGTGGGACAGGGCAAGCCCTCCTTCCCCACTAAACCAGTGCAGTGCAAGGATGAGTTCGGTAAGTGCCACATTAGTTTTCAATCTGATAAATTTAGTTAGAGATACGGAAATATTCAATACATCCAAATACAAGACATTACTCACTGAAGGAACTGCTGCTGTCTTCCTGTAGAACCACCTACTTTGGACCTGGACTTCAGGGACAAAGTGATGGTGAAGGTGGGAGACTCGTGTTTGCTGTCGGGACGCTTTGGTGGCAAACCAACCCCGGTCATCACTTGGACAAAAAATGATGAAGAACTGAAAGTTGATGATGAAATCAGCCTTCACAGCACCGCCCATCACCTCAGCCTGAGCATCAGTAAGACCAAAAGGGATCACAGCGGTCGCTACACCGTCAGTGTGGAGAACGCTGCCGGTACCCGTACAGGAACGTGCAACATCGTTGTGGTTGGTGAGTGAATCACGCAGCTTCACGCGTGCAACACTTGATCCTCACGTCGAAGTTGTAGCTGCTCAAACCTCCCACAGAATTAAAAACGAGCTGAGGGCTAAAAAAAACTGATGACACATGGTGTCGGTGAGGCTTGGCTGAGGGTCGGAAGAGACTGAAACCGAACTTTCTGTCTGAAGTTTACTGAGCACATAGAAGAGGAACAGCTGATCGATCAGATGATTTATTTATGTTCATTCAACCTTTATTTAAACAGGTTAGTCCCATTGAGCCACGAGGACTCATTTACAACAGAGACATGGATTTTAAATTTAATTTAATTTTTTTTTTAACAAATGAAAACAAAAATGTTTTTAATAAAACACACAATTTAATTTCTGCTGAAATTTACAGAAGCTTAGACTGAAAAAACAAAAAAATAATAAAACAGCTAAAAAAGCAAAACACAAACATAAAGCTAAAAAAAAGCTAAACACAAGCTTAAGGCTAAAAAAGTAAAACACTAGCTAAAAGCCAAAAAAGCAAAACTAGCTAAAAAAGCCAAACGCTAGCTAAAAGCTAAAAAAAATTAGCAAAACAGTAGCTTAGAAACAAAAGTAGTAAAGATCTAACTAAAAACTGAATGTAGCAAATCTAAAGTGTTCCTGTTTTTTTTTTTTTGTTTGCTTGTTTTTCCTGAACTACTCCATCTACACCAGCATAAAATAAGCAAAAGGCTTGTTGAAAGGTGCAGCAGAATGGTAGAAGAAAATTCTAAAAAGCATGAAAAAGTGAAAACAGAGCCCGTAGACAAAGCAGAGTTCAAAGAAAACATTTTTATAGGATTAAAGGAGATCTCGTATTTCTGTGGGCTCATTGTTTGTGGATAAAGTTTAATATTTTGACAAGTATAAAAGTTGGAAGAAAAAACAAAAGTCACAGCACCCTTCTCCCAAAGGAGCTGAATGTTTTGATGCATGAACAGCTGGAATAGCACTAAACATGCAGAAAGCTGTAAAACAAGAGAACAGCAGTGCGAGTCTGAGAATTCAGACTGAAAATACACAACTGACCATGAAGGCTGACCTGCGTGAGTTTCTCTCGCCAGACCGTCCTGACCCACCACAGGGTCCCGTTGAGTTCAACGAGATCTACAGGAACTACATGGTGATCTCCTGGAACCCCCCTCTAGACGATGGAGGCTGTGCCGTCTCCAACTACATCGTGGAGAAGAGGGACACCAACAGAGACCTGTGGATGCCCGTCACCTCATCCTGCACCAGGACCACCTGCCGGGTGAGCAGCTGATGGGACCGTTTCAGTCTCAAAACCAAAAAGATTTAAAATAATTAGGTGTAAACATAAAGTCCACTGTTTTACCTTCAAGCTAAAGGAAAACAACAGGAAAGACTGAAGTATATTCAGAATAGGTTCACAATAATCCTGCTGAAGGAAAATCATATTTTTACGTGCTTCATTGAAGTTGTTTAATGTCTAAAGTCGGTTAATGTTCTCGGAAATCTCGGAAACTGTTTCTGTTGGGACTTAGTGCTATAGAAACAAACTGAATTTAATTGGCGGTTTCACTAAAAGCCATCAACTGGTTCATTATTCAGAAAACCAGACAGACAAATACATAATCTCCCACCTTCACATTGTGACATGTCATAAAAATACAGTAAACTAATGAGTTTATTGTGTTTAGGACACATTTTGGTTGAATATAATGTATTTTTTTAATTTGATTTAATTAATTTGAAGGAGTTTTGGTCCTTAGAATGCCAGTCTTTGGACAAATATTTGGGAACATGACATCTTACATCTGGAACATCTGAAAACTGTCGGTGAAGCTTTAGGCACTGCTGACCCCCCACCTGCTTGTTTCTTCAGGTGCCAAAACTGATCGAGGGCCGTGAGTACATCATCCGGATCATGGCTCAGAACATGTATGGCATCAGTGACCCCCTCCTGTCAGCAGAGACCAAAGCTAGAGACATCTTCAGTAAGTTCCCTTGGAAACCATTCTGAACGTGTTTTTACAGCCAAAGCAGCATCTGACCCCCGCATCTGTTTTCATTGCAGAGGTTCCTGATGCCCCAAAACAGCCTGTGGTGAAGGAGGTTTACCATGACACAGCCCTGATCAGCTGGGAACCACCTGCCGATGGAGGAAAACCAATTACAGGCTACATTGTGGAGAGGAAGGAGACCAAGGCCAACAGGTACATGACCATCACGAGCTAAACAGAACCAGTTGCTTTCTAAAAAGGACACATACTTTTAATTCAAGTTGTTTAATATGCAGTCAAATGTTGTACCAATAGATCAATTTTGTTTTGTTGACTTCAAATGAAATTGTTTTAATTCTGAGCATACACAAAGATCGGTCTCTGTGGACAAAAATTCTGAACTTAAAGTACTTTCCTTTGTTTGGTTCATTATTTCACTTCAATGAATTTACATTGAAGAATTCCATGTGTGAAGCCCCCGCCACATTAAAGGATGACACTGCTATGCTTTCCATGACTCATTAGACCTATTAGACTGTGGTTGGATTGCAGTAAATTCAGAAAACCTTCAGTCTGATGTAATCATGATGCTTCTATAGTCTTAATCACCAAACAACTTTTCCTACATTTTGCATTTCTGAGAAGCTCATTCACAGTCATCACGTAGTCTTGAGACCAACGTGGACAGTCCTGCTTCAGACCCTGGAAGACCAACTCACCCGGCTCTACACAGCCCATATGTCATGGATATGACTCCACCACTCACCACATGGGAATCAGATACGCTGTCATTACAATAATCAACCACCATGTCCTCGTTCCAGTAGTTTTGCGCATCCTCAAAACCACCGTGAATCTATCACTTTCTGTTTTGTGTAATTTGGAGCTCAGTGCACAGTTAAAACATCCAACATGAAAATCCTAAAAATATCATCTATTCTCCAGATGAAATTTTAATTTTAATTTTTTTTTTTTTGGTCAAGGGGACTTAACCTCATTAAGATAAAGTTTATGTTGTTCTGTTCACAGGTGGGTTTGTTGCAACACAGAAAGAATCCATCCCAAAGTGGAGTACTGGGTGACAGAGCTGCTGAAAGGCTGCGAGTACGAGTTCAGAGTCAGTGCTGAGAATGAGGTGGGAGCTGGAGATCCCAGTCCACCATCAAAACCAGTTTTTGCCAAGGATCCCATTGGTAGGTTTTTTAAAACTATGTTTTAATAAAAACTGATGTTATTAGCTATGCTGAAATTCACCATGGAGAACTTTCCCAACCACTACAGTGAAACCCGGCCCACCAGTCAAGCTTCAGGCCATTGACTTCACCAAGGAGTCTGTGACTCTGTCCTGGGAACCCCCTACTGACACCGGTAGAGGAAAGATCTTTGGATACCTGTTGGAGTTCCAGAAGGCTGGAGAAGAGGAATGGCACAAAGTAAGGAAGATGCTCAAAACTTTTAGTTTTCTTCTGATTAAACTCATGTTGCATTTTCAGATGTTGAATGCTTGTCTTTTTGTGGCCACCAGGTGAACCAGACTCCAGATTCCTGCCAGGAGACAAAGTTTAAGGTGATCAACCTCGAGGATGGTGCTTTGTACCGCTTCAGAGTTATGGCTGTGAATGCTGCAGGGGAGTCTGACCCAGCCAACATCAAGGAGCCAATCAGAGTGCAGGACAGACTTGGTGATTTATCATTTAAGTTGTACATTATAGAGATTTAATTTTTAATTTTTAAATGAATCTAATGAGTTAACATGTCTCATTGTAGAGCCACCAGATCTCATCCTGGATGCATCGATGACTCGAGAAGTGAGGGCCATGGTCGGCACTCACATCACACTCATGGCTGCCATCAAAGGTGTCCCATTCCCCACCGTAACCTGGAAGAAGAATGAGGCAGAGGTTCCCACTAGAGCAGACATTGAGACCAACCAAACAGGCACCAAGCTAGAGATGAGATTCTGCAACCGAGGTGACTGTGGAGACTACACCCTTACAGTGGAGAACCCAGCCGGATCCAAGACTGCTACCTGCACTGTTCTGGTTCTTGGTAAGTACTGTGTTATTTAAAGGTAGAAACATCAGTAGAAGTCCTAGTTTGATGGTATTTGTGTGATCTTTTCAGACAAACCTGGTCCTATCCAGCACCTCCGGGTGTCAGATGTCAGGAGTGACTCTGCCTATCTGTCATGGAAGGACCCAGAAGACAACGGTGGCGCTCGCATCACTAACTTTGTGGTAGAGAAGAAAGAGACAGCATCCACTCAATGGGTCCCTGTCTGCTCCACGTCCAAGAAGCGCAGCATGACGCTGAAGCATCTGATGGAAGGAATGTCTTACACCTTCAGGGTTGCTGCTGAGAATCAGTACGGCCGAAGTGAATATGTTCAGACACCAAAAGCCATCAAGGCAATGAACCCTCTCTGTAAGCAACAACAAAAAAAAACTTTGAATAATGAAACTGATAATGTCGTACCTTCTGTATGATAGTCACTTTTTTTTCCCTCCAGTCCCTCCTGGTCCTCCCAAAGATCTGCATCATGCTGATGTGGACAAAACTGAGGTGTGGTTGGCCTGGAACTGGCCCGATCGCAATGGAGGAAGTGAGATCACAGGCTTCCTGGTAGAGTATCAGGAAGAGGGAACAAAGGACTGGGAAGAATGGAAGACTGAGAGCATTCCTGAGAGCCATGTTACCGGCCTGGAGGAGGGAAAGACCTACCGTTTTAGAGTGAGGGCTGAAAATGCCATTGGCCTCAGCAGACCTGACACCACCCTGCCCATCCTGTGCCAAGAAAAACTTGGTAGGAAATAATGTTCATCACATTTTTCTGAAGAATTACTGATGTTGCTGACCTAGTTATAGAAGTTGACACTAGAGGTTCACTAATACTTTATATAGCATCAGCTATGTCATTCTTGTTTTGCACATATTCAGACTAACATGTTACTGAGAATTAATGGATTAAGCTTTTAGTTGGTGCACAAATAAAATAAACCCTCTCACTTAATTTCATTCTAGTGCCTCCAATTGTCGAGGTGGACGTTAAACTCATCGAAGGCATCATTGTGAAGGCTGGCACCACCATCAGGCTACCAGCTATAATGAGAGGAATCCCTGTGCCAACAGCTAAGTGGTCCATTGATGGAGAGGAGATCACAAGCCAGGGCAACATTAAGATTGACACCGATAATTTCTCCACTGTGATCAATATTAACGAATGTACCAGGAACCACACAGGCACCTACCTGCTGACTGTGTCCAATCCAGCAGGAACCAAGACTGTGGCCCTGAATGTCACAGTTCTAGATGTTCCAGCTGCTCCTATTGGACCTGTCAACATCCTGGAGGTCAACCCAGACTCCATGATAATTGAATGGCGCCCACCGAAGGATGATGGTGGAAGTCCTGTCACCAACTACATTGTGGAGAAAAGAGAATCCAACAAGGAGACCTGGGGAGGAGTCAGTTCTGGCAGCCTTGCTACTCAACTTAGGATCACCCGACTACAGAAGGGAGTGGAGTATGTGGTCCGCATTCGTGCTGAGAACAAAATGGGAGCAGGCGCTCCACTGGAGAGCAAGCCGACCGTTGCTGAACACACCTTTATGCCACCCAGTCCACCTGGTAAGCCTCAGTGCTCTGATCTTTCAGAAGATGCCGTTACAGTTGGATGGACAATGCCTCTAGCCGACGGTGGAAGTCCGATCACTGGCTACCTTATTGAGCGCAGGCACACAGGAGGAAAGTGGATCCGTGTCAACAAGACCCCCTGCAAGGACCTGCGTTACAGAGTCCAGGGTCTCTTTGAGGGAAGTGAATATGAGTTCAGAGTGTTTGCCGAGAATATTGCTGGCTACAGTGGACCTTCTCCCACCTCTGACCCCTGCAAGCCCTGTAGACCCATCACAGTCCCAAGTCCTCCAATCAATGCTAAAGTTAAAGATTACAGTAAGACCACAGCTGACTTGGTCTGGATGAAACCTTCCAGAGATGGAGGCAGCCCTATCCTAGGTTACATTGTGGAGATGCAGAAAGCTGATTCTGAAGAATGGAAAAAAGTGAACCTGGATGATGACTTAATCAAGCTGTGTGCCTACAGGGTGAAGGGACTGGAAGAGGGTGTGACCTACAGATTCAGAGTCCGGGCTTCAAACATGATTGGTGATGGAGAGCCCAGAGAAATGCCAGGTTCTATTACTGCTCAGGATATCCTCATTCCTCCAGAGATAGAAATGGAGGCCACCTGCCGTGAGCGAGTAACTGTGCGCGTTGGACACAACATCAACATCATTGGCTACATCAAGGCTCGTCCCGATCCTGAGGTCGTTTTTTCAAAGGAGGACACAGTTTTGGAAAACGGCAAGCGTGTGACCATCGTTCAGAACTTGCCTATGGTCCACTTGAGGATAAAGGAAGCCACAAGAAATGATCATGGCAAGTACACACTGAAGGCTTCAAATGAGGGTGGTGAGGCATCCTGCACCATCACAGTTAATGTTCTGGACAGACCTGGTCACTGCCAGAACCTGCACCTCACCTACGTGACCAAGGCCTCCTGTATGATCAACTGGGAGGCACCTAATGACAATGGTGGATCTGAAATCACCAACTATATTGTGGAGTGTCGTGAGCCCAGCATTAGTATGTGGTCTATGATTTCCTCAAACTGCACCAACCGTAAGATCAAAGCCAAGCTGATGGAAGGCCACGAGTACCTGTTCCGTGTCTGTGCTGTAAACAAATTAGGACCTGGTCCTGCTGTGGAGATTAAGACCCCTCAGCTGGCCATAGATCCCATCGAGAAGCCTGGAGAGCCAGAGAAATTTAGAGCCTCTGACATTGGTAAGAACTACGTCTACCTGAGGTGGAGAAAGCCTGACTATGATGGTGGCAGCCCTAACCTCTCCTACAACCTTGAGTACAAAGCCAAAGATGCTGAACAATGGGAGAAACTCAACACCAGCACACTGACAGACACCTTCTTCTTGGCTGACAAGTGTGTGGAGAACCACACATATACCTTCAGGTAAATTAAGGTTTTATTAAGATTTAAAATACTGCTTGTTTGCCCTCATAATTGTGCTTGAGACATTCATTCAATAATGAAGTGGTTAATTTTGAAGGTTCATTAAAACAATGGACTCTGAGAATACAGCTGACCTGGGATTTTATTAGAACAATAGAACAGATCCAGACAAGTCTTCCCAATAAAAAAAATCCTGAGTTACCATGATCTTTCCAGTGATACAGCTTGATAAATTGGCTCCATCTTAGGTTGCAGTGATGCAGTTTTTTTTTAACTCAAGCTCTGAGCATCTCATTTTGATCACAATCACACAAGGAGCTGGACTTGGTTTTTGCAAAAACGGTTGGTTTTATGTCAGTCCTAGTCTATGGCAAAACGGTCATTTATTTTTCCCAATATCAGTCTAGTTATAAATGTAATTTTGTCTACTTCTTCCATACAACCCAACATAATGGAAAACCCTTTAAAATATATTTTGTGTGTTTTGTTTGACAGGGTTCAGACTGTGAATGAGGGAGGAGAAAGTGCCTGGGTGAAACTTGCTGATGTCTTGGTGAAGGAGGAGATCCAGAAGCCAGTCATTGACCTAAAGGTGGCTGGAACTGTGACAGTGTTGGCTGGAGAGTCCGTCAGGATGGAGGCTGCCTTGAGAGGAAAGCCCCAGCCAGAAGTTGTATGGGCCAAAGACAAGGCTGTGGGAGACAACCCAAGACTGAGCTATGAAACTGGTCCAGACTATTCCAAGTTCCTTTTGACCAAGTCCAAGCGCACAGACACTGGGAAGTATATCATCACTGCTACCAATGCAGCTGGCACCTTCACGGCATACGCCAACGTCAATGTCCTGGATGTTCCTGGACCAGTGAGGAACCTGAGGATCACTGGCATTGGAGCCGACAAGTGCAGGGTGGTGTGGGACGGCCCAGAGGACGATGGAGGTTGTGAAGTGGACAGCTATATTGTGGAGAAATGCGAGACTAGGAGGATGGTATGGTCCACATACTCAGCCGCTGTGGTCACACCGTACTGTAATGTCACTCGCCTGGTGGAGGGTAATGAGTACATCTTCAGGATAAGAGCAGAAAACAAGATGGGGACCGGCCCGGCTATGGAGAGCAAACCTATAACTGTCAAGACTCAGTTTAATAAACCAGGACCTCCTGAAGCTCCTGAAGTTACCAAGGTTAGTAAAGAGTGTCCCTGTCCTACCAGTACCTAGTTTAAACCAATATTCAGGTTGATATTATCCATCAAACCACTAGCAGCTGTAAAGCATGTTCATCTGACACTGACACTTAATGTTCTTATGATACAGGTGAGCAAAGATGAGATGACTGTGGTCTGGGCTCCACCAGAGAACGATGGAGGAAAGTCCATCACCGGCTACATCCTGGAGAGGAAAGAGAAGCGGGCGGTGCGGTGGGTGGCATGCACAAAGAGCCCCATTTCTGAGAGACGAATGAAAGTGACTAACCTAATCCCAAACCACGAGTATCAGTTCAGAGTGAAAGCTGAAAACGAGGTGGGCCTGGGAGAGCCAAGCAAACCCTGCAGACCTGTGGCGGCCAAAGATCCAATTGGTAAGTTTTACAGCTGCAGTCAGAGCTGTTTACTGCCCTGTTTTTACATCATATTTGTTCTGAGGGATACAAACTAAGGATGCACCAATCAAACAGCTTGTGACTTGAGTTGATCAGTTTGTGACCTGACCAGTGACAAGCCAATCTAAAATTCAAAAACTTGACAAAATAAAATAAAATCAGCATTCTTGGGGATCTGTAAACACACTGTAGCAAAGGAGCAATGAAACCAACGCATGAATAAAAACTAATTAATGCAAGAAACAACTGAAGAAAACAGTTTATATTCATAAGTTGTTTCATCGAAAACTTTGATCACGAATGGTAGAGAAGATATTCGGGGGCGACTGAAACTACTTGGTGGTGACGACTATTTCCTGAAATACATCAGCAATAATTTAAACTCTGATGCTGATGGTCCTCTTGGTTGTGTTTGTCTTTCTCCTTTATTGATTTGTAGTTTCTTGTGTCTCTAATTTAATATAGTGGTGGTTTGGTTACTGAGTTGTTAGTTTATTTTGGTAATATGACGCAGACTCATACAGATATGAGCCATTAAACATCATGCTGAAGCCATTACAAAATCCCTTTTAAAAAGTTGGAAAAACTTCTTGATATGGTACAAAGTTATCTTTTGATGTTCGCACAGAAGTTTAAAATGTTATGGATCTGTTTAAAAAGGGAGGCTGTAATTATATTTTTTTGTTGAATTTACTTTTTTGGGGAGGAAAATACATAAACACATAAACACTGATTGTTGTATTTCAATAAAAACAATTTAAAAGATTCACAGTGTTTCATGAGAAGTTTCCTAACTTGTCTCTTTTCATCACTTGTTTGTCTGTTTGTTTTGTCTCCTGCTTCAGAACCACCTGGACCACCTGCATGCCTTAAGGTGGGCGACAGCACCAAGACCTCAATAACCCTGACCTGGTCCAAACCTGTGTATGATGGTGGCGCTCCCATCATCAATTACAGCCTGGACCTGAGGCTGAAGAGCGAGGCGGATCCTGAAAAACCCTCAGAGGGTTGGAAGAGGATCGATACTCGTGGTCCACTAGTGATCACGGAGTTCACTATCGGTCAGCTGGATGAGAAGCAGGAGTACGAGTTTAAGGTTTCTGCCCAGAACCAGGTGGGCTGGGGCCGCCATGCCTACCTGAAGGAAGCCGTGTCTCCCAGGGAGATTCTGGGTAAAAATAACTACTAATTGTACACATTTTTATACGTTAGAACTACTATATATTATTTTTGTATTTTATACATGAAGTTCAATTACTTTAAAAACACTGTTCTCTTTAAAATCTGCTTCAGCCACTGGCTTTTTACTACTTTTCCTTTTTAGGCAGCATTTTGCTGCTTTTAGCTTTTATTTAGCATTTTGTTATTTAGCTTTTAGCTAAACCTTTGCTTCCTGTAGCTAACATTTTTTTACTTTTAGCTAACCTTTTACTACGTTTAGCTAATATGATGATTTAGCTAGTATTTGGAAATACGGTAGTTTTGGTGGTTAGTGCCACCGTCTTGTAATCCTAAAGTTACAGTTTTGCAGCCAGGTTGGGTCATGAATATTATGTAAATTTCCTTTAAATCTTTCATTCAAGTTTGATCGCTGTGGCAAACCCTAAAGACGAAAGCAGCCAAGAGAAACATGCTTTTTTTTTTTTAGCTCATATTTTGTTACATTTAGTTTTTAAGCTAGTGTTTTACTGCTTTAAGTTAATGTTATACTATTTTGGGCTTTTAATATATTACTACTTTAGAATTTTAGCTAGTACTTTGGTACTTTTGGCTTTTAGCCACTTTTTTCTTCTTTTTGCTTATAGCTAGTGTTTTGCATTAACCCAATTTGAATTTCTTCAGTAAAGTTATTCAGTACTCAGTGTTCCCACTGTATTTTGAAAAAAAAAAAACTTTTTCTCTAACTGTTCATAAGACGGTTTATTATTTATTTCCAATGGCAACAGAGGCTCCAGAAATCGAACTGGATGCCAGTCTGAGGAAAGGCCTGGCTGTCAGGGCCAGCTGTCCCATCAGGCTGTTTGCTGTGATCAGAGGAAGGCCTGCCCCCAAGGTCACCTGGAAACGCCTGGGTGTGGACAATGTGGTGCGCCGAGGACACGTGGAGCAGGTGGACACCATGTCCTTCCTGGTAATCCCTGAGAGCACCAGAGAGGATTCTGGGAAATATTCACTGACTCTGTCCAACTCAGCCGGAGAGAAAGCTGTGTATGTCCGTGTCAAAGTCCTCGGTAAGAACAGGAAACATAATTAAACTTTTTTGTAAATGTCAGAAATTGTTATCATCTGAATGTTTATTTAACTTTGTGCAGACACTCCTGGTCCTGTTGGAGACTTGGATGCAACCAATGTCACTAAGACCACCGCACAGCTCTCCTGGTTGCCACCAGAAAATGATGGAGGCAGCCCAATTCTTAATTACATAGTGGAGAAACGGGAGGTGGACAGAAAAACTTGGACCAAATGTATAGAGGATCTAAAGAAAACCAGCTTCAAGGTGACTAACCTGTCGCCTAGCATCGAGTACTACTTCAGAGTCATAGCCTGCAACAAATACGGCACGGGAGTTCCTCAGGATTCTCCCAGATCCTACCTGGCTGTGGATCCTCTTAGTAAGTATTATCATAGACACATCATCCTGTCTTAGGCTGAACCCATTTTTCTGATGTTACCCCTAAGCCTTGGCTCTTAATTTAAAGTTGTGAGGGGTGGTGGTTTAAATATTCAGGTACAAATCAAGAATCAAATGTAACATTCGTTGTTCTAAATGCCTTTTATATAAACAGATGTAACATTGTTTTAATAAAGATCTTGTAGGTTTCTTCACTCGTACAACTCATACCTTTAAAATTTGCTCCTGAAAAGTCTCAATTTAAAGAGTCAGATAGCCATATCTCCTTACCTTCGTCCTACTTTACAAAAAGAATGAGACGGTGATCACCAAATGTGGATGCACAAAAATGTTGGGGTTGGGATAATTGTTAAAAGGGGTAAAATGGGATTTGTCCTCAGTTTTGTATTATACTTTTTCTAATCACTGTTATATTTTCCATCAAGGTGAGCCAGACCCTCCGAAGAAGATGGATGTGTTGGAGATCACCAAGAACAGCGCCACTCTGGGCTGGCTGAAGCCCCTCAGAGATGGAGGAGCCAAGATCAACGGCTATGTTGTGGATTACCAGGAGGAGGGTGCACCTGAAAATAAGTGGACACCTTACTCCGTGGTCAAAGACCTGACCATTGTGGTGGTAGGTCTGAAGGAAGGGACAAAGTACCGGTTCAGAGTGGCAGCTAGAAACTCTGTGGGGGTCAGCTTGGCTCGAGAGGCGGAGGGAGTGTTTGAGGTCAAGGAGCAGCTGAGTAAGTAGACCAAACTAATCTCAACTTTCTAACATTGTACAAACTATAAAACAATGTTGAAGGCACAATTAAAAGCTGAAGTTATTTTTATCACCAACTACATGTTTGGTCATCTTGTTTCCAGTGGCTCCAAAGATCATAATGCCTGACATTGTGACGGCCAGAGCTGGAACCAAGATGGTGATCGAGGCCATTGTGGCGGGTAAACCTGCTCCAATCTGCAAGTGGAAGCAGGGCAATGAGGATGTGCTTACCTCGGACCGTTTGTCGCTTGCAAAAACACTGACAACTTGCGCACTCACCATCAAGAACGTGAACAGGAAGGACAGCGGCTACTACAGCCTGTCAGCTGAGAACAGCACTGGCAAAGTCAACCAGATTCTCAGGGTTATCATAATGGGTTAGTTACAGCTCCTCCTGAGAACACAGCATTATTACATAGTATGTGAACACTGAGTGTTGTCATCATTCCATCAACAATGATTTGTCTTCTATGTCTCAGATAAACCTGGACCTCCAGAAGCTCCTTTAGAAATCACAGAGTTGGACATTGATGCCTGCACGCTGCTTTGGAACTCCCCACAGGAAGATGGTGGCAGCAACATCACCAACTACATTGTGGAGAAGTGTGATGTCAGCCAGGGTGACTGGATCACTGTGTCGACTTCCTGCACCAAGACCAGCTTCAGAATGACTAAACTTACTCCTGGCAAAGAGTATGGGTTCAGGGTCCGTGCTGAGAACAGGTTTGGCATCTCAGATCCAATCTACTCTGAGAAGATGGTTGCCAAATATCCATTTGGTGAGTTTTCCATTACAAGATTCATTACTGTTCATTATCTTTACAGTTAATACATTATATGTTAATTTTTTTTTTTTTTTTTACTTCTAAGATCCTCCAAGTGAGCCCAAAAACCTGCAGATCAACAAGGTCAACAAGGACTTTGTTATCCTGTCCTGGGAGTGTCCCAGCAGCGATGGTGGCAGCCCCATCACTGGTTACTGCATCGAGAAGAAGGAGAGAAACAGCCTTCTGTGGGTGAAAGCTAATGAATCTGTGGTCAAAGCCACCCAGTACACCTGCATGGGCCTGATCGAGGGTCTGGAGTACACCTTCAGGGTGTCGGCATATAACCAGGCAGGACAGGGAAAACCATGCAAACAGACAGACTTCATCACTGCTAGGACTGCTATTGGTAAGAAAATGTCCAAGAACTGCTTTTTTTGTCTCAATAAAACCATTAAATTTAAATCATATTATCTACAATGCTTTTTGTTTCCATGCAGACCCACCAGGTAAACCTGAACCCATGGATGTGGCTAAGAACTCTGTTTCATTGGTATGGAGCCGTCCTAAACATGACGGAGGTAGCAAACTGATTGGTTACTACATGGAATACTCAAAGCTCCCAGAGGAGAAGTGGACTCGCTGCAATGCCAACTGCATGAACATTCAAACTGAAAACTACGTTGTTCATGGACTGGAGGAGGGTCAAAAGTACCAGTTCAGGGTCATCGCTAAGACTGCAGTCAACATTAGCCTTCCATCTGAGCTGTCTGATCCCATCACTGTCATAGCAGAGAATGGTACAGCTCTGCACAGAAAAATCTACAATGCGTGGAATAAATGATTGACAAATATTGATAAACATCCTGTCATTATCTCCTGTGCAGTTCCTCCTCGTGTAGAACTTGGCATCAACATGAAAAACCTCATTGTGGTAAAAGCCGGAGAGAACATCTTACTGGATGCAGAGGTGTTTGGCAAACCACTACCCAAGGTGAGTTGGAAGAAAGACGGCGCACATCTGGTCCTTGCTGAGGGAATGAAGGCAACTCAGAAGAAACATGTTCATCTACTGGAGCTCTACTCAGTCACCAGAAAGGAGTCTGGAGACTACACCATCACAGCTGAAAATGTCAATGGCTCCAAATATGCCACCATAAAGGTCAAGGTGCTCGGTAAGTTTGATTCAACATTCTTTTAAATATTCAATTAGTTCTGTTATGTCGTCAGACTTGAAAGTCAACGCTCCATTTTTTTTCCTATGCAGACAAACCGGGACCTCCAGCCTCTGTGAAAATCTCTAAGGTGTTTGCTGACCATGTCAAGATGCGATGGGAGCCTCCGCTGGCAGATGGAGGATCTGAAATCACAAACTACATTATTGAGAAGCGTGAAACCAGCAGGGCCAACTGGGCGCTGGTAACTGCCAACATCCACGGCCACATCACTGACTGCTCAGTGGAGAAACTCATTGAGGGTCATGAATACCAGTTCAGAGTTAGTGCTGAGAACCAGTATGGTGTGGGAGACCCCATCATGACTGATGCTGTCATGATCAAGAACCCATATGGTGAGAAAAATGACTAATGCATATTGAGAGTCCTTTAAAATGTAAAAAATGCCTAAAGTGTGATCAGTTTTTTATCACTTTGCGAAGTATGTGTGGTGATGTCAGACTGACCTTTCCTCTTTCACCAGATGTTCCTGGGCCATGTGAACCTCCCGTAATCACCAATGTTACCAAAGACTCCATGACGGTCAGCTGGAAAGCTCCAGCCAATGATGGCAAAGCTCCCATCCTCGGCTATATGGTGGAGAAACGTGATGCCACTGAGCTGACTTGGGCGAAGGTCAACCGCCGTCCGGTCATCGACAGAACCATCAAGGCTGTTCAGCTGACTGAGGGCTCTGAGTACGAGTTTAGAATCATCGCCTTGAATAAGGCTGGTCTGGGCAAACCCAGTGATCCATCCAATGCTGTTCTGGCTGTTGACCCTGTCTGTGAGTGTCTGTTGAATAAAAATTATTTTAATTTACACCAACACTTGTTTTACATATAATTCTCACTTATAATTCTTCAGATCCTCCTGGCCCACCTGCATTCCCCAAGGTGGTGGACTCAACCAAGAACTCTGTGAGCCTCAGCTGGACCAAACCAGCATACGATGGTGGTTGCGAGATCATTGGATATCTGGTAGAGTGCAAGCGAGCGGACGCCGAAGACTGGACTAACTGCAACATCCCAAAGAAGCTTCAGGCCACTAAGTTTGTGATGACTGGGCTGATGGAAAACATTGAGTACCAGTTCAGAGTCACCGCTGTTAACAAGATTGGATATAGTGAACCCAGCGAAGTTCCTGGAAACCACATGGCCAAGGACATTTTGAGTATGTTCATTGTTGCACTGTATTTGCATAATTGTTTTCTACACCCACATTATTTCATTTAAGTGTTTTACCTATTTAAAGTATAATGTTCTGTGCAAATGTTCTAAAATGTGCCTGAACCAACTTGTGTCACACCTGCAATGATGCGTTATTGGTCCTGATTGTATTGAAGCATTTTCTTTTAACTTACTTAACAAACTGACTAGTAAATTCGTCTTCATTTTTCCAGAACATGGCATATGAAGCATATAACTAACTTTAGTGAAATTCATGTTTTAAACGTCACACCTGTCAGAGGATTATAGGAACACCTGCTGTGTTCAACATTTATATGATGCATGGTTTCATTTAGAAGTATAAAGATTGTAAAAACTCAATTTTTTTACTGAGAGACAGAATACAGTCAACCAGAAAAACTCTCAATAGTTAAAACCTTTTAATCTAACAACTGATTATTCCATCAATATGCAGTCCCTCCTGAAGGTGAGCTGGATGCTGACTTGAGGAAGGCTCTGGTTCTGCGAGCTGGTGTCACGATGAGGCTCTACGTCCCTCTAAGAGGACGACCAGCACCAAAGGTGACATGGACAAAGGTGGACGCCAACCTGAAGGAAAGGCAGGGCATCTTGATCAAGACATCTGACTGGGACACCTTTTTGATGGTAGAGGACATAAACAGATATGATGCTGGCAAATATGTCCTGTCCCTGGAGAACAGCAGCGGATCCAAGAGCTATACCATCATAGTGAAGGTCCTTGGTAAGGATCTCCATTTAAAAATGCACTTCTGCAAGTTTGGGATTAAAAAGAGACTGATAACATATCAGATTATTATAAGTTGTTAGATATGTGGTTTTATTTTTACATTAATGCTAGATACAATCTGTAACTATAATCCATCCAAAGCATCAGAAAGCAACAATATAATGGGAAATTTATTATTTTTGGGGTAAGTAAAGAAAAATGGTTTATAAAGAAAATCTATAGTGTACATTCAAGATAATGTATGTAAATGAAAACCTCAGAAACCTAATTTATTCTTTGACAACCTGCTATGGATTTCAGTTCCTTTGACTGAAATATACTGCTTTTCTACCCTTCTCAGATTCACCTGGACCACCTGTAAACCTGATTGTGAAGGAGACCTCCAGAACCCATGCCTGTATCACCTGGGATGCACCTCTGATTGATGGTGGCAGTCCGGTGAAAAGCTATATTGTAGAGAAACGTCTGGCTGAGAGGAAGGCATGGACCTGCGTGTCAGCAGAGTGCCACAAGCCCTCATTCAGGATCACCAACCTGGAGCCAGGACAAGCATACTGCTTCAGAGTGCTGGCTGAAAATGCCTATGGTATTGGAGAGGGCTGTGAGACTCAGGGCAGCATCCGGGCATCAGGTATGTTGGTGTAAATTCTCCGTCCCCAGGACATGACAGTCCTAGGTGGTTCAATAAAAGGCAACTAGATTTTTTCACGTTTCAAAAAACAATAGAAGAAAATGCAGTGTCTTTCATTAAACCACTTGGGATTGTCAGAGCAGAAAAGATCTTTCTACGTCTCAGAAGTGTATTAAAGGTTTTTAGAAAATCATTTTGTTACTTACAGCATTTTTATGAAAAAACAAAAGTTGGACAGGACAGAAAACCTCCCAACACATGATCAGTCTTAACTCATCTCACCTTGTTTTTCAGAAAACCCTGGTCCAGTGACAGACTTTAAAGCCCAGAAGACCACCAAGAATTCAATCACTCTAGGATGGAAAAAGCCCATCAGTGATGGGGGAAGCTTTGTTACTGCATACATACTAGAGCAGAGTGAAGGCGAGGAGAAGTGGACCCAAATTATGAAGGGCAAGAACATGTCATACACCATCAGTGAGCTGACAGAGGGCAAATCTTATCTATTCAGAGTCAAGGCACTCAACGAGTCAGGGGAGGGACCACCAACTGAGCTCACTGTTGTTGCCAAAGACCAGTTTGGTAAGAAGTCAGCCTTCATCACACATAGTGTGAGGTGAACTCGCTTGTTTTCCTAAACAATAGTTTATACAGTATTATTGTAATCATTATTTCTTTACTTTTCAGTGCTGCCTGACTGCAACTTGAGCGTTCTGCAGGATGGTTGCTATGTGGTGAAGGAGGGTGCCACGACGCGTATAAACATTCCTGTCACTGGAGTGCCCTACCCAACTGCCACCTGGAAGAAAGGCGACACAGGGCTCGGTGATACTGGCCGTATTTGCATCGAGGCTTCACTGGGAGTCACCACACTGCTGATCAGAGACTGCCAGAGAGGAGATGCTGATACTTTCACTATAAATGTTAGGAACAGTGCTGGCTCCAAAGACTGCAAGTTCCAGCTGAAGGTGGTTGGAAAGCCCGGCATCTGCACCGGTCCTATCAAGTTTGATGAGATTACTGCTGATGGCATTACCCTGGAATGGGCGCCACCCAAAGACGATGGAGGTGCTGAGGTGTCAAATTACATTGTTGAGAAGAGGAGGACAACAGACAACAAGTGGGCAACAGTGGCTTCAGCCATTCAGAAGACTGCCATGAGGGTGATCAGACTCCACGATGGAATAGAGTACATTTTTAGAGTTTGTGCCGAGAATAAGTACGGGATTGGAGAGTACCTGAGATCTGACCCAGTCATTGCCCAGCATCCATTCAGTGAGTACTATGCTGTTCGTGCACCAGATTTCATAAGTCCTTTTGTGTTTGTCTGTTAATGAGTGTGGATTGCTTAGGCAAGTATTCAGTACAGTATGCTGTTACACAAGCCAACCAATCAACAAGCTGTGAATGAGGAAATACGTCTTTGCTTCCTTGATATTAATGCTGTCTTTCACTCTACCTCTCTTTCCTACAGATGTACCTGAGGCGCCTGCTCCTCCAGAGATTGTGAGCATCCGCCACGAATCAGCCATTCTGACATGGGCTGATCCAAAAGACACTGGTGGCTCCCCAATTACTGGTAAAAAATACAATGATGAATATCAATTAGTAGTTAACCATGAAAAACAGTTTTGAAATTGTAACAAGTTTTCCCCCTTTTTTTAGGATATCATATAGAGTTTAAGGAGAGGAACAGCCTGATGTGGAAAAGGGCCAGTAAGACTCCTCTGAGAGTAAAGGAGTGTAGAGTCACAGGTCTAATAGAAGGACTAGAGTACGAGTTCAGGGTGATGGCCATAAACGTGGCTGGTCTTGGAAAGGCAAGTAAGGTCACGGAAGCAGTGGTCGCTCTTGATCCTATTGGTGAGTTAATCTATTATAAGCTTGTCACTTTTTATTGCAGTACTAAATACCTGGATTTAAAATTATACTTTCATTGTTTTTGATAAATGCCTGTTTTTTGTCAGATCCACCTGGCAAACCTGAAGTTATTAATGTGACCAGGAACACAGTCACTATGATTTGGACTGCTCCTAAATATGATGGTGGCTATAAGCTGACTGGCTACATGGTGGAGAAGCTAGAGGCTGTTGGCAAGACCTGGATGAAGGCTAACCATGTCAACATCCAGAGCTGTGCCTTCACCGTCACTGACCTGACAGAAGGATCTCAATATCAGTTCAGAATTAGAGCCAGAAATGCTGCTGGTGCTATCAGTGTTCCTTCAGAATCTACCGAGTCCCTGACCTGCAAGGATGAGTACGGTAAGCTGGGTGGTGAATTAGCATCAGTAATTTAGCAATTACAACATGTATGTAACTACAAGATCTGAAAATCCAATATTTTTAGTTTTACAAACATCTAATTGTTAAAGTTATTACAGTGAATTTATGAGGAATGTTTGTTTGACTTTACTGTCTTTACAGAGCCCCCATCTATTACTATTGACCAAGCCATGAAGGAGGGCGTGTCAGTCAGGGCAGGAGACACAATTGTGATCTCAGCCTCTAAAATTGTGGGTAAACCTCCCCCAACATCTGTCTGGTTCAAAGGAGGTCGTGAGTTGAAGAACTCTGACATTGTCACTGTCACCAGCACCCCTACCTCTTCCACCCTGGCTATTAAATATGCAAGCCGGAAGAACACAGGAGATTATACCATCACCGCTAGCAACCCTTTTGGTATTAAGGAAGAACATATTAGAGTGAAGGTCCTAGACGTTCCTGGACCTCCAGGTCCTATTGAAGCAAGCAATATTTCAGCTGAGAAGTGTACCCTGACCTGGCTTCCACCAGAGGAGGATGGAGGATGCTCAATCAAGTCTTACATCCTAGAAAAGAGAGAAACTAGCCGTCTGCTGTGGACCAAACTAGCTGAAAATATCATGGACTGCAGACATGTAGCCCACAAACTGATCAAAGGCAACGAGTATATCTTCAGAGTGTCTGCTGTGAACCAGTATGGAACTGGAGACTCAAGCCAGTCTGGGCCAGTCAAAATGGTAGACAGTTTTGGTAAGGTTACTTAATTTATTTCTTATAATAAATTAATGCAATATTGCAGTATTAAAATGTTGAAAAGACAACATTTCCATTTTGCAATATTTGTAGTATTTTTTTAAGCTGCAAAAAAACGTTTTCTCCCAAATTATGTTTTCCCCAGGTCCCCCTGGTCCACCTTCAGCCCCAGAGATTGATAATGTCAGTAGGAATGCTATCACCATTTCATGGAAGAGACCAGTAAAGGATGGGGGAAGTGACATTAGAGGTTACAGTGTAGAGAGAAAAGAAAGGAGAGGAATGAGATGGGTGAGAGCCTGTAAAAGGACAGTTCCTGACCTGCGCTTTAAGGTGCAAGGCCTGACCGAGGGAGTAGAGTATGAGTTTAGAGTCACGGCTGAGAATAAGGCTGGATTTGGGGAGCCAAGTGAGCCATCACATCCTGTCATGACCAAGGATATTGTTTGTAAGTAAATACATATTTTAGACTAAATAGAGTATTTCAAGGTACATTTTAAAACTGTATCCTCTTGTATAACCTGTTGTTTATTTATTTTTTAGATCCACCTGGTCCTCCATCCAATCCCAGAATTGCAGACACCACTAAAACCACAGCAACCTTTGCTTGGGGCCACCCACATTACGATGGTGGTCTTAAAGTGGAAGGATACATTATTGAGTATAAAAAAGAAGGTCATGATGACTGGGATACAGAGACACAGTACCCAGTGAAAATGACTGAATATGTTATTGGTAAACTCCAAAAAGGAGGTAAATACCATTTCAGAGTTAGTGCTGTGAACTCTGAAGGAGTAGGTGAGCCTGCTGAGGTTGAGAAAGTTACTGAACTGGTGGACCAAGAAACAATGCCAGACTTTGAGCTGGATGCTGAACTCAGAAAAACTCTAGTGGTCAGGTGCCGTGCTTCCATTCGTATATTTGTTTCCATCAGGGGCCGACCTATTCCTGAAGTCACTTGGAGCAAAGAAAATACCAACTTAAAAGCACGTGCACACATAGACACAACAGAGTCCTACACTCTGCTTGTTATTCCTGACTGCACTAGATATGATGCTGGAAAGTATCAGCTCTGTCTAGAGAACGTTGCTGGGAAAAAGACAGGCTTTGTTAATGTGAAAGTTCTGGACACACCTGGACCACCAGTTAACCTCAGACCAAGAGAGATCACCAAGAACAGCATAACCCTCCAGTGGGAAATTCCCATAATTGACGGAGGTTCCAAGATTCATAACTACATTATTGAAAAGAGAGATGCCACCAAGAAGGCCTACACAGTGCTCAGCACCCAATGGCAAAAGTGCTCTTTTAAATTCCAAGACCTTGTGGAAGGAGCCTACTACTACTTCCGTGTGTCTGCTGAAAATGATTTGGGTGTAGGTGAGCCTGCTGAAACCCCTGAGCCAATAAGAGTGTCCCAAGCTCCCTCTGCACCAGAGAACTTGTATGTCACTGATGTGACCTCTGACAGTGCTAGCCTTGCGTGGACCAAACCTCTGCATGATGGTGGTAGCTTGATTACTGGATATGTCATTGAAGCTCAGAAGAAGGACACTGATCAGTGGGTCCACATGGCCACCATCAAAGCTCTAGATTACACTGTTACAGATTTGGTTGAGGGTGCTGAATACACCTTCCATATAATGGCTGTGAATGCATCAGGCCGAAGTGATCCCCGTGAAAGCAGACCTGCAATAATTAAAGAGCACACCTCTGCTCCATCATTTGATCTGAGAGGGGTCTACCAGAAAACCGTGATTGTTAAGGCAGGAGATCGTGTGAAGGTAGAGATTCCGGTGCTGGGAAAACCCAGGCCTGTTGTCTCCTGGAAGAAGGGAGACTTTGTGTTGAAAGAGACACAACGAATAAATGTTGAAACAACATCAACATCAACTATTCTCAACATTAATGAGGTCAGGAGGACTGATGGAGGCCAGTATTCCATGACAGGAAAGAACATGCTTGGTACAGTGACAGAGACAATCACCCTCCTGGTCCATGATATTCCAGGTCCTCCTAGTGGTCCTATCAAACTGGATGAGGTCTCATGTGATTATGTCATTCTCTCATGGGAAGCTCCAGAAAATGATGGAGGTGTTCCTATCAACAACTATATTGTTGAGATGCGAGAGACTACTGGCACTTCATGGGTGGAATTGGCAGCTACCGTTATCCGAACCACATTCAAAGCAGCAAGACTCAATACTGGTACCCAGTATCAGTTCCGTGTCAAGGCTCAGAACAGATATGGCATTGGACCTTGCATTCTCTCTGAACCAGTGTTGGCTGCCTATCCATTTGATGTGCCAAGTCAGCCTGGCAGTCCCATGGTAACATCGTTCAACAAGGATCATATTACTCTTAGCTGGAATGAGCCAGCCTCTGATGGAGGCAGTCCTATTCTAGGCTATCACATGGACAGAAAGGAGAAGAATAGCATTCTGTGGCAGAGGATCAGCAAAGCTCTTGTTGTTGGAAACATCTTCAAATCAACAGGCCTTGTTGATGGCATTGCATACGAACATCGTGTTATTGCTGAAAACATGGCTGGTCTTAGCAAACCTAGCAAACCCTCTGAGCCTATGTATGCTTTGGACCCAGTCGAACCACCAGGCAGACCTGTAGCACTGAATATTACCAGACATGAGGTGACACTGTCATGGACCAAACCAGAAGGTGATGGGGGATTCTCCATCACTGGATATACAGTAGAGAGGAGAGAGATGCCTAATGGACGCTGGCTCAAAGCAAACTTCAACAACATTCTAGAAACCATGTTTACAGTTAGTGGTCTGACTGAAGATGCAACCTACGAATTTCGTGTGTTTGCTCGTAATTCAGCTGGTGCTGTTAGCGCTCCATCTCAGCCATCAGAGACAATCACATGCAGAGATGACATCGAAGAGCCCAGGCTTGATGTGGATACATCATATAGCAGCATTGTTGCAGTCATGGCAGGAGAGCCATTCAAGCTGGAAGCCAGTGTGACTGGCAGACCATTACCTTCTTTAGTATGGACCAAGGAAGGAAAGGAGCTGGAGGATACGGGCAAAATAGAAATAAAGACATCTGATTTTCACACAACTTTAATCAATAAAGATTCACTCAGGAGGGATGGTGGTTCTTTCACCCTGACTGCCAGCAATCCTGGTGGCTTTTCCAAATTCACATTCAATGTTAAAGTATTTGACAGACCTGGACCACCAGATTCCCTAACTGTTACAGATGTCACTGCTGAGAAATGTGTGCTTAACTGGCTACATCCAACCCATGATGGTGGTGCCAAGATTGAGTACTTCATAATACAGAGGCGTGAGACCAGTAGGTTGGCATGGACAAATGTGGCAACAGACCTTCAAGTAAACAGGTTTAAAGTTACCAAGCTTCTTAAGGGCAATGAGTACATTTTCAGGGTCATGGCTGTTAACAAGTATGGTGTGGGTGAGCCTTTAGAGTCGGAAGCCATTATTTGTGCCAACCCATATGGTCCAAGTGACACACCAACACAGCCTGAAGTCACCACAATTACTAAAGACTCTATGGTTGTTTGCTGGGAGCGTCCTGAACATGACGGAGGCAGTAGAATCAACACATATATAATAGAAAGACGGGATAAGACAGGCCTACGCTGGGTGAAGTGTAACAAGAGAACTGTAACTGACTTGCGATTCAAGGTCTCTGGTCTTACACTAGGACATGAATATGAATTCAGAGTTTTTGCTGAAAATAATGCTGGTCTAAGCCAGCCTAGTCCTTCCAGTCCGTTCTACAAAGCAGTCGACACCATCTTCCAGCCTGGACCACCAGGAAACCCAAGACTGCTGGACACAACAAAGTCGTCAATTACAGTTGCCTGGAACAAACCTGTCTATGATGGTGGTTCTGAAATCACTGGTTACATTGTGGAAACTTGCCTGCCTGAGGAGGATGAATGGACAATCCATACTCCTAAAAAGGGATGGACAGCCACCTCCTTCAGCATCACAAATCTGAAGGAAAACCAGGAGTACAAAATTAACATCTGCGCCACTAATAGTGAAGGAGTGGGAGAGCCTGCTGCTGTTCCTGGAACCCCTAAGGCTGAAGACAGACTACTTCCTCCAGAAATTGAACTTGGTGCAGAACTACGTAAAGTAGTCTGCATAAGAGCCTGTGGTACACTTAGACTGTTTGTCCCTATCAAGGGCAGACCAGCACCAGAAGTAAAATGGTCAAGAGAGCACGGAGAATCTCTAGACAGAGCCAACATTGAAATCACTTCATCATTCACAACTCTTCAGATAGACAATGTTGACAGATTTGATGGAGGAAAATACTTGGTGACAGTAGAAAATGCATCGGGAAGTAAGACAGCTTTTGTTAATGTCAGAGTACTAGATACTCCTGGAGCACCCCAGAATCTGATTGTTAAAGAGGTCACCAGAAATTCTGTTTCCTTGGTTTGGGATGCACCTCTCATAGATGGGGGCTCCAGAATCCGCAGCTACATTGTGGAGAAACGTGAGTCAACCAGAAAAGCCTACTCAACTGTTTGTGCCAGTTGCCATAAGTCTAGTTGGAAAGTTGGAGACTTAGAGGAAGGAAAATTGTACTTCTTTAGAATCCTGGCTGAAAATGAGTTTGGTATTGGTCTTCCAGTAGAGACTCTTGAACCAATTAAAGCATCAGAGAAGCCTCTACCACCAGGCAAAGTATCCCTCCTTAAAGTAACCAGTACTAGTGTCACACTAGCTTGGGAAAAACCAGATCATGATGGTGGAAGCAGAATTACAGGCTATTTTATTGAGATGCAGAGAAAGGGAAGTGAGAAATGGACTCAGGTCATGGTGGTAAAAACCAACGAGGCTCAGGTTACTGGACTTACACAGGGAGAAGAGTATATGTTCCGTATTTCAGCCACTAATGAAAAGGGTGTTAGTGATCCACGCCCTCTCAATGTGCCTGTAGTGGCTAAAGATTTGATAATCCCACCAACTTTCAAGCTGCTTTTCAACACATTCAGTACACTTGCAGGAGATGATCTTAAGATTGATGTTCCATATGTTGCCTGCCCAAAGGCTACAGCAACTTGGTTCAAAGATGGTATTGTTCTCAAGGAAACAATAAGGGTTAATGCTGAGACAACAGACAATAACCTCCATCTTGTCATTAAGGAAGCTTGCAGAGATGATGTAGGCATATACACTATAAAACTTACCAACACAGCTGGAGAGGCTACAGCTGATATCAGTGTTGTTGTCTTAGATAAACCTGGTCCTCCAGCAGGCCCAATCAAGCTGGATGAAGTCACTGCTGACAGTGTGGTCTTGTCTTGGAATCCCCCACTGTATGATGGTGGTTGTGCAATCAATAATTACATTGTAGAGAAGAGAGACACATCAACTACAAACTGGCAGATTGTGTCTGCTACAGTAGCCAGAACAACCATTAAGGCAGCCCGTCTGAAAACTGGACTTGAGTACCAATTTAGAATTGCTGCAGAAAATAGGTATGGGAAGTCTTCATTCCTGCTTTCTGATAACATTGTTGCTCAGTATCCTTTTGAAGTGCCCAGCTCACCACGTTCCATTGTGGTGCAGTCAGTCACCAGGGAGAACATGATTGTTGTATGGGAGAAACCTAGCAATGATGGTGGAAGCAAAATTCTAGGCTACCACTTAGAACTTAAGGAGAGAAACAGTATTCTGTGGGTGAAACAGAACAAACAGCTTATCCCAGAGACCAGATTTAAGGTTGTTGGACTCGAGGAAGGTATTGAATATGAGTTTAGAGTCTATGCTGAGAATATTGTTGGCCTGAGCAAAGCCAGCATAGTGAGTGAAATGCAAGTGGCCAGGGATCCTTGTGACAGACCAGGGAAACCAGAAGCTGTCATTGTAACAAGACACCAAGTAACTCTGAGATGGACCAAACCTGAGTATGATGCTGGTATCAAGATCACAGGCTATGTGGTTGAGAAAAAGGAAGGAGGTGGCCGTTGGATGAAGGCCAGTTTTGCCAATGTTATTGAGACTGAATTTGTTGTCACAGGACTTACTGAAGATCAGACTTATGAGTTCCGTGTCATTGCCAAAAATGCAGCAGGTGTCTTTAGCCAACCATCTGATTCTACTGGAACCATCACTGCCAAAGATGAGGTTGATCCTCCTAGAATTGACTTGGAGACTAAGTACTCCCAGGTTATGGTTGTGAATGCAGGAGAGACATTTAGACTTGAAGCAGGAATTTATGGTAAGCCTGTGCCCAGTGTACACTGGCTGAAAGAGGGCAATGAGATTACAGAAGCGGCTCGTTTAGAAATTCATAATACAGACTTTACAGCTTGTATAATTGTTAAGGAAGCCATTCGTGTTGATGGAGGTCAGTACACCTTGCTGGTAAAGAATGTTGGAGGAGAGAAAACTGTTCACATTAATGTCAAGGTCTTGGACAGACCAGGTCCACCAGAGGGCCCTATATCTATCTATGGTGTCACCAGTGAGAAATGCTCAATTTCCTGGAAACCTCCCTTGCAAGATGGCGGTAGTGATGTTTCACATTACATTGTTGAGAGGAGGGAAACCAGCAGACTTGTGTGGACTGTAGTTGAACAAAAAGTTCAGACTTTGAATCTGAAAATCACCAAACTTCTTCCTGGTAATGAATACATATTCAGAGTAATACCTGTAAACAAATATGGTATTGGTGAACCTTTAGAATCTGAGCCAATGATTGCCAAAAATCAATTTGTCGCTCCAAGCCCACCAACAGAAGTAGAAGTCTCCACAATTACCAAGGACTCTATGGTAGTGACTTGGGAGAGACCCGTTAATGATGGTGGCAATCCCATCCAAGGTTATGTTGTTGAGAAACGTGACAAGGATGGTGTAAGATGGACTAGATGCAACAAACGCAATTTGACTGAGCTACGCTTTAGAGTGACAGGACTCATTGAAAATCATAGCTATGAATTTAGAGTTTCTGCTGAGAATGCTGCAGGAATTGGCACACCGAGCACATCAACAGTGTACTACAAAGCACTGGATCCAATTTTTGAAGCAGGCCCACCAAACAATCCCAGGGTGGTAGACATCTCTAGGTCCACAGTGTCTCTTACATGGGGCAAGCCCATATATGATGGTGGCTGTGAAATTCAGGCTTACATTGTTGAAGCGTGTGATGTAGCATCTGATGAGTGGTTTATTTGTACCCCTCCCACTGGAATAATAGACACTAAATTCACAGTGACAAAGCTTCTGGAGAAGCATGAGTACCAGTTCAGGGTTTGTGCAATTAACAAAGTTGGTATTGGTGAACATGCTGATGTGCCTGGAAAAATTCTTCTGGAGGAGAAGCTTGAGGCTCCTGACCTTGACTTAGATGCTGAGATGAGAAAAACTATCAACATAAGAGCAGCAAGCACTTTAAGACTGTTTGTACCTGTAAGAGGTCGTCCATCTCCTGAGGTGAAATGGGGCAAAGCTGATGGAGAAATTAAGGAAACTGCCTTAATTGATAACACGGGAAGCTATGCTTCACTTGTCATTGAGAATGTTGACAGATTTGACAGTGGCAAGTACACCTTGACTGCAGAAAATGCTAGTGGAGCTAAGTCAGCTTTCATCAGCGTCAGGGTTCTAGATTCCCCTAGTCCACCAACTAACTTAATGGTTAAAGAGATTACAAGGAACTCTGTCACTCTCTCTTGGGAGCCCCCACTTTTGGATGGTGGCTCAAAGATTAAGCATTACATTGTTGAAAAGCGTGAAAGCACCAGGAAAGTATACTCTACCATTACCACCTGCAACAAGATGTCATGGAAAGTTGAGTCTCTTCCAGAGGGTGGAATCTTCTTCTTCAGAGTCTTGGCTGAGAATGAATATGGTGTGGGTCTTCAAGCTAAAACTATTGAGCCAATTAAAATATCAGAGAAGCCTCAACCACCTGGTAAGGTTAGTGTTGTTGATGTCAGTAAGAGCACTGTTACTTTAACTTGGGAGAAATCTCAGTATGATGGTGGCAGTAGAATCAGTCACTATGAAGTTGAAATTGCTCCTAAGGACAGTGAGACTTGGTCTGTGTGTGCCAGTGTGAAAGGTGTGGAGACAGTAGTAAGCAACCTTCTCAAGGGAGAGGAATATCAATTCAGGGTAATTGCTGTTAATGAAAAGGGTAAAAGTGACCCAAGACAACTGGTTCAATCAGTTGTAGCAAAGGACCTTGTCATTGAGCCTTCTGTTAGACCCAAAGTGAGCTCCTACAGTGTTCAGGTTGGGTATGATCTCAAGATAGAGGTCCCAGTTGCTGGTCATCCAAAACCAACCATCACTTGGACTAAGGATGGACTGGCCCTTAAACAGACCACCAGAGTCAATGTCACTGACTCAGCACATCACACAACTCTAACCATAAAGGATGCTACCAGAGAGGATGGTGGTATGTACAGTATCAATATTGCCAATGCCCTGGGTTCCAAGGATGCCACTATTGAGGTAATCACTTTGGATAAACCAGGCCCACCAACAGGCCCTATCAAGATTGAAGATATAAGTGCTGAGAGTATGACTCTTAGTTGGGAAGCTCCCACATACACAGGTGGATGTCCAATCTCTAACTATGTAGTGGAGAAAAGAGACACAACTACAACTAACTGGGTTGTTGTATCTGCCACTGTGGCCAGAACCACATTAAAAGTAACCAATCTGAAGACAGGTGCTGAATACCAATTCAGAATCTTTGCTGAAAATAGATATGGAAAAAGTTATGCAATTGATTCACAGCCTGTTGTAGCACAATATCCATTCCAGGAACCCGGCCCTCCAGGGACACCATTTGTGTCTTCATATACTAAAGATTATATGGTGGTTGAGTGGAATAAACCTCCATCTGATGGAGGCAGTGCCATTTTGGGCTATCATTTAGAGAGAAAAGAAAAGAACAGTATACTGTGGACTAAGATCAACAAAATGCTCATCCAAGAATGCAAATTCAAGTCCACTCCACTTGAAGAAGGCATTGAGTATGAGTATAGAGTATATGCTGAGAACATAGTGGGCATTGGAAAATGCAGCAAAGTGTCTGAGGTTTACGTAGCCCGTGATCCATGTGATCCACCTGGTTGTCCTGAGGCTGTAATTATAACCAGGCACTCAATGAAGCTGAGGTGGTCACCTCCACAATATGATGGTGGAAGCCTTCTAACTGGCTATGTAGTTGAGAAGCGTGACCTCCCTGAGGGAAAATGGATGAAGGCCAGCTTTGCAAACATTATTGAACAAGAATTTACAGTCACTGGCCTTACAGAGGACAGTAAATACGATTTCAGAGTGATTGCAAGGAATGCAGCTGGTGCTGTCAGTAAGCCTTCTGATACAACAGGGTCCTTAACAGCCAAGGATGAAGTTGAGCCTCCTAAGTGTGAGACTGATCCTATGTACAATCAGACCCTTGTTATTAATGCCGGAGAAACGTTCAGTCTGGAGGCCAGTGTGGAAGGAAAACCCATCCCAGCAGCTCAGTGGTTCAAGGGAAGTGTTGAAATTGAAAACTCTGCAAGAAGTGAAATCAAAAACACAGATTTTAAAGCTTTACTTGTTATGAAAGATGCCATCAGAGTGGATGGTGGACAGTACACTCTGGTTCTAACAAATGTTGCTGGAACCAAGTCCGTCCCATTCAGTGTGAAGGTTCTAGATAGACCAGGTCCATCAGAAGGACCACTTACAATTAGCAATGTTACTGAGGAGAAATGCTCACTGTCATGGCTGCCACCTAGGCACGATGGAGGTGCTAACATTTCTCACTATATAATTCAAAAGAGAGAAACCAGTCGCTTGGCATGGACTGTGGTTTCCAGTGATTGTGGAGCTACAATGTTAAAGGTTACCAAACTATTGAAGGGCAATGAGTACATCTTCAGAGTTATGGCTGTCAACAAATATGGAGTGGGTGAGCCTCTTGAATCCGAACCAGTCATCATGAGAAATCCATTTGTTCCTCCTGGCTCACCTCGTGAACTTGAGATCACTAACATTACCAGGGATTCCATGACAGTCTGTTGGAACCGCCCTGAGACCACAGGAGGAAGTGATATTGTTGGTTACATTGTTGAAAAGAGAGACAGAGCTGGAATTAGGTGGACCAAGAGCAATAAACGCAGAGTGACAGACTTGCGTTTTAGAGTAACAGGACTCACTGAGGACCATGATTATGAGTTCAGGGTATCTGCTGAGAATGCAGCTGGAGTGGGCCAGCCAAGCCCACCTACACCCTACCTCAAAGCATGCGATCCCATCTTTGAACCAGGTTGTCCTACCAATGCTCATGTGGTTGACACTACAAAAGACTCCATCAGCCTAGCTTGGCATAAGCCTATATATGATGGCGGTTGTGAAATTCAAGGATATGCTGTGGAAATTACAAAGGCTGAAGAGGAAGAATGGACTATTTGCACGCCACCTACTGGAGTAAACACTACCAAGTTCACCATCAAACGTTTGACAGAACATCAAGAATACAAAGTGCGTGTTTGCGCAATCAATAAAGAAGGTGTTGGTGAGCCCACAGAAATCCAGGGAGTATTGATACCTGTAGATAAAATTGATCCTCCAGAGGTTATTTTGGACTCAGAACTTAGGAAAGGAATAGTTGTTCGTGCAGGAGGCTCAATGAGAATCTGCATTCCTTTCAAGGGTCGTCCTGTTCCTGAAGTAAGCTGGGCCAAGGAAGATGGCGAGCTGCCCACTAAAGTTCAAATTTTGTCAGGTGAAGATTACACTCAGCTTTCCATTGACATATGTGACAAATATGATGCAGGAAAATACATCCTCACTTTAGAAAATAGTGCTGGAAGCAAATCAGCTTTTGTCTCCGTTAAAGTTCTAGACACTCCTGGTGCTCCTTTAAATCTAACAGTAAAAGACATAAAAAGGGAGAGTGTCACTCTGACCTGGGAACCTCCAGTTATTGATGGTGGTTCAAGAATAAAGAATTATCTAGTTGAAAAGCGTGAGTCCACAAGGAATGTGTATTCCAATGTAGACAACAAATGCACAAAGACAAGTTATCGTATCACTGGGCTCACCGAAGGAACAATCTACTATTTCAGAGTCTTGGCTGAAAATGAATTTGGTGTTGGACAGCCAGTTGAGACAGAAGAATCTGTCAAAACATCTGAGCCACCTTTGCCTGTGGGTAAGGTAAATCTGACTGAAGTCACTAAAACTACTGCCTCGCTCTCCTGGGAGAAACCAGTCCATGATGGAGGCAGCAGGATCATTGGCTACTACATTGAGATGCAGCCCATGGGCTCTGAGGAATGGGTTGTAGCTGCAACAATCAAAACTTGTGAGGGCACTGTCACGGGCCTCAGTGCAGGACATGAGTACTTGTTTAGAGTGTCAGCTTTCAATGAGAAAGGCAGAAGTGACCCCAGACCTCTGGCTTCACCAGTTACTGCTAAAGATGTAACTGTTGAGCCCAGGTTTAAAATCAAATTCACTACTTATAGTTTACAACAAGGTGAAGATCTCAAAATTGAGATTCCAGTATTGGGACGCCCTGTTCCCAAGGTTGAATGGAAAAAGGAGGGGCAAGCTCTGAAGGAGACAACCAGATTGAATGTATCCAGCACACCATCATCCACTAAGTTGGTAATCAAGGAAGCGAATAAAGAAGATTCTGGTAAATACACTATCACAGCCACCAGCAGCATTGGAACAACTACAGAGGAGATTACTGTCATTATTCTCGACAAGCCAGGACCACCCACAGGGCCTGTAAAAATTGAAGAGGTGAGCTCTAATTATGTTACACTTTCCTGGGAGCCACCAGAATACACTGGAGGCTGTCAGATCAACAACTACATTGTAGAGAAGAGAGATACAACCACTACAGCATGGCAGATTGTGTCTGCTACAATTGCCAGGACAACCATCAAAGTCACAAATTTAAAGACTGGTGTTGAATACCAGTTTAGAGTGTTCGCTGAGAATAGATATGGAAAGAGTTCAGCTATTGTCTCTCCTGCTGTTGTTGCCAAATATCCATTTAGTGAACCTGCTGCCCCAGGAACGCCAGTTATAACAGCTGCAACCAAGGATAGCATGGTAGTTGAATGGAAACCTCCCACCAACAATGGAGGCAGCCCAATTATTGGGTATCACCTGGAAAGAAAGGAGAAGAACAGCCTTTTGTGGACAAAACTCAACAAACTTCTAATTCCAGAAACACGATTCAAAACCACAGACTTGGAAGAAGGTATTGAATATGAATTTAGAGTTTATGCTGAGAACATTGCTGGTTTTAGTCCAGCCAGCAAGGTCTCTGAAAGCACAGTAGCTAGGGACCCATGTGACCCACCAGGCACTCCTGAAGCCATTGAAATCACTAGAAACCATGTTACACTCCAATGGACCAGACCTCAGTATGATGGAGGCAGTACAATCACTGGCTATGTGATAGAAAGGAGAAAGCACCCAGATACTCGGTGGATGAAAGCCAGCTTTACCAACATTATTGAGACCCAGTTCAAAATCACTGGTCTCACTGAGGATCGTGTCTATGAATTTAGAGTCATTGCCAGAAATTCTGCTGGCATTTCTAGTTGCCCATCAGGTAGCACAGGAGAAATTACAGCCAAAGATGCAATTGAAGCTCCAGATGCCACTGTGGATTCCAAATTCAAAGATCTGACAGTTGTTCATGCTGGTGAGTCATTTGTCATCGATGCGGACTATACAGGTAAACCTCTGCCTGAGGTCACATGGTTGAAGGATGGAAAGGAAATTGACAAAACCACACCAAGAACAGAGATAAAGACCACACTTACCCGTACCATCCTGACAGTTAAGGATTGTATCAGAGTGGATGGTGGTCATTTTGTCCTCAAACTTGTAAATGTGGGTGGAATCAAAATGGTCCCAGTTAATGTCAAGATTCTGGATAGACCTGGTCCTCCAGATGGACCATTAGAAGTCAAAGGAGTAACAGCTGAAAAATGTTATCTACACTGGAGCCATCCTACACATGATGGTGGTGCTAGCATCTCTCACTATATCATTGAGAAGAGGGAGACAAGTCGTTTGTCTTGGACCATGGTTGAGCCCAAGATCCAGGCAATCAGTTACAAAATTACAAAACTTCTTCCTGGAAATGAATACATCTTTAGAGTCACTGCTGTGAATAAATATGGTGTTGGTGAACCTTTAGAATCTGAGCCTGTGATTGCTCGTAATCCATTCACCACTCCCAGTGCCCCCTCCACTCCTGAGGCCAGTGCTATTACTAGGGATTCCATGGTGCTTACCTGGGAGAGGCCTGAGAATAATGGAGGAGCTGAAATTGAAGGATATGTACTTGAAAAACGTGATAAGGATGGTGTCAGATGGACCAAGTGCAACAAGAAGAGGCTGACTGACCTGAGATTCAGGTGCTCTGGCCTCACAGAAGGTCACTGGTATGAATTCAGAGTTTCAGCTGAAAATGCTGCTGGTGTTGGAAAGTCTAGCACACCAACACAGTATATCAAGGCATGTGATGCCATTTATCCACCAGGACCTCCAAATAACCCCAAAGTTACAGATCATTCAAGCAGCACAGTCTCCCTTTCCTGGTCCAGGCCTATCTATGATGGTGGAGCACAGATTACTGGATATGTTGTTGAAAGAAACGAAGCAGGAGATGATGAATGGTTTGTCTGCACACCACCTACTGGTGTCCAAGAAACTCATTACATTGTAAAGAAACTGAAAGAGAATGCAGAGTATAATTTCCGCATCTGTGCTGTTAACTGTGAAGGCGTGGGGGATCATGTGGACCTACCTGTATCTGTGATTGCTGCAGAGAAACTGGAGGCTCCTGAAATTGAACTAGATGCTGACTTGAGAAAGATGGTCAATGTTCGTGCCACTGCCATGCTGCGCCTCTTTGTGCCAATCAGAGGAAAGCCTGAGCCTGAGGTCAGATGGTCAAAAGCAGATGGAACTTTAAATGAACGTGCACAGATTGAAGTTACAAGCTCTTACACAATGCTGCTGATTGAGAATGTTGACAGATTTGACACAGGCAAATACACACTGACCCTTGAAAATCTTAGTGGCTCTAAATCAGCCTTTATCAATGTTAAAGTTCTGGACTCCCCCAGTGCGCCTACTAATCTGCAGGTTAAGGATGTAAAAAGACATTCTGTCTCTCTTTCCTGGGAGCCTCCGCTTATTGATGGTGGGGCTAAAATATCACACTATATTGTAGAGAAGAGAGAACAAAAACGAATGGCATTCACTAGTGTTAGCATGAACTGTGTGAGGAATTCCTACATTATTACTGACCTGCAAGAGGGGGGCAGATACTTTTTCCGTGTGCTGGCTGTGAATGAGCTAGGAGTAGGTCTTCCTGCTACCACAGATCAAGTCAAGGTATCAGAGGCTCCTTTGCCTCCGGGTAAAATTGTTGTGGTTGATGTGACTCGTCATACTGTCACTCTTTCATGGGAGAAACCTGATCATGATGGAGGCAGTAAAATCACAACCTATATTATAGAAATGCAGCCCAAAGGAGATGACAAATGGACAGTTTGCAGTGAAGCCAAAGCACTGGAAGTTACTATTGATGGACTCACCACTGGTGAGGAGTACACCTTCAGGGTGATTGCTGTGAATGATAAGGGTAGGAGTGATGCCAAACCTTTGGCTACCCCTGTTGTGGTAAAAGACATCACAATGGAGCCCATTATTAACCTGCTGTTCAACACATACAGTGTAAAAGCAGGAGATGACTTGAAGATTGATGTTCCCTTCAAAGGGCGACCTCAACCTGAAGTGTCCTGGAAGAAGGATGGTCAAATGTTGAAGCAGACAACCAGGGTAAATGTTGTGAATTCCAAGACCTCATCCAAAATTGTCATCAAGGATGCTACCAAAGAGGATGTTGGAAAATATGAGATTACATTGACTAATTCAGTTGGCACCAAGACAGCTGAAATCTCAGTTATAATCCTGGACAAACCTGGGCCACCCAGCAATATTAAGGTGGATGAGGTGAGTGCCGACTTCATCTCTCTGTCCTGGGATCCTCCAACCTATGATGGTGGATGCCAGATTAACAACTATGTTGTAGAGAAAAGAGACACCACCTCTACCACGTGGCAAATTGTCTCAGCCACGGTTGCAAGGACATCAATAAAGGTTTTGCGACTCAACCAGGGCACAGAGTACCAGTTTCGCATTGCAGCTGAGAACCGTTATGGTAAAAGCCCTGCCACAGACTCTGCTCCTGTTATTGCCCAGTATCCATTTGAGCCTCCTGGTCCTCCAACCAATATTCATGTTGTCCATGCCACCAAGACTGGCATGCATGTATTATGGGACAGACCTGCCAGTGATGGTGGAAGCCCCATTATTGGTTATCATATTGAATGCAAAGACCAAAGCAGCATTCTGTGGACCAAAGTCAACAGAGGTCTACTGGCTGAAAACCAGTTCAAAATGACTGGCATTGAAGAAGGCCTGTTGTATCAATTTAGAGTCTATGCTGAAAATATTGCTGGCATTGGTCCATGCACTAAACCTAGTGATCCTGTTGCAGCCAGGGATCCTTGTGAATCACCACATAATCTTAGAGTTACAAATATCACTAGAAACTCAGTTTCTCTCTTCTGGAATGCACCTGAATATGATGGTGGAGTGAAAATTACTGGATATGTTGTAGAGCGCAAAGAACTTCCCAATGGTCGCTGGCTGAAATGCAACTTCACCAATGTGCAAGACACCTACTTTGATGTCACAGGCCTCACAGAAGACGTCCAGTATGACTTCCATGTTATTGCAAGAAATTCAGCAGAGATGTTGAGTGCTCCTTCAGAAAGCACTGGTCCTGTAACTGTTAAGGATGATGTAGACCCTCCATCCATTATCATGGAGGATAAATTCAGACAGTTGGTTGTCATTAAGGCTGGAGAGATAATAAGAATAGATGCTGAAATAACAGGGCGTCCACTTCCTGTGCTTTCCTGGTCTAAGGATGGAAAAGAGATTGAGGCCAAGGCCAGGTGTGAAATCACCTCCACCAACTTTACAACCACCCTGATTGTCAGAGATGCTATTAGGAAGGACTCTGGTCAGTATGTCCTGACTCTGCACAATGTAGCTGGAACAAGGTCTGTGGCTGTCAACTGTAAGGTTCTAGACAGGCCTGGACCTTCCTCTGGACCTCTGGCTGTGTCTGGTCTTACAGCTGAGAAATGCACTCTAACATGGGGACCTCCTCAAGAGAATGGTGGTGCCGAAATCATGCATTACATTGTGGAAAAACGTGAGACAAGTCGCCTTGCCTGGACCCTGGTCTATGGTGATATGAAGGCAACTACTTGCAAAGTTACTAAGCTGCTCAAAGGAAATGAGTATATCTTTAGAGTCAGGGGAGTAAACAAATATGGAGATGGTGAAGCACTGGAAAGTGAGCCAAAAAAGGCAATGGATCCATTCACTGTGCCTGTAGCTCCCACTAATGTCCAGGTCACCTCAGTTACTAGTGAGGCAATGACAATCTGTTGGGAAAGACCACATTCTGATGGTGGCAGCAGTATCTCTGGCTATGTTATTGAAAAGCGGGAGAAGACTGGCCTTCGTTGGTGCCGTGTCAACAAGAAACCTGTTTATGACCTCAGAGTCAAAGCCTCCAATCTTCGTGAGGGCTGTGAGTATGAGTACAGAGTGTTTGCAGAAAATTCTGCTGGCCTCAGTGCTCCTAGCATCCCTTGCCCACTCATTAAGGCTGAAGACCCACAATTCCTGCCTTCACCTCCTCCTAAACCTAAAATTATTGACTCTACAAAGACCACAGCCACACTAACTTGGAGTAAGCCACTATTTGATGGTGGAGCGCCTGTGACTGGTTACAGAGTAGAATACAGACAGACACTAGATGATGAATGGATTATTGGAGTTCAGAACACCAAGAACACAGAATTCACTGTGGTGGGACTGACTCCTGGGGTTGAATATGTGTTTGTTGTCAAGTCAATTAACAAAATAGGAGTCAGTGAACCTAGTCCTGAGTCAGACAAACAAATTGCAAAAGAAAGTGAGGAAGAACCAGCCTTTGAAATAAGTAATGAAATGAGAAAAACTCTTATTGTGAAAGATGGAAGCTCATTTACTATGACAGTACCCTTCAGAGGAAAACCCATTCCTATTGTTTCATGGACTAAACCTGACATAGACCTTAGAGTACGGGCTGTCATTGACACTACAGACACATTTACCTCAATCACCTTAGAAAAAGCAACTCGCAATGACTCTGGAAAATACACCGTCACCTTGTCCAATGTTGCTGGAACCTCCTCATTGACACTCAATGTTAGAGTCCTTGATTCACCTGGACCTCCTGCTCAAGTGGAAGTCAAGGAAGTGACAAAGACTTCTGCCACTGTAACCTGGGACACTCCTGAGAATGAGGGAGGAGGGCCAGTCAAGAATTACCTTGTTGATTTCCGTGAAGCTAGCAAAAAAGGTTGGACTAGGTTGACTGACACATGCCACAGACTGACATACAAAGTGGCCAACCTGAAAGAGGGAGAAGTTTACTATTTCAGAGTAACAGGCGAGAATGACTACGGTATTGGTATTCCTGCTGAGACCAAAGACGGAACCAAAATCACAGGTACTAAAATTTCTTTGTAGGAACATTTTAGTCTTGTACAATTTACAAATGATAACTCCAGAGGTTTTTATAATAAAACACATTATGGCTTCTTTCTGCAGAAAAACCAAGTCTGCCACCAAAGCTAGGAGTAACCAATGTCACCAAGGAGAGTGTGTCTTTGGCTTGGGCTAAACCAGAACAAGATGGGGGAAGCAGAATCACTGGCTACCTGGTTGAAGCACTGGAAAAAGGTCAGGAGAAGTGGGTTAAGTGTGGTGTTATCAAGTCCACCCACTTCACAGTGTCTGGCCTGAGAGAGAAAGCAGAGTACTTCTTCAGAGTCAGGGCTGAGAATCATGCTGGATTCAGTGATGCAAAGGAAATGATCATCCCTGTTATGGTCAAAGACCAGCTTGGTAAGTTAAAAACCATTAAAATGTTCAGATTCACAGTTTTGATTACTGAAGACTAAGAAGAAATATAATTATATAATGAACTAAATCCTATATAACTAGGACAATCAAGTTAAAGTCAAAACTTAAAAATATGGCTTTTTTTTTTTTACACGTTTTATCCTAGAACCTCCTGAGGTAATCATGAAGGACTTCCCCCACAACACAGTTTATGTCAGAGCTGGCTCCACACTCAAGTGTGAGATCCCACTGACAGGCCGGCCATTGCCAAAAATCTCTCTTTCCAAGGATAATGTGATGCTCAAGTCAACAATGAGGTTCAACTCTGAAGTTACTCCTGACAGCATCAAAATCACTCTGCGGGAGAGTGTTGCTGGAGACTCAGGGCGCTATGACATCATTGCTTCTAACTCCAGTGGAACCACCAAATCTTATGTCAAAATTGTGGTTCTGGATCGTCCAAGTGCCCCACTTGGACCAGTAGAGTTGTTTGATGTCACAGAGGACAGTGTAAGTCTGACATGGCTTCCACCAGCATACGACGGTGGCAGCCCTATCACTAACTACGTTGTTCAAAAGAGAGAGACAACTACAGCCAACTGGATGGATGTCTCCTCTGCTGTGGCTCGCTGCACCATGAAGATCATGAAGCTGACCACTGGGTTGGAGTACCAGTTCAGAATCAGGGCTGAAAACAAATACGGAATCAGTGAACACATCGACTCACCAGCTGTTGTTGTCAACCTTCCATACAGTAAGAAATGTTTCTTTTGCTCCACTTTTCAAACATAATGTTTTGATACCCAGTTTGGACTTTAAAATATCTGCTTGTTATCCACCAGCTACTCCGGATGTTCCATCAACTCCAGAAATCACTGCTGTAACCAGAGAAACCATCACATTAGCCTGGAAAGAGCCCACATCAGATGGAGGCAGTCAGGTGTTTGGCTACCATCTCCAAATGAAAGACAAGAACAGTATTCTGTGGCAGAGAGTGAACAGATCTGTGATCCGTGCAACACACTTCAAGGTCACCAACATCAATGCTGGACTCATTTATGAGTTCAAGGTGGCAGCAGAGAATGCTGCTGGACTCAGTGCTTTCAGCAAAGCTTCAGACGCTGTGCTGGCCATTGATGCTTGTGGTGAGGGCAAAATCCAAGTTCATGTTAAGTATAGTAAATTTGATTCTGTTAGGGAAAACCATTTATTTTTTTCTTGTTTTATTCTTTAGAGCCACCCATCAACCTGCGTATCAGTGACATCACCAAAAATTCCATCAGCCTGGCCTGGGAGAAGCCCAACTATGATGGTGGATCCCCCATCACTGGTTACATCATTGAGAAGAAAGAAGGTGTCAGTGTCAAGTGGTCCAAAGCTAACCTGACTAATGTCTCTGACACACGTTTCACTATGACTGGCCTTACCCAGAACGAGACATACAAGTTCAGAGTCATGGCCAAGAATGCAGTTGGCTCAGTCAGCAACCCATCTGTGACAGCTGGACCGACCACCTGTGTGGATACCTACGGTAGGCAATTCCCTACAGTCTTAAAATTTATAATTTAGCTTATGACTTTGTCACTGTTCCGTATTATATTTTTTTCTTTTTTACTTTGTGAATTGATATGTCTTCTGTTTCTGCATCCTGACATTCGTATATCAATCAAAAGTAATGAACAAGTTTGTCAATTTGTTTCCTAGGTGCACCAGAGATTGAAATTCCTCAAGAGTACCTTAATGAGGTCAAACATAGTGCTGGTTCTGATGTGGAACTCAAGTTTAATATCACAGCCAAACCTGCCCCAACTATTGAGTGGTTTAAAGATGGCAAAGAACTGAAGCCCACTAATCAGCTCTCTTTCAAACACACTTTTGAGTTCACCAGTATATTCATTAAGGAGACCACTCGCCTGAACTCTGGAACCTATGAGGTCAAAGTGAAGAACTCTCTGGGATCTGCATGTGGTATTGTCAGGCTGCTCATTCAAGGTATCAAATATTTTCTAAAGGATTATGACAGTCATTTGACATTGTAATAAATGTATATTTAATGTGAATAAATATTTGGCTTTCCTTTTTAGACAAGCCAGGGCCCCCTGCTGGAGAAATACAGTTTAAGAAGGTGACAGCTGACAACATCACCATCATGTGGTCTCCACCTGCTGATGAGGGTGGAGCCATGGTAACTCATTACATCGTAGAGAAGAGGGAGACCAGCAGAGTCATGTGGTCTATTGTGTCGGAGAAACTCGTAGACTGCATTGTAAATGTGCCTAGACTTATCCAGGGTAACGAGTACATCTTCAGGGTCCGTGGAGTCAACAAGTATGGCATCGGAGACCCACTGGAGTCTGAGCCCATTATTGCCAAGAACGCTTTTGGTACCCAAACAGAATACAGTCATTATTCTTATTAAATGCAATAGAAAAAAAACAGAATAAATTAATCTTAACCAGTATTTTTTATATTATATAGTTCCACCCAGTGAGCCATCCAAGCCTAAAGTTACCATGATCACCAAGTCCACAATGACAGTGATTTGGGAAAGGCCAGCACTGGATGGAGGCAGTGATATTGATGGTTATTACCTTGAAAAAAGGGAGAAGAAAAGTCTGCAATGGTTCAAGGTTTGTTTAAAGAATACACTTTCTTTAAAAACAAATTAATGAATGTGTGAATCAATGCGTGCATGCATCATAATTCATCCATCTATCCATCCATTATCTTTAACCGCTTCTTCCTTTTTTTGTTTGCGGGGGTCATTGGTGCCCATATGCAGCAGTCACTGTGTGAGAGGCGGGGGACACCCTGGACAAGTCTATCACAGGCAATGCATCATAATGTTTTTTGTATTTTTCAGGTGGTGAAGGGCACCATCAGAGACACCAGGCAGAAAGTCAGCAACCTGACAGAGAACAATGAGTACCAATTCAGGGTTTGTGCTGTCAACAAGGCTGGTGCTGGAAACTACTCTGAGGCCTCAGACCTTTACAAGGCCTATGACCCCATTGGTATACCAGAAATACTCACTTAGCAAATTTTTTCAGCCTTTTTACCTGTTACAATGTTCACATGTAGCTAATGAGGTAATTTATCCTCCTGTTTTTGCCAGACCTTCCAGGTGAACCCTCCAAACTGCGTGTGGTGGACTCCACAAAAACCTCCATCACTCTAGGCTGGGATAAACCAGTCTATGATGGTGGCAGTGAAATCACACACTACGTATTGGAACAGATGAATGCAGAGGACAAAGAATGGGTGACCATCAATCCCCAGGTCAAGACATGCGAGTATGTGGCATCTCACCTCAAACCTGGAACTTATTACTACTTCAGGGTATCTGCTGTAAACTGCAAGGGTAAAGGAGAGGACATCAAGATGTACCAGCCTGTGCAAGCCAAAGACATTTTAGGTATGATTTTTATTTTATTACCAATGTTAAAAGTAGAAAGCTGGCCAAAGATATATGAATGCAGTTAAAGGACATAAATAAAGCGGTTTTGGAATTAAATCACAAAACTTCACATCTGTTAACTTTCAAGTATTGGTGTTGTGCCAAATAATTAAATTTTTGCTGGTGTTTTATAATTTTAATTTCCAATTCTTTTAACATTAATGTTATTATGTTTCCTTTTTTTCCAACAGAGGAGGCTGATTTGGACTTGGATGTATCCATGACAACTCAGTACATAGCTCGGGCTGGCCGTGACGTTGAAGTGTTTATCCCTCTGAAGGGGCGTCCCACTCCCAATGTCACCTGGCGCCGTGGCGATCGCAACATAGCTGGTGACAACCGCTACACCATCAGCAGCACTGAGAGATCTACCACACTCCTTATACCAAAAGTCACCCGTGATGACTGTGGAAAGTATGTGCTGGAGATAGAGAATGGTGTAGGAGAACCCAAGGTAATCACAGTTTCCCTAAAGGTTCTGGACAGTCCATCCTCTTGCCAAAAACTTATTGTTAAGAACGTGACAAGAGGAAAGCTGACCCTCAGCTGGGAGGCTCCTCTCATTGATGGTGGATCTCCTGTCACTAATTATATTGTGGAGAAGAAGGCTTCCACCATGAAGGCTTTCCAGTTGATCGCTGCAGAGTGCCTGAACACCTCTTATAAGGTGTCAGGCTTGGAGGAGGAGGTAGCTTACTTTTTCCAGGTGTCAGCTGAAAATGAGTTTGGTGTGGGTGACCCCTGTGAGACCACTGAGCCTGTTAGAGCAACAGAAACTCCAGGAGCTGTCAAAGACCTGGTAATAATGGACTCTACAAAGAACTCTGTTACCCTACAGTGGACCCGACCTGACCATGATGGAGGCAGCCACATCACTGAGTACATAATTGAAAAGAGAAGCCAGGAGGAAGTCAACTGGAGTTTAGGTGCCACATGCAAGCGCTGCACTTGTGAAGTGACAGGACTCAAGGAGAATACTATCCTGGATTTCAGAGTGTTTGCCAAAAATGAGAAAGGCAGAAGTGACTTTTCCCAGGCTGGTCCAATCACAGTGATGGACTTGATTATTCCACCTGAAGCAATCCTCAGTGATTATCCCAACGGAGAGCTTTTTGTTCGTATTGGTCAGAACATTCACATTGAGCTACCCTTTAAGGGTAAACCAAGACCCGCAATCAGCTGGCTGAAAGATAACTTTCCACTGAAAGAAAGTGAAAAGATTCGCTTCAGGACCACTGACAACAAAACTGCAGTCACGGTCAGAGGAGCCAAGAAAGAAAATGCTGGCCAGTACACCTTGGTGTTGGACAACAGAGTTGTCAAAAACTACTTTGATATCAATGTGATCACTCTGGGACCTCCCTCAATGCCTGTTGGGCCTATTCGCTTTGATGAGATAAAAGCTCAGAGTATCATCATCTCCTGGGATGAGCCAAAGGAAAATGGAGGCGGTGAGATTACCTGCTACAGCGTGGAGAAACGTGAAACCTCCCAAGCCAACTGGAAAATGGTCTGTTCCAGTGTTGTCAGGACCACCTTCAAGATTCCTAACCTGGTCAAGGGAACCCAGTACCAGTTCAGAGTTCGTGCAGAGAACAAATATGGAGTTAGTGAGCCACTCAACTCATCAGACATTATAGCCCAGCACCAGTATAAACCTCCAGGCCCACCAGGAAAGCCAGTAGCCTACAATGTTACCAGTGATGGTATGACTATCAAGTGGGATGCCCCAGGCTTTGATGGAGGTTCCCCAATATTGGGTTATCATGTCGAGAAGAAAGACAGGAACAGCCTTATGTGGCAGAAGGTGAACTCCACCACCATTTCCAACAAAGAGTACAGGATCATTGGTCTCATGGAGGGACTGGAGTACTCCTTTAGAGTCTATGCTGAGAACAATGCTGGAATCAGCCCTGTCAGTGAACAAAGCAAACATGCTCGTGCCATTTCTCCTGTTGGTAAGTTTTATTTTTATGTAATTTTAGGAAAAAAACATACTTTTAATATTGTTCTGAATTAGTTTGAGTTATTTAAATCATGTCCTGCTCTGATAAAAGATGCAGTAGCTATGGGTTAGGGTTACATCAAGTACAGTGAGAACAGAATGACAAAGACATGTTTTGACTGTAATCAAGTGATAACTGTTAGTATTTTAGACAGTAGGTGGTATTAGCTACATGGCACCCCAGAGCTATGGAATAATATTCCTCTTTCTCATCTGAATTAGATCCTCCTGGCACACCTGTCTGCATTGATGTAACCAGAGACTCAGTTTCACTGCAATGGAACATTCCCAAGAGAGACGGTGGCAGCAAAATTGTGGCATACAGTGTAGAAAGGCGTCAAGGCAGAGGCAAATGGCTACGATGCAATTTTATTGATATCAGTGAGACTCAGTTCACTGTGACTGGTCTATCCCCTGGAGACAGATTTGAGTTCAGAGTGATTGCCAGGAATGCTGTTGGCACCATCAGTCCACCATCCAACTCCTCTGGATACATCATGACCAAGGATGAGAGCAGTAAGCTTGTTTTCTTAAATAAATGTACAAATTTAACATTTTTAAAAAACATACAATTTACTTTCTGAAATTTTGTTGTTGACTTTTAAGTATTTTTGTGTGTGTGTGTGTGTGTGTGTGTGTGCGTGCGCGTGATCAGTTGCTCCTGAAATCGAGTGGTCTCCAGACCAGGTGCTCACCCTGAGGGCTGGAGAGATTGTTCGGCTTGGCTGCACCATCACTGGACGCCCACTTCCCCAGATTGTGTGGTACAAGGATGGCAAAGAGATTGATAAGAGAACAACGATTGACATTGAGATCATCACTGGCATTGGCACCAGTAGTCTGTTTATTCGTGATGCTGACAGGAGCCACCGTGGAATCTACACGGTGGAAGCCAAAAACAGCTCTGGGACCAGGAAAGCAGACGTTAATGTCAGAGTGCAAGGTGAGTGAACAAAGACTCTTGGGTTTCAGTTTCCATTCCAGACCTGTAAATTTGTTCCGCACATGACATCTAAAACCTTTGTCTGCACAGATACTCCTGGACCTGTTGAGGGTCCAATCCGTTTCACTGGCATTGCAGCAGATAAATGCACTGTATGGTGGAACCCACCAGAAAATGATGGTTGTGCTGCCATCACCCACTATGTGGTGGAGAAGAGGGAGACATCCAGGATCTCCTGGGCCCTGGTCACATCTAAGTGTGAAGCTTGTTCATACAATGCTACCAACCTCATCAAGGGCAATGAGTACCAGTTCAGAATCTCGGCTGTCAACAAGTTTGGTGTCGGCAAACCACTAGACTCCGATCCAGTCATTGCACGGATGCAATACAGTAAGTAAATAGACACTATCAAAACTTCAGATTTTAGTTCTTTTGCAACTATCTTTTTTTAATAAACAAAGCCCTAAACCACCTTCTGCAACTTAAATGTTTTTCTGCTCTGCCCCTCAGCTGTACCTGATGCTCCTGGTACTCCTGATTCCACTCATGTGACAGGTGACAGTATCACCCTATGCTGGACCAGGCCGAGATCAGATGGAGGCAATGAGATCAAACATTACATTCTAGAAAGAAGAGAGAAGAAGAGCCTTCGCTGGATAAGGGTCTCCTCTAAGAGACCCATAACGGAGCTGAGGCACCGTGTCACCAACCTTACTGAGGGCAACGAGTATGAGTTCCGAGTCATGGCTGAAAATGGTGCTGGTGTCGGACCAGCCAGCAACACCTCCAGGCTTTTCAAATGCAGAGAGCCAACCAGTGCTCCTAGTGCCCCCACTGTGATCAAGGTCAGATAAGAATTAACCATGTTAAGACTGTTTCTGTACAACACTGCAAATATTTAGTTTCCTTAATGTCCTAAACAAAAATAAACCAAGATGAGAATAACAAAACACATTTATGTTACAAATAATGCTTTCTCTCAAACAGGTCATTGACTCCACAAAGTCTTCTGTCACCCTGGAATGGACGAAGCCTGTGTTTGACGGTGGCATGGAAATTATTGGCTATAACATTGACATGTGCAAGGCCAGTTTGGAAGAGTGGAATAGAGTCAACAGTCAAATTTGTATCCAGAACAGCTACACTGCAAAGGGTCTGGTACCTGGAGAGCTCTACAAGTTCAGGATCAGTGCTGTAAATGGATCTGGAGAGGGTGAAGCTTCAGTTATGCCACACCCTGTTCAGGCCCTGGACAGACTTACATCTCCAGAGATTGACATTGATGCCAACTTCAAGCAAACTCATATTGTGAAGAAAGGAGGCACAGTCTCTCTTCATGTTGCTTTCCGGGGAAAACCTGCTCCCCTAGCCACTTGGTCAAGAGTAGATGGTGAACTTCCTGTCATGGCTGATGTCAACACCACAGATACCTTCTCCACTCTGATTATAGAAGGTTGCACCAGGTATGAGGCAGGTAAATACACCCTGTCTCTGGAAAACAACAGTGGGCGCAAGTCTATTACATTCACCATTAAAGTCCTGGACACTCCTGGACCTCCAGGAGCAATCACCTTCAAAGATGTTACTCGTGGGGCCTTGACAATGATGTGGGATGCTCCTTCTAATGACGGTGGATCTCGAATCCACCACTACATCGTTGACAAGCGTGAGGCAAGTCGTCTTGCCTGGCAGGAGGTCAGTAGCAAGAGCTCCCGTCAGATGGTAAGGGTAACAGGACTGGATATTGGCGTGCCATACTTGTTTAGAGTGACAGCTGTTAACCAGTATGGCCAGGGAGAACCTCTTGAAATGACAGAGCCCATCACTGCGACGGAAGAACCTGCACCACCCAAAAGATTAGATGTTGTAGACACTACTAGGTCTACAGCCTCCCTGGTGTGGTTGAAACCAGAGCATGATGGAGGTAGCCGGATCAGAGGCTACATTGTTGAATTCAGAGCTAAGGGTACTGACCACTGGATTGTTTATGGAGAGGCAAAGCTGCAGAAGATGCTGGTAGAGGATCTGATCGAGAACACAGAGTATGACTTCAGGGTCAAGGCCAAAAATGATGCTGGAATCAGTGAGCCTCAGGGTACTTTGAGCTCAGTGGTAATTAAGGAGCCTCGTATTGAACCAACTGCTGACCTGAGCAGCATCACCAACCAGCTCATCACCTGTAAAATCTCTAACACCTTCACAATTGACATCCCCATAAGTGGCAGACCTGCACCCAAGGTCACATGGAAACTTGAGGAGATGAAGCTGAAAGAGACTGACAGAATCCTAATAAGGACCTCTAAGGAAAGAACGACTCTGATTGTGAGAGACAGCAAGAGAAACGACAGTGGCAAGTATTACCTGATCCTGGAGAATGCTGCTGGTGTGAAGATTTTCACAGTGACTGTGGTCATTGTTGGCAGACCAAGTCCACCCTCAGGTCCCTTGGAGGTTTCTGGAATCTCCTCAGAGTCCTGCATTCTGGCCTGGTCTGAGCCAGCTGATGATGGTGGAACTGAAATCACCAACTACATTGTTGAAAAACGGGAATCTGGCTCTGCCTCCTGGCAGGTGGTTAACTCCAGCGTGCAGCGAACCACAATTAAAGTGACTCACCTCACCAAATACATGGAGTACACCTTCAGAGTGTGTGCCGAGAACAAATATGGAGTCAGCAAATCCATAGAGTCTTCTGCTGTTGTGATTGAGCATCCATTTAGTAAGTTCTGTCCAAAAGTCAAAATCAACACAAGTCCTGTTTTTTGTTTATAAATATGGTTCATAATCCCACCTCTTCTTAACTTCCACAGTTCCTCCAAGTCCTCCAACTCGACCAGATGTGGTATCTGTGTCAGCTAATGCCATCAGCATCAAGTGGGATGTCCCGTATGCTGATGGTGGTAGCAAGGTGACAGGCTACTGGATTGAGAAGAAAGAGAGGAACACAATCCTGTGGGTGAGGGAGAACAAACTGCCCTGCTTGGAGTGCCATTACAAGGTGTCCAACCTGATTGAAGGCTTGGAGTATCAGTTCAGGGTGTATGCCATGAACCTTGCTGGACTCAGCAAGGCCAGTGAGGCCTCTAGACCAATGGTGGCACTCAATCCTGTTGGTAAGGGAAATATTGATGTAATAATTACCTGAAAAATACACTTCCTTCCCCAAATCATTTCATTTAGTTTAACCAAGAGCTTAACAATAGATTAGATGTGATATTTTTAAAAAGTTGTGATAAAAGTCATGTTGCAGTGCATATTAAAACCCTACATTCTTTGATTTAGATCCTCCTGGTAAACCTGAGGTTACGGACATCAGCCGCTCATCCGTTTCATTGTGCTGGACGGTGCCCTTCAATGATGGCGGCAGTAAGATTGTTGGTTACATCGTGGAGAGGAAAGTCTACAGCACAGATGAGTGGGATGACAACCGCTGGCTGAAATGCAACTACACTACAATCACAGAGAACTACTTCACAGTCACAAATCTGGGAGAAGGAGAGACCTACGAGTACAGAGTCATTGCCAAGAATGCGGCTGGGGTCCACAGTGTGCCATCAGAGTCCACTGGACCAGTGACATGCAAGGATGAATACTGTACGTGCAACTCTTACTGTCTAGTTTTATAGTTCAGGATTTATTTTTAACATAACAAAGATGCATTTTATTAACAAGGAGTTTAGTGTAACAGAACTGTCAGCTTAAAATGTGTAAGAAAAATACACGTAGAATTCATAAGCATGAAAGATTACCTTATGATTGACCAATGAAACCAAGACTGAAAGGGTCAGAGGTGAGTTGAAGACGGGTTCAGCTCAGATGCCACTGAGAATGAAGATATTCCGAGGAATACATGAAATAGTACAATTGTTTATTTCTTAGTTATTATTTGGTGCCAATTTTGACCACGGCTGGTAGCGAAGGTATTCCAGAGTCATCAGAAAGTCTGGTTCCTGTGTTGATGGTACAGATGGATCTGTAAACATGCTTAAGCAGTTTAAAAATATTGACAAATCTGACAGCATGTTTGTTCAATGACAAAGCGTATTTTTCTTTGAAGTAGATGTTCTAAGAACGCTGACACTTTGTGACAAAGATCACCAATGAACCAAACAGTTGGACTTTGAGTATCTTCAGTCTTAGAGAAAACATTCAAATATTGATTTAAATACTGTAAAAATAAAGATTCAATTTGCTCCAACAATGCAAGAACCAGTTGCTAACACCACATCGTTTTGCTGCAGTGACTCTGAAGGGACTTTACATACTTACTTTACTTTTGTGCTTGCTCAAGATGGGAGACTGTGATGAAGTTAAGATCCAACAGAATCTGCTGCTTCCTTAGATAGATAACTTTTACCAATTGGCTTTTATAATGTATGTGAATGTTTTTGTACAGCGCCCTGAGATGACTTCTGTTGTGACTTAGTGCTCTAGAAATTAACTGAAATTAATTGAATTTACTACCGGTCATGATAAAAACTGACATGAAATAATTACAAAAAAAATAAACAAGCGCAGTTTATTACTACTTTTCTTAAAGCATCTTCATTCCTTGTTAGCCGAGCGGGTGTGTCTCTGATTGACCTCTGACCTTTCTAGTTCCAGTATTGTTGGCCGATATGCATAAGAATTATGTTACTCATGTGCTTATAAAGAATGTCTTGATTATAAACCATCTAGGATTCAATTTTCCTGCATGAGCTTATAAAAAACTTGTTTTATTTGTTTCAGCTCCTCCCAGAGCTGAGCTGGACAGCAAGCTGATAGGTGAGACCGTTACTGTCATGGCTGGCTCTGATTTAGTCCTGGATGGTGCCGTGGGTGGAAAACCAGAGCCAGCGGTCTACTGGTCAAAGGGCGACAAGATCTTGGAGCTCGGCGAGAAATACTCACTGACATACACCTCCACCAAAGCCATGGCTGTCATCAAGAACTGTGACAGATATGATACAGGAAGATACACCCTCACTGCAAAAAACACCAACGGAATAAAGACTGCAAACGTCAACGTGAAAGTTCTGGGTGAGCTGTCGTCGAATAACATACAGGCTGGAGTAAAGATGAACTAAAGAAATCACATTTTCTATGAAAATACAGATGAGGACTGAATGACTGAAATCTGCTCTCAAAGTTAGAAAGCAAACAGAACAGAAGATAGTCATTATTATGTGGGCTAAAAGCTAAACTTAAGTAAACAGCAGCTAAAAGCCTAAATTAGTAAAGCCGTAGCTGAAAGCTAATTGTAACGAAACCATATAGACCTAAAATGAGCTAAAACTGAGCTAAAGGATAAATTCAGCAAAACTATATCTTAAAGTTAGATATAACAAAACAGTAAAGACCAAATTACAGTAGCTAAAAGCTAAAAAGAGAAAAACTGTAAAAAAAAAAAAAAAGCCTAAAAGTTTGTTAGAAAAACTAACTAAAGCCTAGAAGAAGCTGAACAAAACCATAGTTTAAAACTAAAATTACCCAAACTGTAACCTAAAGCATAGCTATGAGCAGAAATCAACAAAACAAACTTTTAAAAGCTAAAAATAGCAAAACTGTACACAACAGCTAAAATGAACTAAACTAAATATAAACGCTAAAGTACCACAAGATGGCAAACATATAACCAGTAAGTTCAAGTAGATTTAAAATAACATTTTTTGGTGCAACTGAAGCAATCTCAATATATACTTAGGGGAAAATATTTTATAAATAAAGTCAACAATTCAAAATCTATAGAAGTTACAAATACTAAAAGTCACAGCAGACAACAACATGTTGACCCTAATGTTTGATGTATTAATAGTTAAACTAGCGCAAAAGTATGTGGAAGTCATTTTATTGTAAAAATTTAAATTAAATTGCATAAAAGAAACTATAAACATGAAAACAACAGTAGAAATATATAATATCCAAAATGTATAAATCTAACTGTTGATTGTGGCCTCTCAGACACCCCCGGACCTCCAGCTGATAAGATCGTGATCAGCCGAGTAACGGAGGAGAAGTGCACAGTTTCCTGGAAGATTCCCTTCGAGGACGGTGGAGACATCGTCAGCCACTACATCGTGGAGCGCCGTGAGACCAGCCGCCTCAACTGGGTGATCATGGAGGCCGAGTGCAAGTCTCTGTCGTGCGTCAGCAGCAGGCTGATCAAAAACAACGAGTACGTCTTCAGAGTCAGAGGAGTCAACAAGTTCGGACCTGGAGTTCCTCTGGAGTCCAGCCCCATCATCGCCAGGAATGCCTACAGTAAGCTGCAGCATCTGAATTTGATCTTTTTATTACATTTTATTTAATTTTACAGAGATTTTATTAAAACGTATTACAGCTGAATGTAATTTGTTGTTTTAGAGTCAAATTGCTAAAAAAATTTGTTACAGAACGCTTTAAAAATCATTAGATGTCATTTTTTAAAACAATATCCAGCTCTTAATTTTTTGTCATGTCACCCGCTGCCTTTCATTCCAGAGTTTTAGACTAACATCAGCTAAAGTGAAGGAATGACAGAGTCTAGTGTGATCTCATGCAATTCAATGGAATCTCAAACAATCTGTTAGTGCTTATAATATAAGCTGCGGACGACTCTCAGCTTCTACCATGCTAAATTTTAGCTTGACATCTGTAAAGGTGACTGAGCTGGTCACTTTGGTTTGGGAAGGTTGATTGGTTTTAGTGGCCATCTTGAATTGGGTTGGTTTTGTGGTGGATTTTCTGAAATAATACCATACCAAACCACTTTATTTATAAAGCATTTAAAAACAGCAACAAGGACAGCCAAAGTGCTGTACAGCAGAAACAACACAAGCAAAGGACACAGGATAAAATACATAGATCTACAGAGGTAACAATAAGAACTAAAAGACTAACATTATAAAATACAGACAAGTTAAAATCAACTCGTACAGAGTCAAAAGCCAGGGATTCCACAGTTTTGGGCCTGCAACAGAGAAGACTCTGTCATCTCTGAGCTTAAAATGAGCGCCTGGAACCAATAAAAGCATCTGGTCTGCTATGGGACATATGGCTGCAGCAGATCAGCGAGATAGGAGGGGGCAGAACTGTTCAGAGATTTAAAAACATACAGAAGGATTGTAGACTCAAGAATAAAATTAATTATCCATCTTTTGTAGTGACTGATAAAAGAAAAATAAAAGTAATCAAAATCTATGAAATCATAGATTTGCCATTTAGAAGGTTATATTTACAACAGAATTTAGTGGTTCTGTAGAAGTTGTGGCCCAAACCAAATGGATCATGGGTTTTGTATAACTCTGGGGCTCGTGGTTCATGCAGATTATGACCACAAGTCAGGCAGCCTCTCAGAGGCTCTCATGATCAATGCGTACATGAACATCAGAGCCATAAGAAAAGCTCTTATATTCCAAAGGTTCTTTGGAATCATAAACAAAATAAAAATGTTCACTCACAGTTTCAAAAGTTAATCTCCTTTGGGAACAATTTCTCAGTTAAGACTGCCGTTTCCATCTTTTTCCAGCTGTTCCATCCCAGCCGGGCACTCCGGAGACCACAGCTGTAGCAAAGGAGCACATCATCATCGAGTGGCTGAAGCCTGAAAGCGACGGAGGCAACGAAATCAAAACCTACATCGTGGAAAAACGAGAGAAAAGCAGCACCAGGTCAGAACCGGTTCAAAAGGACTTGAACCAGTTTTCACCTTGTTACGTTAGAAACAGTTTTAATTTGTCTTGTTCGTTAAACCAGATGGACTCGGGTGAACAAGACCTACACCATCTATGACACCCGTCTGAAGATCACAGGCCTGCTTGAAGGAAGCGAGTACCAGTTTAGAGTGACAGCTGTCAATGCTGCTGGAGACAGCCAGCCGAGTGACGCCACTCCCTACATTCTCTGTAAAGACCCCACATGTAAGGGTCTTTTCTTCTTCCTGTTATTACTATCTCCAAACATTAGTTTTCAGTGAATCAAATACCAAAATGATGTTTGTTTTCGTCAGACACCCCAGCTGCTCCATCAGTGCCTCGCATCACTGACACCACAAAGCACAGCATCAGCATGATCTGGACCCGACCCATGTACGACGGTGGATCCGACGTTTCTGGCTATGTAGTAGAAATCCTAGAGGAGGGCTCTGAGCAGTGGTACCGTGCCACCTCTAAGCCTCTAAAGACCAACGAATATGTAGCTGCCGGACTGGCAGCGAATAAGAAGTACCAGTTCAGAGTGGCCGCCACCAACAGCAGCGGTACCGGAGAGTTCAGTGAAGCCAGTGCACAGGTCGAGGCACTGGAGAGAATTGGTGAGTAGGCCCTTCTATTCATTACAGAAATCTCAATACGTGAAGATTCAACACAATCTGCTGGCTTCCTTAGATAGAGAACTTTTACTGGCTTTCTAATTTATGTGAATGTTTTTGTTGTGCAGTGCCCTGACACGGATTCTGTTGTGACTTGGCGCAATATAAATAAACTGAATTGAATTGAAAAGTTTTCATAATACTTAAAAGTATACCCTTTTATATATATGACTGTATAACCCTTTTTCTGAACCACTTTGGCCTTGGTTATCCTCAGGCTGTTTCTGTGAGTAGCAAGTTGGCCATCTGGCCTAAAACACCAATTGTTTTACATGATGATTGATTGTTTTGGACGAGTGTGTTAAAAGCCTACTTTTGAGATTCCAACTGGAGGTTGGCTTGAAACACAGCAGTGAAGGCTAACTATGGAACCAATCTGGTTGGTAGGCTGTAGACTGAAGAAGTCCTAGTATATAAATATTTTCCCCAAAGTATACATTGGGGAACGAAACGTTTCTCACTTAAAAGAAACTGTTCCAGATGACACGATTTAACCTTTTTTGTTCTTAAAAGTATAGTTTCATCGAGTGATTCGGGTAGCTGAAGATTAATCTATGGGGGCCAAGGCCACCATTGGCCACCCCCTTGCACCTGGTGGTGGATAAATGTCACCCTCCACACTCCAGGATTTGTCACGTGCTCTGCCTTGAACAAAAAAAAATCCCTATGTTCTTCTCCACACTGTAACTCCTAACATTCCTAAACATTCACTTTTCAAATCCTTCAGACTCGGGGGACATCGGCGTACCGCTTGTAACTGTTATATAACCTCTTTCCATTTTGTCAGTGTTCAAAGTCTTAGTAAAGTGGCCTCCTGCTGTGCTTCATCTGTTCAGAAATGCCTGACCTGGAGCTGGCTGATGACTTGAAGAAAACTGTATGTCTGAGAGCCGGAGGTACCTTGCGTCTGCTCGTGTTCGTTTCTGGCCGACCAATACCAGTGATCGCCTGGAGAAAGACGGGCGTGGAGCTGCAGACCCGTGGCTACATCGAGACCACTGAAAGTTACACAGCACTCACTGTGGAGAAGGTCAATCGCTATGACTCTGGAAAATATGTTGTGGAGGCAGAGAATCCAACTGGCAAGAAGACTGCCACCATCCTGGTTAAAGTCTACGGTATGTTCAATGAGGGTTCTAGAATTTATCAAGTAATATTGATAAATTGATTTGATAAATAAATACAGATAAAACTTTAATTATTTTTCCGTCATCACAGTGATTAACTCATCTTCGATTATGATTGGGAAAATGATTGAACACATAAATATATTTTTTCTCCTTTTGTGTCTTTTTCAGATACTCCTGGTCCTCCAGGTTCAGTCCGGGTGAAGGACTACACTAAGGAATCTGTCGTGATCACCTGGGATGTTCCAACAATTGATGGAGGCGCTCATGTCAGCAACTACATTGTGGAGAAGCGTGAAGCCAACATGAAGTCATACAAGACCGTCACTACTGAGTGCAGGAAAACTTTGTTCAGGATCACAGGCTTAGAAGAAGGTGTGCACTACTTCTTCAGAGTCCTGCCTGAGAACATTTATGGTGTTGGTGAGCCCTGTGAGACAACAGAACCTGTCTTGGTGTGTGAAGTACCATCAGTGCCCATGGACCTTCATGTTATTGACATTACCAAGTCCTCCGTGACTCTGCACTGGGATAAACCATTGCACGATGGTGGAAGTAGGCTGACAGGCTACATTATAGAAGCCTGCAAAGTTGGCTCTGACAGGTGGAGTACTGTGGCCACAGTCAAAGCCTCAGCATCCCAACACACCATCCAGTCCCTGACAGAGAATGACCAGTACCTGTTCAGGATCCGTGCCACCAATAGCAGGGGAACCAGTGAGCCCATGGACATCATAACACCGGTCACAATTCAGGAGATCAAGGGTGAGTCATTACAGCTTTACAAATTATCTCCTCATCAAACTCAGGAAATCTCTAAACTATACTATATAAATCACAAAACTATGATGTTTTGACATTAAACTATAAACATTTTTTCTTTCAGTGATGCCCAAGATTGATATGACTAGCATCCCTCAGAAGGTTGTCCATGTGCATCGGGGCAAACCTATCGATCTAAACATACCCATAAAGGCCAAACCACAACCGGTCTGCTCCTGGTACTTTGGTGGTGCTAAGCTGAAGGACAGCCTGGACCGCATCAAGATTGAAAGTAACGGCAAATTCACCCACCTTCTCATTCGTGACACCACCATCCATGACACTGGAGACTACATGCTAGAAGTGAAAAACACCATAGGCATGGCAACTGAGGTCATCAAGATCATCATCCTTGGTAAGAAGACTTCCTGCAAACAACATTAAATTATAATGATTAGAGAGCTAAATCTATAAGGAGCATTTGTTAAACCACACAATTTGCTCCAATTTTCAGGTGTTTTAAGTATTGTTATGTTTCTGTACAGACAAACCTGGTATCCCAGTTGGTCCAGTGAAGATTGAGGAGGTTGATGGCGTATCAGTGACCGTTAGCTGGGGATCTCCAGAGAAGGATGGTGGTGCTAGCGTCAGCGGCTACGTGGTGGAACAGCGTAATGCCCACCATCCAGGCTGGACCACTGTCTCAGAATCGGTGACAAGACCTTGCTTCAAGTTCACCAGGCTCTCTGAGGGAACAGAGTATGTGTTCCGTGTTGCTGCCATGAATCGCTTTGGTGTTGGTGGCTTCCTGCAGTCAGAGGTGGTGGAATGCAAGAGCCCCAAAAGTGAGTCCATCACATTTTAGTTCTGCATTTACATATTTCGAGTCATGTAAATATTTATTTAAAGTTTAACAACAAATTAATTTAAGATGTTCTGCACTATATTTGTACAGTTATTATTGATCAGTTAAATGCACAGAAAACATGGCATATACATAAATTATTCTAATTTTGTGGGAAGGTAAAAACTATTTATTCTATTAGTAGTTCCTTTTCCAAATCTGTAACTGAAATGTCTTTTTATTAGCCATCCCTGGACCTCCAAGCCAGCCAGAAGTGATTGATGTCACCCACGAGGGCATGACCCTGACCTGGCATGCACCCGAGGACAATGGTGGCTCCACCATTGCCGGCTACATTATAGAACGTAAAGAGGCCCGTTCCGACAGGTGGCTGAGAATCAATAAGAATCCTGTTACCATGACCCGGTACCGTTCTTCTGGACTGGTTGAAGGCCTGGAATATGAGTTCCGTATCACTGCCATCAACTCCAGAGGAAATGGCAAACCCAGTGAATGTTCTGCCATCACTGTTGCCATGGACCCCATTGGTATGTGATACTACATTCAGTTTATTATCGTTTGCTTTAAAATAATCATACAAGAAAGAATAGAATATGATAACAGATTATTTCCATGCTATTAAACAGAACCTCCAGGTCCTCCAGTTCAGCCTAGAGTTACAGACACCACAAGGACTTCAGTCTCTTTGGCCTGGATGCCACCAGAAGAAGAGGGTGGATCTGTTGTTACTGGCTATTTTATTGAGATGCAGAAGGTTGACCAGGTTGAATGGACCCTGTGCAACACCACACCCACCAAGATGTGCGAGTACACCCTCACCCATATGCCCCAGGGTGCAGAATACAAGTTCAGGGTCACGGCCTGCAATGCTGGTGGTGCCGGAGAATCTGCAGAGATCCCTGGAGTGGTTAAAGTCCAGGAGATGCTTGGTAGGAGAACAAGTTTACACAATTTACAGAAAAAATACATTCATTTTGAATTAATATATTCCATTATCTTACTAATAGAACATTTTTCTACTTTCTGGAAGACTCATTTGCCATACAAATCAAATGTGTGTCTTTTTCAGGTTATCCTGACTTTGAGCTTGATCATAAATACGAGGAAGGCTACGTGGTGCGACAAGGTGGAGTCATCCATCTGTCTGTACCCATTAAGGGTAAACCTGTCCCGACAGTGAAGTGGACCAAAGACGGTCACGACATCTCCCATCGTGCTATGATTGCTACCCATGACGACATCACTGAGCTGGTCATCAAAGAGGCACACAAAGACGATACTGGTACCTACGACTTAGTGCTGGAAAACAAATGTGGAAGGAAGGCCGTCTACATCAAGGTGAGCATATTTGGCAGATTCAGTGAAAGCAGGAATACAAAGAAAGAAAATGTTCCTTAAGTGTCAGTTTTAAAAAAATAAATAAATCATGTTGTTGTTTTTTTTTATTTACTTGACATTCTTCGTGTCTTCCATCTCCAGGTCAAAGTGATTGGTCGTCCTGATGCCCCAGAGGGACCGCTGGAATTTGACGACATTCAGGCCAGATCAGTCCGGGTTAGTTGGAGACCACCTTCAGACGATGGTGGATCTGACATCCTTGGTTACATTGTGGAAAGACGGGAAGTACCAAAGGCTGCCTGGTATACAGTGGATGCCAGGGTAACAGAGACCTCTCTGGTGGTGAAAGGTCTGAAGGAGAATGTAGAGTACCACTTCAGAGTTTTTGCTGAGAACCAGTTTGGTGTTAGCAGATCTCTCAAGTCAGAAGAATCAGTTCTACCAAAGACACCTCTTTGTAAGTAGGCTTCATAAAGTTAAAGTTGTCTAAAAGTTCTTGTGTAATAAGATTTATAAATTAAAAAAACAGAAACAACTGGACTTCTATTCTGAATCTATTCTGGATCTGAAGACATTTCCCATCCGGGCTTTATGAATTCTAAAATATCTGGAGTGTGTGGAGTTCCAAGCTTTATAGAACTGCTTAGAGCTTGGAACGCCACCCACTCCAGACTTTTTTGGAATTGATAAAGCCTCCCTGATGGGAAGAGAAACATCTTCAGCTTAAGAGTAGAAGTCCAGTTATTGTATTTTAATCCTTTTTTGGATTGATCATGACCTGGATGACTGGGAATCTTCACCAGCAATAAGATTTATACTACACACATCATACATCTGTAACTCTGATCTATACAAAGAGGTTCCGTTTTGGTTTCACTAACAACATTCTTCATTACAGGTCCACCCGAACCTCCCAGCAACCCACCAGAGATCATGGATGTCACCAAGACCACAGTGTCTCTGTCCTGGGCCAGGCCCCGGGACGATGGTGGCTCTCGTGTAACAGGATACTATGTTGAACGAAGGGAGGTTTCAACAGAAAAATGGGTCCGTCACAACAAGACCCACATCACCACCACCATGTTCAATGTGACTGGTCTTATACCCAGTGCAGAGTACATGTTCAGAGTAGTAGCTCAAAATGACATTGGGCAGAGTGAACCTGGTCCTGCTTCAGATCCCGTGGTCTGCAAAGATCCATTTGGTGTGTATTATCTCTTGATGCTTATTTTCCATTGAATAGAGATAAAACTGAGCAGGGATTAACTCTAGAACAAACTTTACATCATGTTAAAAAAAAACTTTTACTAAAAGTATTACCTCTTGCTATTTGTTTCTCATGTAGATAAACCCAGCCAACCAGGAGATATTGACATTGTCTCCGTCACCAAAGACAGCATCACCATTCACTGGCTCAGGCCTGAGCATGATGGTGGAAAAGAGATCTTGGGTTACTGGGTTGAGTACAGGGAGGCCGGAGAGAGCGCCTGGAAGAAATGCAACAAGGAGCGCTCCAAGGATCGTCAGTTCACCATGGGCGGCTTGATGGAGGCTACTGAGTATGAGTTCAGAATCTTCGCTGAGAATGAGACGGGACTTAGCCGACCTCGTCGTACACCTATGGGCATCAAGACCAAACTGAGTGGTGAGCTGCTGCTAAGTGCAGACATTACCTAACAAACGGAGCTAATTCCAGGAATTATTACAGCCAAAATGCTACTTTCACAATGATTTTAATCAAATTTAAAAAAGTTAAATCTGGTCCTCTGGACATTCAAAAAAACAAACAAAGCAAAACAACAAAAAAATGTAGAAACGTTTCGTCTCTCATCCGAGAGACTTCCTCAGTCTTTTAGATTTTTCTACCTGGATTATTGAGCATGCATCAGGATATTTAATCAAATTTGTTTTTCTGCAGTTGGTGAAGCTCCAGCTCTGAAGGAAGAGATTGAAGATGTAACCACAAAGCTTGGCACATCTGGCACCCTAACCTGTGGAATTGTAGGCAGACCTTTGCCTGAGATTAAGTGGTATCGCTATGGCAAGGAGCTAATCCAGAGCCGCAAGTACAAAATGAGCTCAGATGGCCGTAACCACTCCCTGATCATCCTGACAGAGGAGCAAGAAGATGAGGGCCTGTATACCTGCAGGGCTGTCAATGAGGCTGGTGAGATAGAGACTAGTGGCAAACTGCGTTTGCAGGCACCACCTCAGTTCCACCCTGGTTTCCCTCTGAAGGAGAAGTATTTTGCTGGGGCTGGTACTAGCCTTCGTCTCCATGTAGTCTACATTGGTCGTCCAATCCCACAGATTATGTGGTTCTATGGCAAGAAACCTCTGAATGCTTCTGAGAATGTGATAATCGAAAACACAGAAAGCTATACTCATCTAGTGGTGAGAAACGTCCAGAGAAAAACTAACGCTGGTCGCTACAAGGTGCAACTTAGCAATGTGTTTGGAACCATCGACACTGTGCTAAGAGTTGAAATCCAAGGTAAAAGCATGCTGCAATGAACACAAATTTAATACAAATTCTCATTGTAACGGAAAGATTTTTGATTTTTTTCTGATTCACTGAAAGCAGCTAAAACCTTCTGAGCTCTTATTGACTCTCCTTTGTGGTTTCCAGACAAACCTTGTATCCCTGAGGGCCCTCTCATTGTTGATGCCCTACTGAAGAGCTCAGTTGGGATCAGCTGGAAGGTTCCCAAGGATGACGGTGGGTCTGTGATCACCAACTACATTGTGGAAAAACGTGAGGCCAAAGAAGGTGAACAGTGGCACCTGGTGTCCTCTTCGATCTCGGGCACCACCTGCCGTGTCCCCAACCTGACAGAAAATGCTGGCTACTACTTCAGAGTCTCTAGCCAGAACCAGTATGGAGTCAGTGAGCCTCTAGAGATCCCATCAGTGGTCATCATCAAGAGTCCATATGGTAACGCCCTGATAATCTTAAATACTGTATCTTGTTTTTCAGTTTGGAATTTTGGAATTGTTTGAGAAAATATCCCTCACTAATGTTGTTTACCCAAAAGAAACACACTCAAAGGCAGGAGAAGATATTTAACTGGTATTTATACTCGCAAGGTCAAATTTCAGGAGAGGTTACATAAATATACATATATCACATACATACAACAGATTTATACACATGAAAACCAGTCACAGCTCACTTTTATACTCCTCTCAACTCAGAGTTCACAGAGTTCAGGTGTCCTTGAAGCCAGCTGCATTCTCCTTACACACACTCTCTATTTACACAAACGTGGTTCATGGGCAAAGATAAGATTGTGTCTTGGGAGACGGTTTTGGCTTTTGGGCTTCTTGTTCTCAGGGTAGAGGAGAAGAATGTTCTCAGCCATAATAATAAAACATCCATAAATTTTGACCAAAAATATCCCCGAGAGTAATCAACACAGACAAGATTAAAGATACATAATGGCATTTACTGTTTTTTTATTTTCAGAAAAACCTGGAATTCCACAGCAGCCCTTCACTATCAGCTCCACCAAAGACTCCTGTGTCGTTTGCTGGAAGCCTCCAAGCAGTGACGGTGGAGCGAAAATCATCAGTTACTACCTTGAGAAACGTGAGAAAAAGCAGAACAAGTGGATGTCTGTGACAACAAAGAAGATTGTTGAGACAAGCTTCGAAGTCCAAGGCTTGATTGAGGGCTTTGAATACGAGTTCCGTGTGAAATGTGCAAACATGGGTGGTGAGAGTGACTGGAGTGAGATCTCCGCACCAATCATACCCAAGTCTGAACAGGCCCCTCGTGCTCCTGCATTCAGGGAGGAGATCAGAGACATGACTGTCAAATACCACGCCAATGCCACTTTTGTTACAAAGGTACCTCATACAAACATAATTTCTTTTTTATTAAACACATCGGCTTCATGTTTTTTCTTCTTGTTTAAAATGCATTTTAATCAATATATTTTCCTCTGATAAGGTTGTGGGTCATCCAAAGCCTGTAGTCAAATGGTATCGCAGTGGAAAGGAGATTTTGGCAGATGGAACAAAAATAAAAGCCCTTGAGTTCAAGGGTGGCTATTACCAGCTTGTCATCACTGCTGCTGATGAGAGCGATGCCTCAGTATATCAAGTCAGAGCAACCAACCCCTCAGGATCTATCTCTACAACAGCAAACCTGGAGGTGGAAGGTATTAAAGACATTTTGGATTTACTGTTGCACATTATTCCTAGAACTATGAAGTAGTTTCTGACAAGTTATAATTAAATAGTTTTATGAATTTAATGTTTTGTCTTCCCCTAAATTTCAGTCCCTGCAAAGATCCACCTGCCTAAAGAGCTCCAGGGAATGGGAGCAGTTCAGGCTGTGCGTGGAGATCATGTCACCATCAAGATCCCCATCTCTGGAAAGCCTGAGCCAGCAGTCACTTGGCAGAAGGGTCAGGAGATCCTGTCTAACTCTCTTTATCACCAAGTCATCACTACTAGATCTTTCACCTCTTTGGTGTTCCAGAAGGGAGTAGAGAGGAGGGACACTGGCTACTACATTATTACTGCCAAAAACAGATTTGGAACAGACAAGCAAACCATTGAAGTAAATGTGGCAGACATTCCTGATGCTCCAAAAGGACTCGTAGTCAGTGACATTACCCGAGATTCTATTACCTTGACCTGGGAACCTCCTGCAAGTGATGGTGGCAGCGATATTATTGGATACATTGTTGAGAAGTGTCCAACCACAGCAGATAGGTGGATCCGTGCTGGTCACACTGATGAATGCAGTATCACCATCATCAACATATTTGGAAAAACCAAATACCAGTTCCGTATTATAGCAGAGAACCAGTTTGGCCTGAGTCCTCCTTCTATGCCGACTGAACCCATTACCACAAAGGAAGACAAGTCTGTGATCAGGAATTATGATGAGGAAGTGGATGAAACTAGAGAGATAACCAAAGAGGAGGCTCTTTTCTATAAGGTAAAGGAGCTGTCCTCCAAATACATCATCTCAGAGGAGCTTGCTCGCTGTCAGTTTGGAGTGGTTCACCGCTGCGTGGAGATCGCCACAAAGAAGACCTTCATGGCCAAATTCATCAAAGTTAAAGGAACTGATCGTGAGTTGGTTCTTAGGGAAATAGAAGCCCTTAATGTTGCAAGACACAAAAACATTATCTACCTGCATGAATACTTTGAAAGCATGGAGGAAATCATACTAATCTTTGAGTTCATCTCTGGAGTTGACATCTTCGAACGTCTTGGCACCAGCAACTTTGAGCTCTCAGAGCAGGAGATTGTCCGCTACCTGAGACAAGTCTGCTCTGCTCTCAAGTTCCTGCACAGCCAGAACTTTGGCCACTTTGATATCCGCCCAGATAACATTGTCTACACCACCAGGAGAAGTACAAACATCAAGATTATTGAGATGGGCCAGTCTAGGTTGCTGATACCAGGAGAGAACATCAGAATGCTGTTCTCTGCTCCAGAGTACTATGCCCCAGAAGTTCACCGCCATGATCTGGTCACAACAGCCACTGACATGTGGTCTGTTGGTGTTTTGGCATATGTTCTACTTAGTGGCCTTAATCCATTTGCTGCTGAGTCCACAACAAAGATAATTGAAAACACATCTAACTGTGAGTACATCTTTGAAAGGGAAGCATTTAAAGACATCAGCCTGGAGGCTATGGACTTTATAGACAGACTTCTAGTCAAAGACCAAAAGCTCCGTATGACTGCTCATGAGGCTCTGGAGCACCCATGGCTCAAGATGAAGATTGTGAATGTCAGCAACAAGGTTATCAGGACACTGAGACACAGAAGATATTATCAGTCTCTGGTGAAGAAGACTGATACGATAGTCTCAGCTGCCCGTGTGGCATTTGGAGGTGCCTTCAGGAACCAGCGAGGTTTGGATGTTGGTAAAGTGAAAATTGGAACTGAGTATCATGGCCTCCGTGCTGGCCCTGTCATGCATGGCTCAGCTGAGGAAGGTGGCCATGTCAGATTCACCTGTAGCCTTGTTAACTATGACAAAAGCACTCAGGTCTCATGGTACTTTGGTAACCGTCAGTTACATCCAAGTCCAAAGTATGAGATTTCTTACAGTAATGGTTTTGCCAGCATTTATGTAAAGGACATTGAAGAGGGTGATGACGGTGTCTATAGATGCAAAGTGGTGAGTGATGATGGAGAAGACAGTGCTTATGGAGAACTCTTTGTTGAAACTGTGAGGAGCATCAGAGAACACTACATGAGTCGCACCATCAAAAAACTGAGGAGGAGAGTTGACAAAACTAAACTCCTACAGAGACCACCAGAGTTCACGCTGCCTCTCTACAACCGCACTGCTTACATTGGTGAAGATGTGCGATTTGGTGTCACCATTACGGTCCACCCAGAGCCTCATGTGTCATGGCTCAAAAATGGAGAACGACTCAAGGATGACGACAGCAAGTACACATTCACCAGCGATAAGGGTCTATACCAGCTCCTGATTCACAACCTGGACACGAGTGATGATGCTGAATATACAGTCATGGCCCACAACAAGTTTGGAGAAGACAGTTGCAAGGCTCGTCTCAATGTGATACCTCATCCTGTTACAGAGGACACCATGAGGCCCATGTTCAAACGTCTGCTTGCTAATGTTGACTGTGTAGAGGGAGAAAGTGTACGCTTTGAGCTCAGAGTTTCAGGAGTCCCGAGCCCAAATCTAAAATGGGAAAAGGATGGCCAACCACTACAGTTTGGTCCTAAAGTTGTTGTCATACAAGAGGACATTGATTACCATGTCCTTCACATCAGAGAGACTCTGATGGAGGATGCTGGTGTGTACAAAGTTACTGCAATCAACTCTGCTGGCTCAGCATGCTGCCAAGCTGTACTAAAGGTGGAACGCCTTACTTACACAAGACGAGAGTACAAGAGTGAGGAGGAAAAGTACAAACATGTACAGAAACAAATAGAAAAGACCAACAAAATGGCTCAGCACATTGCTGCTACTGAGGAGCTTGTGCCTCTTAACCCAACAGCACAGGAAGCTCTCAAATTTGCTGCAGAAGTGTACAAACCTGCAGTGAGTACCAAGAACATTGAGGGTGAGTTTGACATCACAGTGGAGAAGACAGAAACCAAGAAGCTGGAGGAGGAGAGAAGAATTTTCTTGCCCTATGAGATTCCGGAGCCTGTGATTCATGATCCCAAAGCTCTGGATGAGGACAAAGCCATCAAGCAGTTTGTGCCACTGTCTGACATGAAGTGGTATCGTAAGCTGAGAGATCAGTATGAGGTTCCAGAAAGAACTGAGAGGATTGTGCAGAGAAGGCAGAGACGTATCCGCCTGTCCAGGTGGGAGCAGTTCTACGTCATGCCCTTACCCAGGATCACAGACCAGTACAGACCAAGGTGGCGTATTCCCAAACTCACGCTGGATGATTTAGAGACTGTCAGACCTGCACGTCGCTCACCCTCTGCTGAGTCTGAAGCCTCCTTCAAATCTAGAAGGAGATCTCTGGGTGACCTCAGTGATGAAGAGTTGCTGATGCCTGTGGATGACTACCTCACCATGAGGAAAACAGAGGAAGAGAGACTGATGTTGGAGGATGAGCTGGAGCTTGGATTTTCAGCCTCTCCTACTGGCAGCCCTGTCCGTGTCCAAAGACATGCCCTGGAACATGAGGAGAGGAGGCTGGAGGTCAGACATGAGGCAGCTGAAGTAACCGAGACAAAGAAGAAACGTACCATATCTCAGTTTATGAGAAGGAGAAGGTCTTTGTCTCCTACTTACATCGAGTTAATGCGTCCAGTCTCAGAGCTGATCAGACCCCCACGTGCCCGGCCTCCTGTGGAAGTAGAGGGAGTAGTTGTGGAGAGGAGGTCCCCAACCCCAGAGAGAACCCGCCCTCGTTCCCCCAGTCCCATAAAGTCAGTGGAGAGGTCATCTCGCTCCTCCTCCAGGTTTGATCGTTCAGCTCGCTTTGACATTATGTCCCGCTATGAAGCTAGAAAAGCAGCTCTGACATCTGAAAGGAAATACCAGGTCGTTAGTCAAACACCTTTCAGCTTGGACCATGCGCCCCGTGTAACTGTTAGGATGCGCTCTCACCGAATCCCAGTTGGCCAAGACACCAAATTTACCTTGAACATCCAAGCAAAGCCAGAGGCTGAAGTCAGCTGGCTTCACAATGGAACTGAGATTTCAGAAAGCAGTGAAAAATACATATTCTCAAATATGAGCGGTGTTTTATCAATCACTATCCTGGACTGTCAGGAAGAGGACAGCGGCATGTACCGTTGTGTGTGCTCTAACTCCAAGGGAGAAGCATCAGACTATGCCACTCTGGAAGTGTCCAGTGGTGGCTACACCACATTCTCTTCACGCCGCAGGGATGAGGAAGTTCCTAAAGCTCATGTCCCTGAAGTCTCTCGAATTGACCATTATCACACCACACATTTTAAAACTGGTTACACCTCCCAAACGCACCTTGATGTGAAAGAGAGCAAGTCAAAGCTAACCGAGACACACGAGGTCGTTACACGTGAAAGATTTGGTGATTCTTCTGAGAGGTTCTCCTCTGCTGAGAGGTATGACTCCTCTATCAAGTACGCCTCAGCTGAATACCTCTCATCAAGTTCTTCATATTCATCAGAGAAGTTCTCTTTGTCTGAGAAACACATCACATCCGAAGCTAAACTGAAATCATCATCATCTACTGCTGTTGCTGACCAAGTTACTGTTCACAAAGAGAAACCTTCTGTTCCAGCAAAGATCCTGACAAAGCCTCAGTCTGTGACTGTAAATGAGGGTGAGATAGCCAGGTTCTCCTGTGATATTGATGGTGAACCTGCACCCACTGTGACGTGGATCCATGAAGGAAGAATTATTGCATCATCGCAACATATCCAGGTCACCACAACCCAGTATAAATCTAGCCTGGAGATCTCCTCTGTGAAGGCCTCTGATGAAGGCAGTTACATTGTGGTGGTGGAGAACTCAGCAGGTCGACAGGAGGCTCACTTCACTCTGACAATCTGCAGACCACCTCCTAAAGAGGAAGTCAAAGCTATCAAACACCCTGAGCCACCTGTGACATCTACACCTAGTGTGAAGTCACCTGAGCCTGCTCCCTCTATTACTTCTCCTACTCCTAGTGTGAAGTCACCAGAGCCTGCTCCCTCTGTTACTTCTCCTACTCCTAGTGTGAAGTCACCAGAGCCTAGTGTAAAATCTCCAGAACCGTCAGTTAAGTCCCCTGAACCAAGTTTAGCATCTCCTACCCCAAGCATAAAATCACCAACACCAAGTGTAAAGTCTCCAGAACCAGAGGAAGTTAAATCTTCAAAGAGTGTGAAATCTCCAGAGTCACCAGCACCTTCTCCTGCACGCAGCTTAAAATCTCCAACTCCTGGTGTAAAATCTCCAGAACCAGAAGGAGTTAAGTCACCACGTGGTCTAAAATCCCCTGAACCCCGACTCAAGTCACCAACACCAATCAAGCCTCCTGGAAGTGTGAAGTCATCTGAACCTGAGGAGGTAAAAGTCCCTCGAGGTCTCAAATCTCCAGAGCCTGCAGGTACCAAAACACTGAGAGGCCTCAAGTCCCCAGAACCTGCAGGAATCAAAACACCGAAAGGCATCAAGTCTCCAGAACCTTCTGGAATCAAATCACCGAGGGGTCTAAAGTCTCCTGAGCCAGAGGGAATCAAATCACCTCCAAGAGTGAAATCTCCTCCTCCCATCATGTCCCCCAAGAGGGTTGTCTCTCCTCCGACTGTGAAGTCCCCGATTCCCAAACCTCCCAAAGTCTTAAGTCAGCTAACAGCCGAGGCCTGCGAGGGTTCGGTCAGAATGTCCTGCGTCTGTGAGAGCAGCGTCAGGGAGGTGACGTGGTATGTAAGTGGTAGGCGGCTTTCACAGAGCAGCCATTTTGAGATGCACTACTCTGAGGGCTCCTGCAGTCTTCTGATTCATGACTTGACAGAAAGTGATCAGGGAGAGTACACCTGTGAGATGACCTCAGAGGGAGGAGTATCCAAATCCTCCTTCTCCTTTGTGGGGCAGGTGTTTCAGTCTATATATAAGAAGATCACAGCCTACCGTGAACAGCAAGTGGCACTCAAAGGTGAGAATCTTCCTTCAGATGTGTTGAATGAATTGCTTAGAAATGTTTCTGGAGTTGACCCATTTCATGTTGTGACTTTCAGCAGGATCGATGATGAGTCACAAGCAGTCATCCTCATCAATGAGCTCATCCATGATGACGAAGAAAGAACTCCACACAATGGAAGAGTCTTCGTCCTTTTCTTCCTCTGCCCACCAGACGATGTCATCTATGATGGAGTCAAGCTCCTTCAGCAGCATGGCAGCAGAGATGAAGTTTGAGACCATGTCGATGTCCAGCATGTCCTCCATGGCATCTGAAACGTACGCCACGAGCTCCAGCAGCCTCACAGAGATGACGTCCCATTTAGGATCGTCACTGAGAGCAATAGGTAAGAGTAATCTAGTTTTTGAAACAATCAGTCAAGTGATTATAAACTGTAACCAGAACATTTCTGTAGACGTGTTGTCTGAAACTCCAACATCCATCAACTTTCTTCTATAGAGCCCACCAGGAACTTGAACTTCCCTTTCTAATAATTTAAGCTGTGGCAGGACCGGAATCTTATCTTGAAACTCCACATTAAAAGCCTGTGTTAAAAAATGTTTAAAATGTTAAAACAGCAGTTCAGTCATGGAAAGTCCAACTTTCTGTGACCAGTTTAAACCAATGATGGTTCTGAAGTCTGAGCTGAAGATCCAAACAGGACTGGATTTTTTTGAGCAAAGAAAATATTGATGTTTTTATGGGTTAATTAGACATTTTTCCACTGGGTAAATACTCAGTTTTAATCCCTAAACCCAATTGTTCCCCAGGCTCTTACATATCTGCCCACCGCTCCACCTGAGTGTATCTCACGTGTGATGGGTTGAATGCAGAGAACTAATTTTGCCATTGTGTGGGAACATACAGTGATGACGATCTCAGACTTCCCTTCCCTTAATGTACTGCTACCAAAACATCAGAGCTCACCAGTCCTCATCAGGCTGCTTTGTTTAAATTGTTTTCTTGTTCATTGAAGTTGGTAGCAAACCAAAATTCATTGTGAAAATAAAAACAAAAACTAGAGAAATAGCATTTCCTGCAAAAATGCAGAGATAAGCTTAAATTATCAGAAGTGGAGAGAGCACATTTTTGTCGAATTAGGCTGAAAAGTTTAAATGAGTACAAAAAATGTGGAATTAGCTGAAAAAGTTCAAATTAGCATAAACAGCTAAGTAGTAGCTGAAATAGTTGAAACTTGCAGAAACAAGCTGAAATTACCATAAATAAGTCAGAAGAAGCTCAAAAATGTTGTAGTTAGCAGAATAAAGCAGAAAGGTGCACAAAACAGCTGAAATAAACTGGAAAAAATTAAATTTGCACAAGGAAGCCGAAAGAAGCTGAACCAGGACAAAATGTCAAAGGAGCAGTAAAAGGTTGTAAACAGATCTAAAGATGTGAAGGATGTAAAATGAGCTCAGTTCATTTTCTGAGAAAAAATAGCAGCAGAGGCTAAATATTTCAAACAGCTAAAGTTGCACCAAAACCAGAAGTTATAGCATGATTGTCCTGAAAGAGCTGAACGTTTCGATTTGATTTGTTGAAATAACACAAAAATTGTGGAGCGAGAAAAATGCTGAAAAACATACGGAGAACCTGGAATAATAAATATAAACAGGATCACAATAGTGTGACTGTTTAATAAGCATTCACACAATAACAAACCAACAGAATAGTAATGAATGTCCTGAAATGGTTATGGATTGGCACCATTACCTGAACACTCACAGCTGTAAAATATTAGAAAAGGGTAGCGAAACCAAACAAAGCAAGTTGATTTTAACTTTTTTTTGTGGCGCTGTTTTCTGAGTGTAAAACTTTGTCTCAGTGCACTCAGCTGTGTAACCTGCCGGTCTTAGGTTCTGCTCCAAGAATCGAAGCTCTGCCAGAGGACATCAGCGTCGAACCAGGCAAAGTCCTAACAGTCGCCTGTGCCTTCTCCGGTGATGCCAGAAACATTGAGTGGTCCCGCGGCGGGAAAACCATCAAGGTGACCGCCGGTGGACGGTTCCACATTGAGACCACTGATGACTTGACCACCCTCATCATCACTGACGTGAAGCAGGAAGACGCCGGAGCCTACACCCTCAAACTGTCCAACGAACTCGGATCTGACACAGCGACTGTCCACATCAGCATTCGATCAGTGTAAAAACAAAAAAATCTGATCCTTTACATGTCCCCTTGTCCCTCCTTTCATGCCTTTTTATTTATTAATTGAACAAAGTGGTTTACTTTGATAAAAGATCAGGAATTTTCTTGTAAATAGGAACTATTTTTGTACCAAACTTGACATTAATTTTTGCCAAACTAGACTGAAGTCTAAAGATGTAAAATGTGCCATATTGGATAACATTGACTTAGGATGTTTGATCCATTTTTCTGTGACATGTACATAATGTATATAGCCGAATGTACCGGTTATGGGAAATGTATGCATTGTTATTTATGACAATAATATAAACTGAAACTTAAAGAAACTTGTAGTTTTAACAGGAGAAAGTTTCGACAGGAACGAATACCCTGTTAAAGTGAGAAACTAAACTCTGTGCCTCAACGATCAGTTGAAGTCTAAGATTGCCTCAGCAGGTAGAGAGGCTCCCTGTTGATGTTACGAACCGAAGACAAAACCATGAAGGCGCCGCTGCAACAGAAGAAAGGAGAGAGCGGTGCTTTAAGATTGTAACAGGAGCGTGAGATCCTGAGTGCTGTTTGCATCTACCCTCATGTAAGCAGGACGACTGGACCTCGCACCCCGACTGACGATGTCATGCCGTTTTTATGACGAGCTCACGGTGCGAGCGGCCTGCACCGCCTGAGCACAAGTGTTTCTTTTTGTTTTGTGCTCTGCTCCTGGCAAACGACCGCCGGCTCAAGCTCTTCAGTCGTGCAATCAACCTGGCCAATCACATGAAAGCAGAGTCCTCCCGGTGCTCGTTTCCAGGCGCAGAGCTGCCTCTCGGAGGTGTGCCGTGTGTTCGCGTGTTAGTTTTTAGAAGTCCACGTGTCAGTCAGGCTGGTCGATACCAAGGACCCGAACAGCATCGAACCAGCTCCGGCTGCGTTCAGCTGCTTGGTTGTCATCCTGCACTTTGTTGGATTAAAGTTAGAGTTGTAGCGTTAATTTTGCAGCCTCCTTGAGTCTTTTTTTTCCTCCCATTATTGATTTAATAAAGCATGATGATCAGCACAACACAACGGGTCTGCCTAGTTCTTTGATGTGTGTTATAAATTATTACATTTAAAACACACTTCGGGTTTCGTTGAGTGAACGACCTGAGGTTGTTGCTCTGCAGTTGCAAACATTCATGAAGGAATCTCCAAAACATTTGCGGGGGGGTCACAGAAGGATTTTAATCTTGTTGCTTGAATTTTGAACATGTTCCAAAACTTTGCAAGACAAATTATCTTGAAGGCTCGTCTGCGTCATTATCCTCAGCTCTCAGGGAAGAGGTTTGCTTCAGAGTGTGAATGAGAATCAGCACCTCCAAATCTGAGGCCGTGGTCCTCAGTGAGGGTGGACTGTCCTCTCCAGGTTGGGGGTGATCGATGTTCTGCCTCAGGTGGAGGAGTTCCAAGTATCTCGGGGTTTTGTTCACAGTGAGCGAAGAATGGAGTGTGAGGTCAACAGATGGATTGATGCAGCTTCTGCAGAATTGTGGACTCTTGAAAGTCCTCCATGTTGAGGAGCTGAGCAGCAAGAAGAAGCTCGCTGTTTACCGGTCAGTCTACGTTCCTACCCTCACCTATGGTCAGGAACTCTGAGTAGTGGCCAAAGGAACAAGGTCACAGACACAGGGAGTTGAAATGAGTTTCCTCCGCAGGATTGATGGACTCTCCCTTAAGAGATAGGGTGAGAAGTTCAGTTATCCAGGAGACTCGGAGTAAATCCGCTGCTCCTCCACATCCAGAGGAACCAGTTGAGGTGGTTCAGACATCTAGTAAGGATGCTCTGTGGACATGTTCTGGGCCTGTCCAACTGGGAGGAGACAACGGGGACGACCCAGGACACGCTGGAGAGACTATATCTCTCAACTGGTCTGGGAACATTGGGAGTCCTCCCAGAAGGAGCTGGAAGAGGAGGCTGTGGAGAGGCCTGGACCTCCCTGATGGAGCTGCATCATCAATGCAACTCTTTCAAAACAAACAGTTGATGGAAGAAACGGGAAATAAACAAGTTTAAGATGGAATGAAATGTATTAAATCTGGACACATTTGAGCTTTTAACAACTAAAAGTGAGATTTTTGGTGATGTTAAAGAAAAATGATAAATTTCTATAAAAAATACATTTGCTAGTGATAATGCTAATTTTATTAATGCTACTTAAGCTAGTTCATCCATCGTCTTTAACTGCTTCTTTCAATTTGGGTCGCTGGGGTCACTGGTGTCCATATCCAGCAGTCACCATGAGAGAGGCGGGGGACACCCCTGGACAGGTCTCTAGTCCATCACAGGGACACATGGAGACAAACAACCATTCTCTCTCTCACCTAGAGACAATTTAGAGTCACCAATCAGTCTAACATGTTTTTGGTCTGTGGGAGGAAACTGGAGTACCCGGAGAAAACCCACGCAGCACGGAGAGAACATGCAAACTCCACCCAGAGAGACCCCCGGCTGGGATTTGATCCGGCGACCGTCTCGATGAGAAGCGTCAGCGCTCATCAACTGCACCACCGTGTCCTTTGAAAAATATATAAAGTTTCAAAATAAAAGAACCTGTTTTTAAATTTGAAATCAATTTTATGTCAAAAGAAAAGATAATGTATGCTGAACAAAAACAAAATGATTTTTTTTCATGTGAATTCTTAACAGTGAAAATCCACAGCAGCAGCTTCAGTTTTAAATATTTTATCTGTGATGTTTGTGTAATTTTTAACTTCTTATCATTTAGACGGTTGTATTTAAAGTCTCTTTAGTCCAAAACGTTGTTTTTTTTAAATACCAGATAATTATATTTTAGTCTCAGCTTTTTTGTTTAATCTTCCTGTAAAAATACAATGATCTGATTGGTCGGACACTCTGAGCACAGTGAAACTTGTCAGCAGTGCTGGATGATCTGCTGCAGGTAAACGCTGATGATGTACAAGCTGCGTCCTGTCCTCAGTGGACCCGCAGGTCCAGCCCAGTCAGAGGCGAGAACGAGGGCAGCTTGTTGAAGCCCAGCAGCTGGCGGGTGCAGGACTCCCAGCTCAGACCCAGCTCCAGACGGCTGCAGATGCAAGGATACTGCCAGTCGGCCCAGCGGACCCAGTCCACAGCCTTCTTGACCTGGTCCCAGCGTTCAGGTCTGCAGGGACAAAACATTCAGAGTCAGTTTCTGTTGAGTCCATCAGAGAATAAAGATGATAGCAGCTGGAGCTGCAGCTGGTTCCACTGGTTTGAAGCTGCAGACACAAACGGTCATCTCAGTGACGGTCCAGAACGGGTCGGGTCAAAATCCTCAGTGAGGTCCACAAGGCTGCCTAAACCAGATCCAAGTCCCTAATGCAGAGAGACGTCTGGGTCTTGATCAGTCATACAGCCTTGTGGGCCTCCCATCATTGCTGGGTTCTGGTTCTGTGGCTCTATGACCAGTTGTCCTGGAACCAACAGACCTAACCCACACTGACTCTGGATTTCTGGACCGGTTCTTTTTGGCTGCTTTGTTCTGATTGGTCGTACCGGTCATGTGACTGTGACGTCAGTGATTTTCTGCTCAGCTGACGTGTTTTTAATCAAACCATGAATGAATTCAGTTCTGGTTCGGGTCAGACCTGAGTCCTGAGGCCTCCTCCAGGTGAAACAAGTTCCTCAGCAGCTTTCCTTCCTCCAGCTGCTCCACCCTCATCAGCTGCAGAACCATGAGCGTGGCGATCATCCTCAGGATGTCTGCGTGGGCCCTCGAGCCTGGAACACACACCGTGAGAAACATGAAGACCCAAAGCTGAGATGGGACCGGCTGTTAGAACGGTTCCTTACAGACAGAAGGTTCTGAAGTCGGAGAACATCTGGAAAGAGTTTTACAGGTGATGGTCTGACATGGAGGTTTAATAAAATATATTTTTGATTTGATTTATTTTATTTTTTTATTTGAAACTACAGGTCCTTCTCAAAAAATTAGCATGGGACAGGCATTTTGGGTTTTCATGAGCTGTATGCCATAATCATCAGTATTAAAACAATTAAAGACCTGAAATATTTCAGTTGGTGTGCAATGAATCTGAACTATATGAAAGTTTCATTTTTATCATTACATTATGGAAAATAATGACCTTTATCACAATATGCTAATTTTTTGAGAAGGACCTGTACACTTCAAATGAACCAGATGTACCGAGCTGCTGCAGCATCTGTAACTGATGTCCAGTAACTGATGTCCTGATTCTGGGCGGAGCCAACAGGAGTCAGCTTTGGAGCGTTCGATTCCTCAGCATGCACGTGGATCTGCTTTTTGTACTAAATGCTTTGCTCATGCACAACACACGTGCTTTTCATCCGCTGGTGGCGCTGGTAATGCCGACAAGCAGCGGTCGTGAAGCGTGTGCTGCAAGTGTTTTGTTCCTGTCCTTTTGTTTTGCTTACAGTAGTAGGAATAACTTCTTATCCTTATGTGGTTTGTGTTTTGGCACTTTGTTTGATGAACTCTGTTTGGACCAGACGCAGTTGCAGTACGGCCCGGAGTTTCTGCTCCTCATGCGGGACTCTGGAGCGGGCGCTGTGGAACCTTTTGCAGCTTTCCCAGCAGACATTCTCGGGGCAGGGACCTCAGCTAAAGACCGGTGCTGGGAGCAGAAGCCACCAAGCGTAAGGAAACGGGGAGGACGTGGTGGTGTTCAACAGAGACTGGTCGCCCCCAACCAACTGGTTAGGGGACAGCCTTGGAAAAAGAAAAGAGGGGGCGGAGTCTGTCTTACAGCTGAGTGAGCCACATGAGCGGCATGGATTGTTCATTTAAAATAATCAAGCACAACCGAATCTTTTTTATTATTTTTTTTTTTTATTTACACTTTATTTATCCAGGTAGTCTCACTGAGTCACAAGAACTCATTTTCAAGAGAGACCTGTTTTGGGGATCAGATGGTGGGTGTTAAGGGCCTTGCTCAAGGGTGTTTAATCGTCTCCACCCACATTTTGATGTCGTCAGTCCTCGGAGTTGAACCTGCGACTTTCCGATCACAGGCCCATCTTTAACCTCTGCCACCACTCCCACTTTAGTCCCCCTCGGCGATCACTGAGTGGGCCAGGCCACCGGGAAATGTCCCGGTGCTCCCAATGGCCAGTCCATCCCGGGCCGCGCTGATTGGCTCAGTAACCGTAGCATCAGTCTGTCTGCTCTCTTTCACTCTGCTCTTTAAGAGAGTTTAGAACATTGCAAGAGTGTGGGATGGGTTTATAAAGCCTTAAAATATATATAAATACTAAAATAAATATAACGTCCCTACTTCGCAGGTTGTCACTTATCGCGGGGATGTCTGGAACGTAACTCCTGCAGTGAGTGAGGGACTGGTGTATCTGATAAACACATTCTGAAGTTTGTTTCTCAAAAACTTTTAAAATACCCTCAATACGTTCAACAAAACCAGCTCTTTCATTTTTTGACAAGACTGAGAGCTTTGTAGGTTAGAAATAAGATTTTGAATTCAATTCTGGACTTGACAGGGAGCCAGTGGAGAGAAGCTAAAACTGGAGAGATATGATCTCTCCCACTAACTCCAGTTAAGACTCTGGCAGCAGCATTTTGGATCAACTGAAGACTTTTTAAAGTATTTGGACACTCAGATAATAAACCATTTCAATTGTTCAACCTAGACTTGATAAATGCATGGACCAGTTTCTTTACATCATTTTTGGACAAGATGTTTCTAATTTTAGTGATATTACACAAGTGGTTCTGGTAAAAAAAAAAAATTGTGGGGGTCAAAAGACATAAATTAGACAAACGTCTACGTTTGGACGTAGAAACTGTAGAAGGAGAAAAGATGATCTGTCAACTAAAAACAGGAAAGACTCACCCAGAGAACGGATGCCTTTCTTTCTCAGGAACTCGTTGGCGAAGACGTCTACGTTCAGATGTATGAGCTGTCCCAGTTCTGTGGTCAGCTCCCAGTATCCGTCCTGCCACACAAACGGAAACACCAGCTGGACTTTCAAACCTGCAGTCCTGTAGAATCTGACTTCAGGCTTTTTATGTTCTCGTTTATTTGTAACGTTTGTGAAATTTAACTAAAGATCTTTGGGGTCAAGTGTCTCTGCTCTTCTTGTGTTCTGGGTTGGAAGCTGCAACGTTCAGGAGCCACTGATCTGGAGTCAGATGTGAGCCCATCTGATGAAGCTCAGACCAAACTGGGTCCAACAAGATCACAAACAAGAGCTGATCTACAACAGAACGAGTCAGGAAGAAAAGAACCAAGGAGCTGCTGCAGTCTAGAGTCCAGAACCTCAACCTGACTGAAAACTCAGGTGGACCTTCAAAGAGCTGAGCAGAACCTTCAATGATGTAAAGAAGAGTGGGCCAGAACTGCTCCAAAACTATGAAAGTGACTGAAAAGGTCCTACAAAAACCCACCGAGAGTTCTGGTTCTAAAGGAGGTTCTACAGCTGCTGGATCAGGACCTGGAACCAGTTTTAGCTGAATAACTCTGTGGTTGTTCCTTTGATGCTGTAGAACTAGATTCTTGGACATCCTGAGGACCAGATGATGTTTCTATTTCATCCCTCCTGACTGCCAGAAGGCGGTGCTGAATGTACTGAATGTTCCCTTCGCGCATGCGCTGTTCGAGTAATAATACCAACGGAGTCACAGGTGTGACACGGTTGACCAATCAGAGGCTATATAGCCTGATGTCATCCGCAGCTCTGCTCCTTTTTTCTTCTCGCGCGAGGTTCAATTCAGGGCTTCAGCCCTTTAGACCTTTTCTGAACTTTTTACCGTCGTCGGAAGCCTGACTGCCCGTCTGCAGGAGTAGCGTATTCGCCCTCCTAGGGCTGCGGCGGTTTAACCCTGTTCAAAGGTATTTTCTGCTGATTCGTTGGGGACTACGGCGGTTTCCGCCTCTCCCAACTTACAGCGTCTGACTCTGTGTGATTTAACACTGGTGAGTAGTGGTTTTTTGCTTGTATTTTGCTATTGGTTAGCGGTAGCGTTCGTTCCGCTCCTGTTTACTGGAGGCCTCCAACCGCATGGTCGGTTGGACTGTGCTCCTGTTTGCTTATTACGTAGCCAGCTGAGTTCCTGGCCTTGTTTTCATTGGTGAAGACAAGCGTTCGCACCCCCTCTCCCAATTGCCCTCTCTTACCAGCTGAGCTAGCGGTGCTAGCCTCTCTGAGTTTGGCCTTGTTTTAATTGGTGAAGGCGAGCGTTCGCGCCCCCTTTCCCAATTGTCCTCTTTACCAGCTGAGCTAGCGGTGCTAGCCTCTCTGAGTTTTGGCCTTGTTTTAATTAGTGAAGGCGAGCTTTCGCGCTCCCTCTCCCAATTGTCCTCTTTACCAGCTGAGCTAGCGGTGCTAGCCTCTCTGAGTTTTGGCCTTGTTTTGATTGGTGAAGGCGAGCGTTCGCGCCCCCTCTCCCAATTGTCCTCTTTACCATCTGAGCTAGCGGTGCTATCCTCTGAGTTTTGGCCTTGTTTTAATTGGTGAAGGCGAGCGTTCACGCCCCCTCTCCCAATTGTCCTCTTTTCCCAGCTGAGCTAGTGGTGCTAGCCTCTGACCTTTGGCCTTGTTTTAATTGGTGAAGGCGAGCATTTACGCCCCCTCTCCCAATTGTCCTCTTTACCAGCTGAGCTAGCGGTGTTAACCTTTCCGAGTTTCTTGCCGTAATTTTTTCATCCTATATCTTGGACATCAATCAACCTTTATTTATACAGGTAAATCCCATTGAGCCTCGAGGACTCATTTACAAGAGAGACCTGATTTCAACAAAGAAAGATGACAACAATGGACATAGCTGGGTAAGGAGCATGGATGGCTCTCACTGCAGTACAGTCTGTGGAGCCATGCTCCAGACAGATGACTGTCACGACCTGTGTCCTGCCTGCCTTGGACATGACCATCTGGTGGAGGCCCTGTCAGAGAACCCCTGCATGAATTGCAGCTTCATGTCGCGTGCTGTGAGGGTGGCCCGGCTGACCCAGTTTCACCTTGAACACGGCAATGACCTCCCGCCTTCTGGGCAGGAGGCTCCACCTAGGCGCTCGAAACGCCGGACTGAGGCCGCAGTCTCTGTGGCCCCTCCTGGGAAGAAGCGAGCCAGGTCTGATAGGGGCCTCTCCACGAGGGTGGAGCAGCTCTCCACTGAATTAGCGGAGATGAAGTCCCTTTTTCAGGTACGCCAACTGGGAACTGAACCAGTGGCAGCAACCGGATTCTCCTCCCCACCCATGCCTTAACTGGCTGCGGAGGAAGATGTGCTATCCTTGGCTGCCTCTGCCTCTCACTTTTTAGGTGAGGAAGAGGGGCATTCATTTCAAGTCTCAGAGACAGCTTCACTTTCTTCTTCTCGGAGCGCAGTTAGTGGGTCTGGTGACGGCTCGATGCAGGACGTCATGCGTATGGCCCTGAGACAACTGCAGCTGGACGTCCCGCAATCAGAGGCGTCCACCCCCGGAAGTGCCTTCTTCAGGCGCGAACTGACCCATCCTTCCTTTTCTGTCCTTCCATCAGAGGAGTTCCTGAGGGAGTTGCATGGTTGCTGGCGGGATCCCAAAGCCTTTGCGCGCCTCTCCGCAGATGGCCAAGTGTTGGCAGCTATGCATGAGCCAGCTGAAGCAGGCTTGGATCGCATGCCGGCGATAGAACCTGCTGTTGACTCTCTCATCGTGTCACCAGAGGAAGCTCTGCGCAGTCATGTTCGGTGCCCACGAGCTCAGTGTCGTGTCATGGATGAATTCTTCTGCAGAGCCTATGCCGCCGGAGCACGTGCTGGCCGCTTAGGTAATTCCTTGGCACAACTCATGCTTGCCCTCTCCGCGTCCCTTCAGGGGACTAGTGGTGCGACAGCAGCAATGGGTTTTAGCGATACAGCGCTTCAGGCCTTTGCACTAATGACGAGGGAACTTGGGCGCGTGATGTCCTCCTTGGTCCAGGCTCGCCAACAGGTCTGGTTGGCGCAGTCAGCATTGACTGAGCCATGCCGTAGAACCCTCCGTAATGTCGCAGTGGTGCCGGGGGAGTTGTTTGGTTCGGCTGCCTTGGAAGTGCTGGAACGGACTGTCCAAGCACGACAGAGAAGGCAGCAATTTTCAAGCCTTAGCAGGGCAATGCCCCCTCCACCTCCTCGGCATCCAAGGTGCCCGTCGGCTGACTCCAGCATGCAGCCGCCGCCTGGGGGTCATAACTGGCCGGGTGGGCCTTACCCTTGTGCGGTTCAGCAAAGGCCCAGCAGGAGCTTTTGTGGGTCGATCCACCGACCAGCTGGGCAGGCTCGGACCAGGGACTCTGGCCACTACCACCCCCTCTGGGAGAGTGGTCCCTCCACAGCAACATAATGCTGATGATCTGGGACCGTTTTGGTCAGGCAGAGATAGACCTGTTTGTGACGGAAGAGTCGACTCAGTGTCCCCTATGGTACTCTCTTATGGGGGCGTCGGGTGCGTTGGGCCAGGACGCATTGGCTCATCCTTGGCCAAGGGTCCTTCTATATGCCTTTCCACCCCTTTCTCTAATTTGGCCAACCCTTCAGAGAGTCCTTGAGGAGGGCCACAGGATGCTGCTGGTGGCTCCATATTGGCCAGCGCGACCATGGTTCCCACTGCTACGAAGTCTATGTCAGGGCGGCCCATGGTGTCTTCTGACCAGAAGAGACTTGCTGTCTCAGTTGGGGGGACTGATATGGCACCCCAATCCTCAACGTCTTCGGCTGTGGGTGTGGCCATTGCAAGGCTAGGACAGCAGCTGACTGGAGTTTCGAGCCCCGTCCGATGCACCATCCTGGGCGCCAGAGCACCCTCTACTCGTCAGCAGTACGAAAACAGGTGGCATCTGTTTTCCCAATAGTGTTCTGATCACGAGGATCCAGTCTCCTGTACAGTACCCACCATTCTGGAGTTTCTCCAGTCTCTCCTTGGTAAGGGTCGCTCTCCTTCGACGCTTAAAGTTTATGTAGCGGCAATATCATCTAATCACGCTGGCATTTATGGATGTACGGTAGGGAGCCATAATCTAGTCTCTCTTTTTCTACGTGGTGCCCGTAGGTCACACCCGCCGACAGCTCCATGAGCACCAGGTTGGGACCTGCCCTTGGTTCTCAAAGCTCTGTGCCACCCTCCTTTCGAGCCTCTGACGCAGGTGGACCTCAAGTGGCTTTCATGCAAGACGGCTTTTTTGTTGGCTATTTCCTCAGCAAAGAGGGTCAGCGAGCTACACGCTCTCTCAGTCAGCCCCTCATGTCTCAGGTGGGGCCCTGAGGGCTTGTGTGTTACCTTGTGGCCAAACATTACATTTGTACCAAAGGTGTTATCTCACTCTCACTGTAACCAACCATGAGGCTGGCACGTTTTCAGCCTATGCCTGATGAGGGGTCTGGATTATTGTGACCGGTGAGGGCACTGGAGGCATACGTTGCAGCTACTGCCATGATAAGACATTCAGACCAGCTGTTTGTGTGTAATGGAGGCCCTAGGTTAGGCTGTCCTCTTTCCAAACAGCGCCTCTCCCACTGGATCGTGGAAGTCATCTTCCACGCCTATGCTGTAGGGTTCGGCCCCCTGCTGGTCGGCTTGAAGGCTCACTCTACCAGGAGCATCTCCGCTTACTGGGCTGACTTGAGAGTGGTTCCGCTGGAAGCAATATGTACTGCTGCATCATGGGCTTCCCCAAGCAGGTTCACCAGATTTTAAAGAGTTAACGTGGCCACCCCTCATCCCCTGGGCCAGGTTCTTCTACAAGGGTCCTCTGGGCCTCCTCAGTGAGGTGGGTGTTTAGGATTAATTTTGACATTGTTGGTATTAGTCATTCAGTGATTTCAGCACCGCCCTCTGGCGGTCAGGAGGGATGAAATAGAACGAAAGTTACGTATGTAACTACGGTTCTATGAATCCCCGATGACCGCCAGAGCTTCTCTGTCACTCAGAATCCTTGCATTCCGCGAGAAGATTCTGTAGGAGCAGAGCTGCAGATGACTTCGGGCTATATAGCCTCTGATTGGTCATCCGTGTCACACCTGTGACTCCATTGGTATTATTACTCGAACAGCGCATGCGTGAAGGGAACATTCAGTGCTTTCAGCACCGCCCTCTGGCGGTCATCCGGGATTCATAGAACCGTAGTTACATACGTAACTTTCGTTATGGTCCACTCTTGTTTACACCATCGTCAGCTAACGGACTGTTGACCGTTCTCTGTACGTCTAAACAAAGAGCCGTGTTTAAAGAACTGTCGTGTTTTTTAGAAATAAAAGTTGGAGATGAAAAGATTCTGACCCAAACTTCTTTAGATGTTTGTTTTAACTTGAAGGTATGGAGCCATTATTTGAACAGTTGTTAGCAAAATATCTCCTAAGGTAAAATCTGGCGTGGAGGAGAGTCATCCAGCACGTACTCCGAGCGTGACTCGTCTCATGAGCTCGTTTGGATTAAGATGAGCACGAACGGCAGCGGGCGACGTGCATCACTTCGGGTGATTCTTGTGTTTTAGGCTGATTGAGGCGACTCACCGAGTCCTGCAGCTTGAAGATCTGGGTCCATTTGTGCTGCTGGGCTTCAAGTTGTGAAACTCTGAACCTGCAGAGCAGCAGAACAAGGTTTCAGCTGGTGGACAATTATCGAACGCTTCAGTGGGAGATCATGTAAGCTCAGCGGCTGTCGTGTAAAACGTTTCAGACTCACCGACAGACCTGGGGCCTGCACGGACCTCCCAAGAAATTAAGTTGCTTTCCGAACTTGATGTTGCTGAAGACTCCTTCTGGAGCTTTCGCTTTCTGCTTCACAAGAGCTGTATCCAGAGGCGGAAACTGCACAGAGATCATATCCGACAATGTGTGGACTTTCATCTCTTCAGCTACGTCAGGCTGCAGACAGAGGAGCTGGGGTGGAGGAGGTGGAGGACATGGTGTGGGAATTAACATTTTTACATTGTAGCGTCTTTGTCTTTCAATGTTGGTACGAACGTATGCAGATGGTTTTCTCTCGAGTCTCTCAGCCACCATCTGCAAAAAAAGAAGCAGCTCAGAGTGAAACAGTCCCATCAGAACCGGTCCTGTCACTTCAGCCCGACTGATGATCACGTTTCTTTACTCAGATCATGTGTGGTCTAACAGTGCAGCAGTTTATTAACAACAACAACAACCATTATTATTATTAATATTATTATTATATTAATAACAACAACGACAACCATTATTATTATTATTATTATATCAATAACAACAACAACAATTATTATTATTAGCTTACCTCTGAAGACAGAGAGCGACGCCTCATCACTTCTGCTGCTGCGTTTCCAGAATCAGAATCAAAAGCTGCGATCTGAGCGGGATGTCTTCTGCGGTCAGAAGCCACAGCCTGAAGAACAGAAACAGGTTCTTCAAGTGCAACAGGTTCTGGTGGTGGAGGAAAATATCCAGCTGCAGAAACAAAGGATCTGGGTGCAGAACCAAAAGGTACGGGTGCAGAACCAAAACATGGGCCAGCAGAACCAGAATGTCCAAATGTAAAACCTTGAGGCTTCGGTGGCTGTTCACGAGCTGTGAGTGCCAGTTCTAAAGGTTTGTGTAAAAAGCCAAAGGTTCTGCCTCCCATGAGAGCGGAACCATCAGACAGAGCAGAATCAGCCGAAGGTTCATAGTCTAGGACCGAACATGCGCTGACGTGAGCTTCAGCAGCGCTGGGTGAACGTTCACTTCCTGACGACTGGTCTTCCTGCAAGAGACAAACACAAAAACCTGAGTCCGTGTGTTCTGAGATGTAACAGAACCAGATGAGACCTCTTGATGTTGTTTACTGATGTCAGCCATGGGCGTCAGAAGCATTTGTAATAAGGGGGGGACATTGGTGTGGGGGGTCTGGGGGTCCTCCCCCAGAAAATTTTGAATAAAGTAGTAGTAGCCATTTCCTACATTCTGATGCACTTGAACAGGTTTTACATTTACCTCCAGATGTAAACACTTGATTCAATAATTATTTTAGAGACACTTCCTTCAACTAGTCCATATCTGCATCATCCTGTTTTGAAACTCACTCCTGTGGCTAACTAAGGTAATTAATGTGACAATCACAAACAATGATTTTAGGGGTGCACTTCAATTTTATTTTATTTTTATTTTGTTATTTAGTTTTATTTGTAACAACATGCCACTGTCATAAGTAATGGTGACACTGAACTGCATGTATAAAAATAAAAATAAATTACTTTATCCAATGAACAGCTGCAATTTTTAGAACCACCAACAGTGGCTTTAGGGGGACTTTTACTGTTTTCTGGTTTAGTGATACTCATAACAGAAAATGACCTGGCATCATGCAGCCTTCAACACTAAATTACACTGCGCCAAGAACTGACTGGAACTGACAGTACTCAGAATAACTTTTGATTTGTGTATACATTTTAGATTTCATTCATTCATAACTGCTCAGAGCCCTTCATCACTCACCTCAGAAACAGAACTATCTTCACTGTCCCAACCTGCCTGTGGTGGACAATAGTAACGGACATCATCACATTCCTACATCAAGAGAGACGAGAGATGGATCAAGCATCACATGAAACAAAATCCCAGAATATACAACATAATACAATATGGTTTAACTGTCAAAACAACTCAGTAGATTTTATTTCATCACTGAATGTGGGTGAAGTGAAAGCTAAAGTTAAGCTAGCTGATCACCTAACATGAACTAGCCAGCTAACTGCACAAACTTTCCATGGGGGAGAAAACTCCTGTGGGGACATTTTGACTTAATTATTTGTAAAGTACCTCCACCTAATGGTCATTGTGTCTGTGGAGGGATCAGATATCGCAAACAATTAATCATCATCCAAGAACACCAATCTACTGTTCATTAAAGTAGCTTCATCCTAATTTTACATTTAGTTGAACAGTAATTTAACATGCGCTACGGCTAGCAAAAAAAGAACGAGGTTTTAGCAACAGCTGGACACTGAGATGTCAGTGAGACCATAGACATATATACATAGACGCCTCATTGAGCGCTGAATCGAACGTTGATGCCATATTGAATGTGGCAAAAGTGAAGTGATAGATGATGCCTCATTCAATCAGTGGCAACACAGAAAACGCTGTGCAAGACCATTCTTTTACAAGGTTTATAACTTACACACATGCACACACAGACAGCGTTATATATATATATATATATATATATATATATATATATATATATATATATATATATATATATATATACATATACATACATACACAGGCAGACAAACACATACATATTAAACAGACATAAAAATATGTTATATATATATTCATTTTTTTCCCCAATATCCCCCACTTCCTGTAAAGATATATTGGTATATGTTCATCAATGTGATTAATCAAAATCAGTTAAGTGTGAACATTAGTGCTCTTCAGAATCTGATTATTATAGACACAGAATGAATGCTAAATACAACAACAACAAGTATTATTATTATATTAAAAAGAACAACAACTACTACTATATTATTATTATTATTATTATTATATTAACAACAACTATTATTATTATTATATTAACAACTACTATTATTATTATTATTAGCTTACCTTTGAAAACCGACGGCTACGCCTCATCAATTTTGCTGCTGCGTTTCCAGAATCAGAATCAAAAGCTGCGATCCGAATGGGATGATATCCAGCTACAGAACCAACGGATCTGGGTGCACGTTCACTTCTCGACATCTTGTCGTCCTGCAAGAGACAAACACAAAAACCTGAGTCCGTGTGTTCTGAGACGTAACAGAACCAGATGAGACCTCTTGATGTTGTTTACCGACGTCAGCCATGGGCGTCAGAAGCATTTGTAATGTGGGGGGGGACATTGGTGTGGGGGGTCTGGGGGTCCTCCCCCAGAAAATTTTTGAATAAAGTAGTAGTAGCCATTTCCTACATTCTGGTGCACTTGAACAGGTTTTACATTTACCTCCAGATGTAAACACTTGATTCAATAATTATTTTAGAGACACTTCCTTCAACTAGTCCATATCTGCATCATCCTGTTTTGAAACTCACTCCTGTGGCTAACTAAGGTAATTAATGTGACAATTAATCACAAACAATGATTTTAGGGGTGCACTTCAATTTTATTTTTTTTTAATTTTTTTATTTAGTTTCATTTGTAACAACATGCCACTGTCATAAGTAATGGTGACACTGAACTGCATGTATAAAAATAAAAATAAATTACTTTATCCAATGAACAGCTGCAATTTTTAGAACCACCAACAGTGACTTTAGGGGACTTTTACTGTTTTCTGGTTTAGTGATACTCATAACAGAAAATGACCTGGCATCATGCAGCCTTCAACACTAAATTACACTGCACCAAGAACTGACTGGAACTGACAGTACTCAGAATAACTTTTGATTTGTGTATACATTTTAGATTTCATTCATTCATAACTGCTCAGAGCCCTTCATCACTCACCTCAGAAAAATAACTATCTTCAATGTCCAAACGTTGTGACACTGCCTGTGGCAGACAATAGTAACTGACATCATATTCCTACATCAAGAGAGACGAGAGATGGATCAAGCATCGGGGGAGGGTTCTATCACCACATGAAAATCATCAGCTTTAAAAAATAAAGAAAATTGTGTGAAATAACGTCAGAAAATAAATAGACATATCTGGTCTCGCTTCATTCAATTCATTTCACCAAAGTTCATGCTCATTAATCCACATATAACTACAACAGTGTTCACTCAGGTCATCTGGACGGTTTCTTTTGTTGCTGAGATGTTTCATCCTTCATCCGAAGGACTTCTTCAGCCTGAGGAGCCCACCGTCAACTCCTCTAAGGCAGCCATGCCGAAGTGTTTCAAAACACCATAGTTCATGCTCATTAATGGAAACAATAAATTAATCAGTTCAGTTTATTTATACAGCACCAAGTCACAACAGAAGTCATCTCAGGGCACTGAACAGAAACATTCGTACATAAAAAGTAAGTTAACACTATTAAACCGAGGAGCATTAGTGGTTGTGCCTTGTTGTTTGAACCCAATGGTCTTATCATCTGACTTTTAAAGATTAAAGTTGTCAGATCAAGAACCAAACATTTTTATGCAGAAAATACTGAAACTCTAAAAAAATACTCAACTCCCAATAATTTGGTAAAGTATTTGGGATTGGGATGCAATCCTTTAATACTTGTACCCAACAAGAAACAAAATCCCAGAATATACAACATAATACAATATGGTTTAACTGTCAAAACAACTCAGTAGATTTTATTTCATCACTGAATGTGGGTGAAGTGAAAGCTAAAGTTAAGCTAGCTGATCACCTAACATGAACTAGCCAGCTAACTGCACAAACTTTCCATGGGGGAGAAAACTCCTGTGGGGACATTTTGACTTAATTATTTGTAAAGTACCTAGGGATTTGATTTGTAAAAGTATGGTTATTAAGTGAAGTGGCTGATCTTCCATTAGTAACTGTGTCAAATAAAGAACCAGAAGCAACAAAATGTTTGTTGAAACAGTTCAGGATCTCGTGCTTATTTGACACAGGAACAGAGTTAACGAGAAGTTGTGATGGGAGGTCAAATGATTGGAGGGTGCCTGAGAGAGATTTGATAGTTTTCCAGAATCTGTTAGGGTCATTTAGATTTTTAGAGGTCTGAGATAAGAAATAGTTGTGTTTTGCTGCTTTGACAGCAGTTGTGCATTTATTCCTCATCTGTCGAAAACTCAACCAATCAGTGTCTGAGCCAGATTTTCTCGCTGCGGCCCAAAGATGATCTCTCCTGTGCAGGAGGTCAGCTAGCTCTGGAGTAAACCAGGGGCTGTCTCGTCTCTTTATTCTGAACTGACGAAAAGGAGCATGTTTGTGCACGAAATAAATTAAACTATTATGAAAATAGTTCCAAGCGGAGTTCACGTCATCAGTTAACAGAATACGGTGCCAGTCAAAGTGAGACAGATCCCAGAGAAATGACTGTTCACAAAAATGTTTCAGATCCCTTTTTTGAATTAATCTGGGCTTAGAAGGTGGAAGTTTAATATCTGTCAAAGCCGTCGTGCGACGACTCCCCAGCTCGAGGGGTCACCTGGCCGGCAGGGTGCGCTCAGAGTGACTTGTGGGGTGGGAGCGGCCGGTCCTGGACCAAAATATATTTTTGGACGGTCCCGTCCGGCTCTCTGAGTCACTGAACACCGAATTCGGTTGGAAGGGGGACCAACTTTAGTCCGGTTTGAAAAAAAAACGGGTCAGTTTGATGATAAAAGACTGCAGAGAAGCCGGAGGGAGCTGCCGTCCATCAGCTCGCCGTTAGTGATAATACGATAATATACATATACATATATATATATATATATATATATACATATACATATACATATACATATATATATATATATATATATATATATATATATATATATATACATATACATATATACATACACACACAGGCAGAAAAACACATACATATTAAATAAACATAAAAATATGTTTTATATTTTTTTTTTCCCCCAATATCCCCCACCTCCTGTAAAGATATATTGGTATATGTTCATCAATGTGATTAATCAAAATCAGTTAAATGTGAACATTAGTGCTCTTCAGAATCTGATTATTATAGACACAGAATAAATGCTAAATATGAATATTTTTAAATTCATCACCACAGTAGTACTGTTACACATGTTGGTAGTTGTAAACACTCAAAAGAATACACACGTTACATGCGTATAATACAACATCGGCCATTTTGTCAGTTTAGATTATTTCAGAGGAAATCTCGACTTCCTGCCGAGCCTCCGAGCTTTGATGCCAGTCAACACTTCTGAAGGGACTTTTTAACTTAGACTATAAAAATATAAAGTGTTGATCACTTTACATCAGAAAAATCTTTCCAGAGTTAATAATGACAAAAGTTCAGTTTAATTTATTTGGTGATGTTAAAGTAAAATGATCAGAAGTGTGAAAAAAGGACAAACCTCAAAGTTGTTACGGTCTATGTCCATCTGTAAAAAATGACATGAAATTCTGTTGTTGTGATAAAACTGAGGACGATCAGTGTGTTCTCACGTTAACAGTCCTCTTTCAGGTTTGATCATTAAAATGAACTCACCATAACTTCATCAAAACTGCACGTTTGCAGTAAACCGTCCCCTTCAATCTAACAACAAAAACAAAAAGTAAAATAATGTTGTTCAGATTTGTGCATATGTAGTAATAAATTATTTAAACTGAGTGTAAAAATCAGTATGGCGCTCAGTGAACCCACCCACACAGCAACAAGGCTCTAAGATTTGATCCCTAAATAAAACATTTTCACATGTGGAGTCCCTCAGGGCTGAAGACCTGGACTCTTTAGTTTTGTTAAAGCTGCTGCTCTCAAGGTTCTGCGGTCTTGTTGCGTTTTATCTTTTGAATTTGAGCAGTTTTGATGATAACACACTCAGTTATCTGTCATAAATGGATCTGAAGTTCTGGGCGTAGAGTCGCAGGAAACAGAAAGTCCGTTCTTCTTCAGTTCTGGCACACAATAAACCTGACGTGGTCTTTACCAGGTTCCAAAAAGATCCTAACCTGAGGGGAACAAAAACACTCAGCACATTCCACTGCGTTTTAATAAGTTAGAAGCAAAAAGTTAAAGCTTTAAAACTGTTTCCAATCCTGCTGCTTTCACCGGACTTCAGAGGTCCAGGATCAGGTGATTAACTGATCCTCATCAGCGGGACCACCTCTACTCTGGAGTGTACAAACTGCCCATCAACATGGGAAGGGTCAAAGGTCATTTCCAAACTGAGAGAAACATTATTCACAAGTGGAAAACATTGAAGACAGCTGCCAGTCTTCACAACAGATTCACCCCGAAGGTCAGACTGTGCATTGAGCTCCATCTCAGACTCTACAGGCCTCAGTCAGCAGGTCAAAGGTCACACACTCTTCTCTCTACAAACAACGTGACGGCATGATTTAGGTTTGGAAGGTTATATTTACAGGAACTACAAGACCTCTGGACCAGAACCAGACCAAATGGCAAATGTTAACCCAGAATGCACTGCAGCAATCGGCTCCTCCCAGCAGTGGTGGACGGCTGATGGTTTGGGCTGGTGAGCAAACAACAGGATCAGGGCATCTCTGCAGAATGATTGAACTCAACAATTTGGAAATGACCTTTGACCCTTCTCAGACTGATGGGCAGCAGCAGCAGCTGCCCTGAGGTCACTGATGATGTTTTCTGCCTTCGCGTTGTGCTCCTGGCTAGTACTGAACCTCCTGGGTCCAGTGGAAGCAGAGAGGCTGAAACCAGTAAACACTGACGGGTGGAATCTGTTGGCTGTTTTGTTCCCGTCAGGTCGGAGTTACAGCGATCCCTCACCTATCGGGGGCGGGGTTACGTTCCAGAGACGCCTGCTGTAGGTGAAAATCTGCAAAGAAGCTGATTTATATATATATATATATATATTTAAAGCTTTATAAACCCTTCCCAATCGCTTATTAACCTTTCCATGTAATTAATTTAGCGGAGGACCTGAAAATTCAACCAGAGCGTGTTCAATAAGTTTTTTTTTTTTTTTTAATTAAAGATGGGGGAGTCAGCACATGTTTGTATTTACATGGAAGATATTAAAAAAACAATGTGTGATGCAGTGAAGTCACAAGAACTGAACCGCGATGGAGTGAGGGACGACTGTCAATCATCTTTAAACCTGGTGAAAACCCGATCAGGTTTATTGTGTTTTGGATCAGGAGGGAGGACTTTCTGTTTCCCAGGATTGTAAAGTAAAATGAATCTAAATGTTAGTTTTTCATTGAAAATATAATTTTAGACATAATGACATGGAGACGTGAGACTGGACATAAATGTCCTCACTGTTGGTATCGGAGTGTCCTGAGGAGAAGTCCAGCTGATGTACGGCAGGATGTCCACATCCTCCTCTGCGATCAGCTTCGGGACGTCGGTGACACCGTCCTCCAGCAGCTGGTCCTAAAACAGGACAGATGGACCCGGTTTTATTTGGAACTGGAACAAATCCAGAGTTTAGAGTGAGTGAGGTGGAAACCAACCCTCTCCTCGATGGCCACGAAGCTGGTGAACTGAGACAGGACGGAGAACTCTTTGCTCAGCTCCACGATGAAGGACTTCAGCTCTGCTTTCTTACCCTGAACAAGCAGAAGAAACACCAGTCAGCGCAAGAACCTGGGACCGGACCGGGACAGGACCCACAAACCTACCTCGTGTTCGGCCTCGGTCGTCTCCAGACTCCCGTCTTCGTAGTCCCTGATCAGGGCCCTCGCTGTGAGCTTGTGGAGAAACTGAACACAACTCACAGGTCACTGCTCTGTCTGCTCCGTTCACAGTTTGATTCCTGAACGGAGCGACAACAAACGGGCTCTTACCGTTCCTCGGGTCTTCTGCAGCTCTGTGGTGGACACCATGGTCTGTAACTCCTGACCACGCAGGTCTCCAACAAGAGTCGCCTGCAACAATTCATTCATTCATTCATTCAACCTTAATTTATACACGTTAGTCTCACTGATTCACGAGAACTCATTTACAAGAGAGACCACAGATGAGGTACAGACAACAATAAACAACAATAAAAACAAATAATATAAGATAAAAAGTAGTGTTATAAAACAAAATCAAATCTAGGTACCTTATAAAACAAGGTAAAAATACTAAAAGTATGAACATGTTTGCTTTGATTTTTCTATTGAACTTAGCAATTGTTTAAAATCTCAATTTATAAGTTCAATAGAAAAATCAATAACAATAAAAAAATTAAAAACAATAAACCTTCTTACACCAATTAGACAAGTAGCGTCTGATCTTCAGCCGGGGCGGGCTGCCGTTTTCCATCGGCTAAATATTGATCAGGTCTCCATGTGGAGGAAGATCATTTTTAATCAAAAATGTAAAATTAATAAATAAAAACAATTAATCATACCCTATATATGCTGAGTAAAAAACCAGTGTCTGACATGGGACCGGAGCAACACCTTTAAAATGGATTTGCCACATTCTAAAACAAAGTAGAAAATAAAACGAGGTAAAGTAACGTGGTAGAAAATTTAAGCTTTGTTCGCCCGACGTACTCCAGTTGTTGACGGTCAACATTTCTGACCAGCTGCCTGACCCTCAGGTTATTAAACATGACTCCTGATGATGGAGCTGTTCTCCATCCCTCTGCATCCTGACCAGAACAGGAACCAGTACCTGCGTGCAGTGAGGCACCAAGCCGTAGACCAGGGTGTGGTGGTCGTTGAAGAGAGCGTTCAGCTGCTTCGGCGCCTGAACGGGAGGAGGAGCTGCGGGGTTGAACTGCTGCCACTTCACAGAGATCGAGCTGCAGCCGGGAGACGACATGCGCTTCACCTGACGCAGCACCTGCAGCGCACGCACGTGCACACACACACGCAGGTACACACACAGCATTAGCCGGTATTAGCACAGGTCACGTTTTTTTTCAGAATGACACAGAGGTGAAAACTGAAATGCTGGTTAAAGTATTGAAAAACTAGGCAAATGCTAAAAGTAGCAAAACAACAGCTAAAAGCAAATACTGTGGAAGAACAAAAACTACTCCAGTAGCTAAAGAAGATTTTTAAAAGAACAAAAGTTTAATGTGGGGACCTCTGTTTATTTCTACAGGAAAGTGCGTGTAAATAAAGGAGTCAGGAGGTAAATTTAAAAAGTATAAAAACTCCCAGCATCAATCTGATGATGGAGCTGAATGTTTTGATAAAAGAACAACTAAAGTGAACGGTCTTTTTGTTTTAAAAACCCAAATGGATGAACTCCTTAAATCAAACGTTCTCACCTTCTCAGCCCAGGTGTGTTTAGTTTTTGTGTCAAAGAACTCATAAGCTCCGCCCCCTGCTTGAGCGAGGGCTCTCAGCATGTGGCGATTGGCTGTCGGGCTGAAAGAACAGAAAAAAAACAACCTGGTTTGAACAAAAACTACAGTCCTGATCCAGAACTCGTCTTTCTTTTTCCTATCCAGACCTTCCTGTTGAAGTGATGACAAAATCTAAGAGCTTAGCAAACAGACCACGGATAAGCACACCCTGCTGTGACCTCTGACCCCCGCTCTACCTGAGGCCGCAGGTGAAGAGGCGGCTGTGCGGGGCGTTCTCATGGAGCAGCTGCAGAGTCAGCGCCAGATTCTGGATGTGGCCGTCCGACACCAGCAGCAGGTTCCGGACGCCGCGGGACGGCGGCAGCAGGCCGAGCGCTCGGAGGGGCCGCCACAGCTCGGTGCCACCCCCCACTGGAGAGCAGCGCTGCAGGAGGAAAACAAGTCAGAATTATTCATCGAACCCGAGCGCAAACTGAAAAAACAAATGTATTTGTTTTGCAGCCGACCCTTTTCATGAAATACATTTACTGAGTGAAAAAATCCACAGAAACAAAAAATACTTGTTTATTCCTGATGAAAAACTTTTGAACCGACCTCGATGAAGTTCTCGGCTGCCTGACGAACATCAGAGAGCGGCTGAGCTTTCAGGAATGCATCAGTGTGATCTGACAACAAGAAACAACAACAACAAACATGAGAAACAGGAAGCTCTGATGCGACAACAACAACATAAGAAACAGGAAGCTCTGATGTCACAACAACAAAACATGAGGTGTGAC